GATCATTATCATCATTATCGAATAAACAATCATATTCTCACAGATTCCTGTGATATTTATTGGGCTCTCGAGAAAGAATGTGTCAGCGGTGGTAAAGATCCTGATAGTTGATTGACATGGGACATTGGTTGTTATTAAGCTTGTCAATAAATAGAATTGCAATTAAAGTCAATGAGCTGGCTTGTCATCATTTGCAACATTCTGTTTATTAATTGCTTGGGATATTAAGAAACTATTAAACAAGACGAATCCTTATCGAGTATTGATAGGAATGTTATATTTCCAAACAAAATATTGTTTAGATAGAAAAGATAATAGATTTAGGCTGTTTTTCTAGACTAAAACAAAAAATATCGTCATTAACGAATTTCTCTCGGTCCTTGTCTAGTCAATCACCTTGTCAAATGGTTTCCCATTCACATTCGGACAAAGAAAATCTGCTTGTAAATGTATGGTAAAACGATCATGTCAAGATTATCGATCAGCTTCATGGTAATTTCAATAAACATCGCATCCGACTCAATACATATAATTAGAATAATGTCGACGCTTAATTGACGCTGATCATCAACCGCGCAATGTCATCAAAAATTGAAATAAATATAGAAGCTAAACGAGAAAAATACGCCTCGATTATAACTTTAGCGGCTGTGCAAATATTTCTTTGAATGTCAGACAAAAGTGCACTCATTACAAAGATATACGATTGATGAATATTAGTAATCAACTAATATCCAGTATGAAATCTAGGGTTCGCAAATCGACATGATAGCTGAGATAAAAGTTAGACAAAGAACAAGCAATGTAAGCAAGTAAACATTACAAAATGTGTATTCTCTTTTATGACAAATTAGATACCTCGAAATATTTCATGCTAAATTAAAAACTACTTACTGAAAAACTGACACTTTCTACACGTGAACAAATGATACTTATCAAATGTCATATCTCCCATGTTCTGAATTCTATCTAATAGAAAGATTCCTTTCATCGAGACGATCTATTGATATGTCATTATAGATAGAAATATATCACAAGCTCACTATTATATGTCATTGTCTCAAACATTAATCAGTAGTAACATATTGATACAGATCATTAAGGTACAAATGTCAAAATTTAAGCACCCCCTATGATAGTTTATAATTGTTCTCATCTAAGAAAATACTCCTGAGATATTAAACTTTTCGATGGAATGTTTTCTCGACTAGGTTTGTATCATATTAGCGTCAGTAAATCCAACAAAACTGACTGTTTCATACTTGACGAAGATCTGTTCTCGATCCTATGAGACACGACAAGCGTGTTGGAGCGCTAAAACATACCCTTGTAATAAATGATCTGATGAAATGCTAATCTATTGATAACTTACGGTCTACGCTAATCGATTCTGACGGATAGAAAACGACGACTAATGACGTGAAGGTATTCTAAAAGAAATCAAATTTTACACGATGTACTGAAACGATCGACGTCTTTACCTTTTTAACCAGTACAAACGAGGCTCTACTAAAATGACAATTCACATATATACGCGGTTTGAAGGCAAATATAAATATATACTAACAACTAAAGACGTTAAATGTTTCATTTAATCAATATTTACCATTGAAAACATATGAAATAAAATATGAATTTTTAAGACTTCTATTAACTGTCTATACTAAAAAGAAGAAAAAAAAAGAATAATATTGATTGTGTTTCAAATATTTATTAAACACGATATAAGATTTCGAAGGTGAAGAATTAATTAGCATTAGGTCTAGATTTAAGTATGAATTCTGTATTAAAAGGACAAGAGGTCAAGCTGATTTGGTAAAGTAATTAAACTGAGTATTTTTCTGATATATTTTATGTCTGTGTCGCAGCGTAAGAAAAAAATACAGAATGAGATGCTTTAATTGCATACGAAATATGTGTTAAAAGTCGAAGTTCCCGTTACCGGAAGCGTCCCCCATTGATTTCGGTGATGAAAGCTCATCCATCTGTCAGTTTCAAGTCTTACCTGTCGTCTGTCAACCGTCGAGCCAGTAAATGGAAAGTACCTTTGTGTTAAAGCAAAATTTTTCCTTGGGAAAAGAGAAAACTCGAACCAATTTATTATCTAAAATTCGATTTCCAGTTTAAAAACTAAAGCAAACTCAAAGTGATTTCTATCTCGTATTATAAATAACACACTAGTTTATAGCATGAGATAGTCACTGTGATGATATCTGTTAATCAACTGTAAACACTCTTTCTGTCAACATACTTAGATTGATCCAATCAAAAGTATCTATTGTACGAAAATAGATAAGTCGATTCGATTTATTTAAGTAAGTATGTGACGAGGTGTTTGTCATACATTGATATGACGAACCATTCAAGCGTTGTAAGCAGTCTTGTGTGACTATGTTGTCGAAGGCGTTTTTCAATTTGATAATAATAATAAGAAGAAGAAAATAACGATACTCATTATAATATTTCTTTTAGAGCGCGAAAGAAAAAACTCAATTGAAGAAATGTTTAAAGAAAAAGAACCCGTGTGAGTCAATATTTGATGAAATAGGTTTGAGCGGTGTTCTCTTTTACATACGTGTATCGATATGTCGAATTGAATTAGAAAACAAAAAGCAATTGAACCGACTATAAATTGGCCTAGTTTCATAGAGAATACTTGATCATGAATGACAAAGAAACCTATAACACTAATGCCATATAAATTCGGCCTTGTGATAAACAAATTTTGACTTTATAATCGTACAATAAATATTATTTTTGAAGTTAAAATGCCGTTTTTTCCTTCTGCTTCACCGTTTTTCAACAGCGAATTCTGTCAATGTTTAAGCAAATCTTATTCGATTCATAGAGTCAAAATCAAATACCATTGATATCTTTATTATACTTTACTTACTTCCTATACACAAAACAATTGATTTATTATTGTGGTGTTAACATTTCATGTCCAAATTAAAATGCTCTCCAATGTTTTTTTTTATTACTAGCGAAAAAACTGAAGGTTAAAATCCGCTCGTACATTTGTCTATCTCATTTCTAACTGGTACAATTCGATCAGTTGATCCCGAGACAATCATTAGGAACAATAAATAAGGACACTTTTATTCGATTGACTGGCGTACGTCAAGGAGAAAAAGTATAGTTAGGATGCTGTCACGAAGTCGGAGACATTAACGTGATAATAAAAAGATCGATTCTTATCTAGAAATAACGAGTTTGTTTTCGTACAAAACATTCGGATTAACGCGACGCGTTAATAATGTGCAGTTGAAGCCGACGCACTCAAAACCTTTTACTTTTTCTTCGTGTCGAGCCATAGCGATTGATTGTTGGCTTATCACCTGGATTTGGGTCGTTGTGTCCAAGTACTACAGAAATCAGGAGATTCAGTTTTGTGGATAAGCATTTCACGTTATAGTTAATAAAAGAAAAGAACGAGAACAAGAATTTCGAAGACTATCATATAGAGACCTCTATTGAAACAAATATATAATTTCGTTTATATGTATGAAAGGTCACCACTCGGTTGACCATGCATATTGAAAGTTGGTAAAAGATTCTCTTTGATGAAAAAAAAAAACTTAAGACGAAATGTTTGATAGGTGATGAATCATTATCACCAAACTTTTCCTTTTCGCGTTTATTTATTCTGTTGTCGATGATTCTTTCTTTTTTTCCGTGCCTCCTCCTGCATTCTCTGCCACGTCTCATCATATTTTCGATATATCCTCTTTTTCGAATGAACATCCAATTCTATCGAGTACATTTGCAAACATCTCTAGATTTGTATTGAAAAGCGTCATTACTCAAAAATGGGTTTAACAATATCTTCACTATTTCAACAGTTATTTGGCAAGAAACAAATGCGTATTTTGATGGTTGGTCTCGATGCAGCTGGTTAGTTTTCATATCGTCTTTTTTGAAACGAAACAAACACATCGTTTGCTTTTATTCGTTTAGGTAAAACAACCATTCTCTACAAATTAAAATTAGGCGAAATCGTCACAACAATTCCAACAATCGGTTTGTTCAAGACGAATTTAAGACGAAATAATGAATAATTTTGTGTTCTCGTCTCCATAGGCTTCAATGTCGAAACCGTTGAGTACAAAAATATCAGCTTCACGGTTTGGGATGTTGGTGGTCAAGTAAGAACGCTCAACTTTGCTTGTAACTAGTCTTGTGCTCGTGTTTAGGACAAAATTCGTCCACTATGGAGACACTATTTTCAAAATACTCAAGGTATAGTCGAATGACGGCTTTGGAACGATAAATAAATCCATTTGTATTTCGTCTAGGTCTTATTTTCGTTGTTGATAGCAATGATCGTGAACGTGTTGGCGAAGCACGTGAAGAACTTCAACGAATGCTTTCCGAAGATGAACTACGAGAAGCTGTTTTACTAATCTTCGCTAACAAACAAGTAAAGTTCATTCGCATCCGACTGCATCTTCATCCATTCTTCATTTCACTCTAGGATTTACCAAATGCCATGAACGCAGCTGAAATCACAGATAAATTAGGTCTTCATTCACTACGCAATCGTAATTGGTACATTCAAGCCACATGTGCTACAAGCGGTGATGGTCTCTATGAAGGTTTAGATTGGTTATCGAATCAATTGAAAAATGTGAAATAAACACAGTGCAAGTGAACAAATGCGAAATCTACCAATAAGAAAAACAAATTGCACCGTACATATATACATATTCCATGAATTTTTTTGTTCGTTTCTTTTCGCTCTCACGTCTCTTGTGTTTGTTGTTTTATCCCAATAAAGAGAAAAATGAATCACAGAGGAGAGAACTTTATACATATATCATTTCCTTGCTTTACTGAAGTTTGTTTGTTTTTGATTTCTGTAAACTTAAACCTCTATTAACTTTTACCTGTTTGGTTGTTTTTATTCATCTGGGTTCCACATCTTTCATTTCATTGTCTTAGTTGTTAACTCGAGAGAACAATAAAGAAAACATACCATCTTCTCTTTTCTTTTTCGAGATATGTCCACATCAGGTGATCACAAATTTGATGTTTGCGTTGTCGGCAGTTGTAATGTTGATTTAATCAGGTAAAGAACACTTGTTGTCTTTGATTATGCCAATCTTTCGTATTCTTGGCAAGTTATGTGAATCGTACACCGAAAATTGGTGAGACAATTGAAGGAAATAAATTTGAGAAAGGTTTTGGCGGCAAAGGTGCCAATCAATGTGTGCAAGCAGCGAAACTAGATGGTAAAGTTGCCATGATTGGCAAGGTAAGATTTTGATTGGATTATGAATCAATTTCTATTGTGTTTTATTGATGAAGCTTGGTGATGATGTATTCGGGCAAGATTATCTGGAGAATTTGAAAAAATTAGGAGTCAACACAGGTAGATGATGATGATTTTTCTTTTGTATCTGACGCTGAGCTTTTACAGATCATGTCCTGGTGACGAAGGAGGCAGCAACTGGTGTTGCTCCAATTATTGTTGATAAAGAAGGTTAGTTCGTCTTGTAGCTTTGATTTTCATCTATTCGTGTCTATCAGGTCGAAATTCGATCATTGTCATTCTCGGTGCTAATTTGTTATTGAATGAAGATGATATTCAAAAAGCGGAAGATGTTATTCGTCAATCGAAAGTTGTCGTTTGTCAATTAGAAATTCGGCAAGAAACTGTAGCGAAAACATTCGAAATTGCACGAAAACATTCCGGTACGACTGTTTATTAAATCAAAGATAACAAATCGTTTTGTTTCTATTCTGTGTCCGTAGTTTTAACAATTCTAAATCCAGCACCAATGTCGGAGAAGCTCGATCGTAATTTACTTAGAATGGCTGACGTCATTTGTCCCAATCAAACCGAAGTAAGGCCGAATAGAGAAGTTCTATGTGTTAAATATTTCTCTTTACTTCAGGCAGAACTTTTGTGCGATCGATCGGTGGAGACCATTGAAGATGCTAAAGATGCTTGTAGAAAGCTATTGGAATTAGGCAGTCGAATCGCAATTATTACTATGGGCGAACAAGGTGCTGTAATCTTAGATGAAAGTGGTCAATGTGAACATGTGAAGATTGAGAAATGTTCATCGGTATGCGATTCAACAGGTGCTGGTGATTCGTTTGTTGGAACTTTAGCTTTACTGATGGCAAGTGAGAAGAAACTAGCATTGAAAGAACAAGTTAAACGTGCATGTCGTGTTGCAAGTCAATCCGTTGAGAAGAAAGGAACACAAACAAGTTATCCTTTAAAAGATGAACTTCGATTTAATCTATTCGAGTGACACTTTTCGTTTCACATATACATGATTCTCCACATAATGATAGTGATTTTTCTGTAGTTGTTTCTTTTATCACGAACAGTATCGTTAGTAGAGTTCTACTATGAATAGAAGTATGATTCTATTTGCAATGCTACATTGAACAAAAAGAATCAAGGTCTTATTATGCATGATTTATTTTCTGCTTGAAAACAATCAGAAATCCCACGAGAAACGACAGCTTTGCATTGATCAGTTAATTGCATTAACAAATAATCAAATTCATTATGATCTATGTCACAGTAAACCTTAAGTCTTCTGGTGCGCAAACTCAAATCAACGATTGTTCTGTTGTAGCAATCTCAACTTGAGATATAACATCAACGTCATTTGCCAGAAAGGGTAATAAAATTTTTCCTCATATCGCAAAGAAAACAATAAGGTAAGTTAATCCTTTACAAGAGCATAAATATAAAGGCAGATGTCAGTCAGAAAAGTATATCGCTTTGTTTTTTTCGAGTCATAAAAAAAAAACACTTTTCTTTGGGATAGAACCGTATAGTTATCGACAAATCTCGTTCTTTCCTATTCAGTAACAAACGCTACGAGTGCGACATCTGAAGTCATTCATCTTCATTTTTTACCAATGATATTCCCGAAGTACTTAGCCTGATGTCGTACGTAAATAAACAAAGTTGTTCGTACATAACATAATTTCTATTATTCTCGAAAAGGAAAAAAAAAGAGAAAACTTGACATGTTTTGTACACGAGATGATTGATGATTCACGATTTTGAATTTGTCGAATCACACAGAGAAAAACCCGTTGGCAGAATCAATTCTTATCGTTTGCTCTTCTTTTTTAGTTACGATGCTATTCGAAGGTCCTCTTAGTAAATGGACAAATGTCATCCAAGGTTGGCAATATCGGTTCTTCGTTTTGGATCCTACCCAAGGAATGCTTATTTACTATACGGTAATAATCAAGTCGAAATGAAATCGAGATAAGAAGTAATACGAGTTTTGCTTCTAGTCAAAAGATAACATGGTCAAGGGTGAACGGCGTGGTGTGGTTTTATTGAGAGTAAGGAATATAATGATATTCTGCAAGTTATTCATATGAAATTTTTCGTTCTAGGGAGCTTATTTAGGGATCGATTCGGAAGATGATAGTACAGTAAGATTTGCCTATGAAGTTAGATTTGAGAGTTTCTTTCGATTATTCTACTTTTAGTTTACAATTCGATCTCATGGTAAAACATTCCATTTTCAAGGTAAATAAATTTTCTAGTAAATCTCTTACACGAATCCCATCGCGGAGAACCGTCTTCACAAGTATACAACGAATATGTTGATTTAGCTCGCGATGCTGAAGAAAGACAAAAATGGATATCAAATTTAGAAGAAGCAATTAGTCTGAATAGTGTTAATACTGTAGGTTGAAATTATTTAAGAAAGATTTTGTTGAAACTTATGCTTCAATAGGATAAGCTATCTGTTTCAAGTACATCATTATTTGAACGCAAAATAGCGGAAGCAGATGCGTACCTACAATTATTAATTGATCAGGTTAATGTAAGAATATAATGTTCGAAATATGTCAACAATGCTATTCTCTTGTTCGTTTTTCTCATCTAGGCACTTGAGCAAAAAGGCGACCAAGAACAAGATGTTAAAGAGCAAGAATCTTGCAAACGTGTTGTTACTTCCGCAAAAGTAAATGAGAGATCAAAGGAAAGACATTATGTATTTATTTATTTATTTTCTAGAGGTTAATCGAAGCGGTGAAATATTCCATTGTTTCATTACAACTAGCTAAAGTAGGAAAAGTGTTCGTTTGTGAGAGATGTTTCTTCATCTGTTGTAAAAAGAAGCATTTTTGAATGGGTTTTATAATGCGAGAAGCTTTTCACAGAGATGAGAACAGTGAATTAGCCTAAGCACTTGTGAACTGAAGTCGGTTAGATCGAACGAGATTAAGTCGACTTAAAGTTCATACTAACGTCACTTATAACTGTTGGTAGTAAGTTTGAATGCCATGAACTTTCGGGCACATTTTATATAATCATATAGAGGTAAACGCATTTCGATCATTCATGGAAGTTCTTACGAGAGAAAGCAAATGTCGAGTCTGTAGTGGCGCTACAACATTAGATTGTACTAACTAGTGAACGCAGACGATCATTGATCACGAAATAGACGTGGAAGTCATCAGCGATTTTCTTTCCAGGTACACATGGATCCACACAGTGATGTTAAGGCTGATGTAGACTATCAAGCTGTCCTATCACATATGAATATTCATAAAGGTAAAACGAGATTAAATTTCTTTCACATAAGCCCATTCGATTTGTTTCTTAGATAAAATTCTAAATAACAATGAAGCTTCATCTAGTACTGTCCAATCAGGTGTTCGTGGTGGATTAACAGACGATAATGACATTGATCGAACATCTATTGGATGTAAGATTTCCTTTGAATAATTGACTTTTGAACAATGTTCTCTTTTCGAATAGCCTTGGATTTCCGTACCGCTGTGAAAACTGTTCGCAAAAACTTTCCAGTTTCATCTTATTCCAGTAGTGATGACGATGATTTCTACGATGCTGACGAAGCGATGGAGTAAGACACACCTGCATAGAATTTTATTTTCTAATCTGAGTAAATCGCTGCTGAAATCTGTTTTTTCTCTACCAGTCCTATGCTTAAAAGTTCCGCAAAATCATCAACTAAATTATTCATTCTCTACCTGTCACATTGACTCTCGCAGATTTTCCTATTCTGCATGAGAGGTGAAAGCTCTCATTCCGCTGCCCTGATGCGTAACAAATATTTTTCTTATTTTGTTTTTGATTTGAAACATCAAATCGGAACCATCATAATCTCGATGCCTTTGCTTAATCGGATGAATTGTGCAAAAAGAAAAGCGAGCGTTATTTAGTTTGCTAAAGAACTGTTTCTCGATTGTTCGCAGTTCTTCTCTCATCGTCATCTTCTCTTTCAAGTTTTAAACGACATAGAAATTAGACGCCGTTCATAGCGGAAGGAAAAAAGAATGTGCTGAAGACAACTTCAACTGATAACGGAGACGAGTTCAGAGGAAATAATGCAGACGTAATAAGATCGTTACTGCCGACTCGTTGCTAGCATCTTTTTCTATTCGATGATGACGAGTCGTTTTTCCTGTTGCTTTTCTTTCAGTTTTTCCTTTCTTCTTTTGTTATGAAAATAGATTTCTCATAGATGAATGAATTTATTTATTTAGTACGCCAACAATATCACCCTCACCGACAACCAGTAATTTGCAACGAACAGAGACAATTAATAAATCAAATAACGATGTTCTATCAAAAACAACTGATAACTCAACACTGCTATTACATAACACTGACAACAATACAATAAACAAGGGCAAAATGAATGATACCCAAGTAGATGGAGCAAAGTAAAACTAAATAGACGAGTATTTGTTACTGTTTCTTGAATATTTCTTTTAGTCGTACAAGTAACTCACAAATTCCATTTGAAATCTATGAAGCTGCCTACGAAGAAGAGCCCGAAGAAGAATGTAAGTGCTACTTGTTGCTTTCCAAGTAAAACAATAAAAACAACTTCCTGTTCTAGTGGCACCCATCGATGGCACGATTATTTCACATTTAATTTCTCAAGTAAGATGACTCACCTTCTGTTCTCAAGCATCTAAGTCGTGCTAGATTGATAAACTAGATAAGATATTATTTATGAGAAAAGAAATGATCTCTCTGATACGGAAAATACCATGTAATGAGAATTAATCGCGCATTAATATTGATTATTATCTTAGGCACGTATTTCAATGGATTTAACCAAGATAACATTACCAACGTTTATTCTCGAACGTCGATCATTTTTGGAAATGTTAGCTGATTTTCTTGCTCATCCAGATCAATTTGTCAAGTATGTCAAAAGAGACGAAAGGATACTGGATGGAAATTCTTGCATTTAGTGTCGCAGATCACCATACACCACGTGATCGATTTCTTCAAGTTGTTAAATGGTATCTATCAGCATTTCATGCTGGTCGAAAGAGTCCTGTGCCGAAAAAACCCTACAATCCCATTCTCGGTGAAACATTTCAGTGTTATTACGATATTGGCTTGTCATCAAATTCTAATGTTCGTAAACATAGTATCTTTTTCTTTCTTACTAGTCTATAATTATATATTATAGACAAAATTAGCAAAAGATGGACCTGTTCCTTGGACTTCTGATGGCCAAGTGACATTCATTGCTGAACAAACTTCTCATCACCCACCGAGTAATTAAAATTTCCTCAATTTGTCTATGAATATATCATTGTTTCAGTTGCTGCGTTCTACGCTGAATGTCCATCGAAGCACATCCAAATTGATGGTTGTCTATGGACGAAATCGAAGTTCTTAGGTCTATCCGTAGCTGTACACATGATCGGAGATGCTACACTAACCTTACTGGATCATGATGAACGTTATGTGATGACATTTCCTAGTGCTTATGGCCGGTATGATTATCCAAAGTCTTTTTCTAACCTAGTTTTTATAATCAGACTCAAGTAGAATGTTGCTATTTTCATACGAATCGAACCGTCACTTACAGCGATAATTTAGATGAAGAAAGTTTGATGCTCGTGAAGTATAATTATAATTAAAGATTCAGCGAAGCGAATTCTTATTAGTCGATACATTTTGGTAGCTATGAGTGTCTAATGGAATTATATAAGCAAAGAGCTCTTGTTTGGATTAAAATTTTAATCGAGACATCATCTTCAAGTTGCACCACTTTGCACATAAACCACGACATGAGAGCATTTCCGCAAACATTGAGTGCGTCAATGTTTTCTGCAGTTCAAGTACTCTTTTTTTAGATCAATCCTTGGTGTACCTTGGTTCGAAATGGGTGGAAAAGTAACCATCGACTGCGAGAAAACCGGCTACTCTGCAAATATAGAATTTCTGACAAAAGTATGATTTTCATTCGTGTTTGCATTTATTGCCTAATATTTCACCGATATTATTTGCAGCCGTTTTACAATGGTAAAAAGCATCAAATAACCGGAAGTTTACATGGACCGGATAAAAAAGAATTCTGCAAGATCGATGGAGAATGGAATGGCGTGATGTACGCCAAGTATAGTGATACGAAAGTTTCGGACATCTTTTTCGATACGAAGACGACGCCAGTTATCAAGAAAAACGTTCGACCTATTGCTGAGCAAGGTGAATTCGAAAGTCGACGGTATGATTGAGCTCGGAGAAAGAGTGTCGTAATGAAAGTATTTGTTGGTATTTAGTTTGTGGAAAGATGTTACTTATTCTTTGAAATCGAAACAATTAGATAAAGCAACCGAATCGAAATCATTCCTCGAACAACGACAGCGCGAAGGAGCAAAAGAACGCGCAGAAAAATCAATTAAATGGCAGACTAAAGTACCCGATGAAAAGAAATCTTTCGAACGAATGATTTCATTTTGTGTTTTCGTTTTAGTACTTTGTCGAATCGGGTGAACAAAAATGGTCGTATGAGAAAAAATTAACCAAACGATTGAAACAGCAATCATGATAATTCGAAGATTTTTCTTTCTAAAAACTTTCGTTTTACTGTGCAAACATGTGTTTATTTCTTTGTCGTTCCTAATCACGCCCAGAATTTGTCATTTTTTATTTCGATTTTTATGTATACTACAACCGAGTGACATTGTAAATCATCTCACTCTGTCAGATTAGCCTTGTTATTCTTTCTTAATATTTAAATGAAACACATATCTAAGCAAAATTCAAGTATCCATCTAGGTGCTAGTTCCACATAATCGTGTACAATCATTTCGTCTTTGTTTTTCATTCCGCTTGATGATTCTTGAATTACTTAGTTATACTTCTTAATCTATGTATTGTATATATTCACATCATTTAGATCATGTCGTCAGACGCGAAATCGGTTTCATCTGCTAAGCAAAGCAGCAAAGTTTCATCGAGTACTGGACGACCATCATTGAAAAATTTAACTCGTGCACGCGTTCCGCGCGCTGGTTTATTTGGCATAAGTCTTGCTATAACAGGCGCTCTTCTCTGGAAGATCAATGTCTCGGACCGGCATAAACGCAATATTTCGTCATTCTACAAGTGAGTATTGGTTGCCTGAATGGAAATGTTAGACAAGAATTACCGAAGAAAAAAAGCCTATTAGGATTTGTGCGTTTTACTTTATCAGAACGTCTCAATGAATTAGAAAGACTTTTCTGATAATTAAATGTAGAACTTACGTCAGTTAGAAGCGACAGTAATCTTCTGTGTAAATGAAATGTCGCATGTATCTAGGATACATAACTTTTCCGTATCAAATTCTTTCTATTCATTGCGAGCTTTATTTTACAAAGTTAATTGTTCGCGTCTAGAATTCATACATTATTAATCAATGTATTATTTACTCGACATACAATTAGACATTAATCAATTTGTTTCTTTTTTTGTTTCCTTCAAGAGATTTTGATCCGGAACGTGATTACGCTCGAATGAAAGGTTCTGGTGTATTCAAAAGTCTTGGTATGAATTGTGATCTTTGATAAACAATGTGATATAATGTCGAAATTTCTTTTTTCAGAAGGCCAAGAACGACCAGCATGGCTTCATGAATACGAAGCCGAACTTGATAAGGCTATCGCTACTCTACGTACATCCGTCACCCGTAAATGGTAATTCAAATGAAACAAATATTTCTTTCATTTTGATTCACACATTTCTCTATTCTAGATCGATGAAAATTCCTGATCAACCACAAATTCCTCAGCCAAAATTTTTAACCTATAATCGCCTGAATAGTCATAGAATGAACAAACAAAAGACTCTCCTTTTTCTTTTGTATGTTTCAATGCCTCTAGTCTCATGAACCCCGTTCTTTTGTCTAATAAATGATCCGACTTTGAATTCATTAAATTTCTTCGCTTGATGGATATCATTGTCAATATTAACAATATCAATTCCAAAACGTTGTCTTTCAAGAACGAAGCATAAACATCGAAGATTTTCTTTTCTTCTTCTCAGTCATTAAAAATAAAACATGCAATGTTGCAACAACAACAACAACAGTTACAGAGCATCAATTTGAAAAAAAGTCGAGAATGAGAGAAAGAAGAAGGCGGACGACAAGCTTCTAGCTACGTCCAATATTGAAAATGCAAATTCTTCTTGCATCGTTCTTTTTTTTTCTTTTTTTATCGACGCCATTACAAACATTGGATTGGAAGGATAGCAACCGTAATCTGACTCCAAACATCATCCGCCGTGTCTACATATCTGCTTTGCTTAATTAATCCATCTCGTCTCTCTCTCTCTTTCTGTGTTGTTTTTTCTTCTCTCTTTCTCTCGAACATTTGTGTGAAGAAAAAGAGTGCTTTAACGAGTTGACGATTCGCTTATTTAATCTCACATTCAGCAACTTATTCTTAACGTTTCCATCGTTTCAATAATGGTGAGACTTTTGAACAATTGAAATGTAATTAAATGAAGATATTTTCTTTAGAGCACATTTTCTGCATCCAAAACTGAAGGTAGAGAAGAAGAATATTGAAGTAAAAAAGGTGCGACAATGTCTTTATTTCTTCAGAATTTCGCCATGTGTTCGAATTATTCGACAAAAATGGAGATGGAAGTATCGATGCCAACGAGATCGGGTAAGAAGTGTCAAATTAGCAATACATGTACCTCGATGTTTTTATAAATATTTAACATCATGAATAAACAATTGGAACAATCTTTTGAAGATTAGAATATTTTCCGGATGGAAGCGTGAAATCATTTTTGTTAGGAGGAGATGATGAGATGTTCTTCTTGACATTTTGACTGAGTCAAGGTATCACGATTCAACAGTAAGAACGTTTTTTTGTTTGTGTAGACAAGTCATGCGATCATTGGGAATGAATCCGACGAATAAAGAAATTGCTGATCTGATTGCCGAAGTGGATAAAAATGGTAAGTAGGGAGAGTCGATGGATGAACTTCCATTGCGAGATTTGTGTCTTTAGGTAATCAACGATTAGATTTTCAAGAATTTGTTAGTTTCATGAGTAAACACTGGCATGAACGCGATCAAGAACAAGAACTACGCGAAGCTTTTCGACTTTTCGATCGAGATAATTCGGGATTTATAACGATCAATGAACTAAAACAGGTTTGTGTTCATTTCTATGTAAAAACCATTTCTCTTACCAGATGTTCCTATCTTTCAAGGTCATGTTAAACATGGGTGAAAAGCTCAATCAAGAAGAATTGGAAGATATGATGAGAGAGGTATGTTGAGAAATATCATCATCCTACGTATTTCTATTTTATTCTCTGCTGGGTAGGCTGATGTCAATCGCGATGGTAAACTTGATTATCAAGGTACGAAGTTAATCTTTTGTCAAAAACTAAATTCATATTTTGACTTTCTTCTAGAGTTCGTGCAAAAACTTCTTTCAACATAAGAAATGATGATTACGTTCAACCTTTGGACTATATTCCATATAGACTATATACATACACTTCTTCGTATTCATTTTATTCATCTCTTATCGACTTATTGAAGAAAAAATAAATATAAACTATTCATAAGATAGATTTCCGTACACCTTGTACACGAAAGAACTTTTATTGAAGTGAAAAAATACGAATTTATTTTACTATTCTTGCACATATACAATTCATTGTAGTAGTAAAGAAGATGATTGCGTGTGAAATGGGAGCTTAATTACAATATAATCTATTCAATTGTGTAGATTGAGACTTAACATATCGAACGCTGTAAAGTAAATAGTCGAAGTGTAACTGTATGTGAACTCAGTTCCTGAACGATCAATTTGTCCTGCTCATGCATAATCCTTAGTTGATTTTGTTTGTTGTTCTTTTTGAATTTGATATCCTGCCGAGATTGGCCCGTCGGATGTTCGATGAGACGTATGATTGCTGTTTCGGATGATTCAGACTCGAAAAGTAATGTTAAAAGATTGTTATAATTATCAAAATAATGATCAGTTAAAACTCTCGACGATAAATCGACGAATTTCTGTGGCGTCGTCGGTCGGCCATAACGTGTCACATGTCGGTCGTTTGATGATCCTAAATTTCTCATTCCATCATCAATTGTGTATAGAAGATTAACTGTCGTGGTTTCACCATGTGTTAATTGCCAAACATTTACAGATGACTCTCGAATATCAATAATGCAATCTTGATGGTGACTCGTGTCAATAAAATAGACTTGACTGTTCGGTGATATATTATCCGTCCAAGAACGCTTCAAATGCCCGTTGGGAACAGGTGTCGAGTCATGATTGATATGTAAAACGAAATAATCTTCATTGATGCGTGTGAGAAAATGCTGTGTACTGCAAAAAGCGTATTCAAACAGTGGACGTTCACAGTTGAATGTGAACAAACATGGTGGACAAGAATTGATATCGACATTGATTGGTAGAAGTTCATTTGGATGATCAAACAAGAAATGTGATTTGATTGTATACTTATCGAGGATAGCATTCAAGGAGTAGAGATTACAACTAAACAAATGCAATGAGAAGAGGAGAACAGAGGACAGTTTGTTTTACCTATTTCGTTGACTTTGTACAATCAATAGTTCGTGTGTAATTGTCGCTTGTTTGAGATCAGCACCAAAGATGTGTGGCTCAACTAAGAAGACGTAACTTAGCCAGCGCGGCCACATTCTCAATAAGATGAACAAATGTGAGCGTTGTTTGTGCTTGGTGTGAATGGATATCATATGATTTTGTTCATGGTAGTCGAATGATTTTTCAAGAAATTTCACGGGAAGTTCACATTGGAAACATATGCCAGATGTTGGCATACATGATTTGAGTTTATAATCATACAGAAATAAACGTTGATCAGCTGTCATCAAGATAAATCCGTCTTGTTTGGCGGAATTGCGTTTCTCAAAATGACTATACGTACACATTCCAATGAAAATGATTTTAACTGTACACATATCTTCTCCGAGAAGAACTGGACGAGGTTTATCAATGATATAAAGACGCAGAGTATTCGATTGTAATGTTAACATATAACGACCAAGAACAAACGTCGATTTGTTTGATAATAGTTGATGTGTTGAGATATGGTCAGATTCTTGGAACCGGCATGAATAATTGGATTTCAGTAAATGTCGAAGACATATTTCGTTAATTGCGCCTGCTGTTGATATTGAACAATAAGGTCGTAGATGATACAAACATGAATACAATGGCAGACGTTCAATATGAACATCTGGCCGACGACTTATTAGGGCGCGAATTCGATTTGCACGAGACAGTGGCATAATCTGAAGAGAAAATGAATTTAGAATATACACTAGAAAAATACTCGGGATTGATATATTAATGTATATATTTGTTTACATATTAAAAATAAGTCTAAAACAGAAATATGACGAAAGTATCACATTATTCATTCGGAATTTGCCACATTATAGTTTAATCAGTAACGTTCGGTACTGGTGAAATAATTGATCGATTTCGATTACCATACAATCGAAGACGACGTTGTCGAATTTCTAAAAAGAAGAAATATTTCATGGGAAATGTTCGGAAAATTTTCAGCTATGCGGTTATATATCAGACTGGTGTTCGTTTTTCTGGTTAAAGCATGAGAAAGAGGATCTTGAGTGCGATTAATATACTCAATGCGCCAGGAGTTTTTCAATTCAGCAGTACACTGAAGAATTACCTTCGATAGTGAGCGCTTGCATAACATCGGGATCTACGATTGGTGATAGAAGCTGAGATGTATCAGGTTCTGATACGTTGTCTTCTGAAACTATTGATGATTGAAGCTCTGCATTTCCTGATGGTTGTGAGTCTGTGTTAATCAAAGGCAGGAAATTTGGTATGGATGGCTTTTCTACAGGTGCGCCATTTAATTCTATGGAATTTTCAGCGTCTACTATAGTAGAAGACGATGGTGAACTAGTTGTTGATTCTGGTGGATTCATATCACTCGGTTGAGCTGATTGTATGTCATTCGAAGGTAACGGAGGCGTATCGTCGATTAGTGGTGGTACCGGCGAGTTTTCTTCTGACATTACTTCGGTATCAGCTGGTGCTGGCAATGGTATAGGCTCGGCCTTCTTTTCAGACTTATTTTTGTTAGAATTTGCATCTGCTAAACTAGCAGCAATACCAGTGGCTAACAATGTTTCATTGTAGTATTCTGCGCGTGCTTTATAGAGAGAATCCATTTTGTCTGCTGCAGCCGCAATGTCCTTTATATCTTCTATTTCCTGCTCCAACAAAATAGTCCTTCGAAGGAGTTCGGCCCTAACTTTCAAACGATCGTCTACATTTTGTAATTTCTCTTCATCGTAAAAATCATCTTCCATAAGATTATTTCGCATTGATGAAGCATTTATAAGAAGTATACTGGTCGTGACATATTGGCGTTGAAGTGATTTGTCTTCGTCGTTCGGATCGAGTTCATCATAGTTGTAGTTTATGACTTGTTGAGCTATCATCGCTGTTTTCGGCACTGATTTTTCGAAATCATCAGACTTTTTTGTGGTCGAGGATGCACTCGAACCATTTGCTTTCGAACGGCACCTTAGACAATTACAAGGTCCCGTCATAAATCTTTCAACAAGCATACTCTTCGGCATCCCTACAAATATCAAAACTTGGTAAGAAATTAAACTTGTGCATGTGTACGTAACCTTGCGGTACGACAACGTCCTCGATAGTTAGACCGCTGGGGAGATATTGATTAAACTTTCTTTTCACTTCTGGATCGTTTGGATTCCGTCGATATTCATCAAGCAAAGCACTAGGTACTGGTATCGGTCTATCATCTATGAAACCATCAGTATATTTCAAGTTTTTATCCATGACTAACGTTGGTAAATCTTGCGTTAAGAGTTCGTATTGTTGTGCATTAATAGGATTCTCTTCAAGTTGCTTATCGGCTAAACACATCGGTAATGTTCCAGCTACAATAAATACCGAATAGCCATTGTCTTGAATAATATTTAAATATTTTGGTAGCGTTTGTCTCGGAAATATGCGTGGAACATAGTAAATAGAATTTAAATCGAAATAGTGAGAACCAAATCGTCGTATGGAAAACCAGTGTGAGCCTAAGTTGCATATAAAAGCTTGAACACATGTAGGATTCTGACGTGCTCTTTTGGCAATTTCGTCTTGACTTGCGAATGACACTAATTCTATGTCGAACATCTTCAGTGCAACTTGTAACACTTGAATGTTATAGAAACCAGTGTCTAATGAATATGAAAAATCTTCATGAGGATAGAAGAGAACAATCTTTTTTAAGCATACCATCGACATTCTCCGATTCGCATGGTTTGTGATATAGAACGCGCTTTTCGTCTACGTCGAGTTCACTAAATGAAAAACGATTGGTTGTTAAAGATGAATCCGAATGATTCTACATACCGAGCGATGTCTGCCAGTGCATCAGCGGTAAAAAAAGAGCTTTGTAGAAGATTGTTCAACGCATGTTGACCACACAGAAAACCATCTTGATGTTCATGATAGATCCCAGTCCGTGCCTTTACCTTTTCCATCTACAAGAAAACAAAACGAAAGAATTCAAAATGAGATTCATTCAAAAGCAAAAGCGAAATTTGATTTATTGATTATTCAATGAGCGCGGAATCGACGATGATCGATTGATACTAGAATAAAGAGCAATACTTCGATTTAGAAGATAAATATTCAGAACAAGATGGAAACGAACCTTTTCATTTGTTGAACTGGACGTTTCGGATTTTGTGTAGCGCTACGAACGCCTGCAACATCCGAGCCGGACGATTGATTCTGACCTATGGAATTCTGTTGGCTGACTGGTTTGGAATTTCTAACCGCAATGAAAAATAAAACCGAGATTTATAACGTATTGAACTAAGAACCAACTTTGTTGCAGAATGCGCATTCGCTTGAAATGCTTTCTCAGCATTAAATGGAACAACTGTAGCCAATGAAATGTCCTCATTTACAGAAGAAATCAATAGCGAAGGTGTAATTGTATAATACCAATGTAGAACGTAAGGCGGAATACCAATATCAGTATATTTATATTGCCAATAGGGTAAACCACAATGAAGAAGAAGTAAACGATAATAGTCGGTAAATGTTGAGGCAATTTTATGAAAATGTAGGGAACGATCCAGAAACCAGATGCTTACTTCATGATGCTAGAAAACAAGGAAAGAAACTAATGACAAAACTTCGGATATTTCGCACATACTGGATTGTATACGAGACAAATGCGGCCTTGTCCATCACATGGATCAAGTTCAAATATGTGCCACGATTGTGAATTAAAACGAGGTGAATCTAAAAGCAATGATTACAAATGGGAGAAATTGTTTCATAAGACAATTTTGCATTACCATTTTCCGCGAAGTCATTCAGTTCATCAATAGCCATCTGTTTCGATCCAGATAATACTATTTTATTCAAGTCATTCAACGAATTGATATACATTTTCCCGATAAATGTCGTTTGTAATTCTAAATTCCAGCAAAATTTTCCAAGACGCTTCTATAGACTAGAACTACTTGTATTCTCAGTTTTAAATGACCATCGTATTTCTAAGCCATCTGATATTGTATAAAATCTTTTCATATCTTCTGGTAATTCGCATGAGGTTTTCTATAAGAAAAAGAAAAACTTTCGCGTCCAACCATCATTTCTGTTATTAAATCTCACCTCTTCCCATTGGACAAACGCATCGGATGTGCACGTTTTTTTGTCTTTGACATGAACTCGATCGATATCAGCCCGTTTTTCTAAATCGAATGTTTTTTAATCACACAAGCTGATAGGAAAAGTTTATACCTAAATAATTAATGACTGCAGTCGTTGCAGGATCCATACATTATCTTAAGAAAGAATGGAATTCATCTAAAAAGAGATATGTTCTACTTAAACAAAAATTAATGGCTAGGGAAATGCAAACAAAAAAGAAACGATCAGGTCATTTCATTTGTATTGAATCTTTTTGTTTACTTTGATAATGACTCATCTGCTCGAGAACTTCAGTTTCGCGTCGAAGACGTTCACGTTCTTTCAATTGTGAAACTAGTTCATCCTAGAAGAAATCAATTAGCAGCAATTACTTTCGCACTGATCTGCTTACCCGCTCAGGATTCGGCGGCGGATGATGCCGTTTTCGTGCTTCAATGACACGGTCTTTGAATAATTCAGGACGACTAAATAAAAACATCGCGGCTAGAGGAAAACTGATATAGCACGCCATGCCTGAGTGAAGAAGAGCATAGCATTGTTCGATAACAAATTGATTCGGTCGACTTACGAAAAACTTCTAATTTCCAAGAACCCATGATCTAGAACAATGACATAAAATGAGCAGAATGATTTAGTTGGAAATTATTCTCTGCAACGTGCACGTTTGGTTTTATTCAGAACGGAAGAAGAGAACGAAAAAGAATAAGAGGTAAGTACGTTACGACAACAACGATGAGAAAAGAATGAGACTGAGAAGTCATAAAAGAGTACCAATAAGAGAAGAGAAACAACAAAAATCAACGAATAAAAATGACTTGAAGTAAATGTTGAATTGTATTGCTTTGTACGGAAATTTGCAGATTGTAATCTTCAGAAAAAAAAATGAATAGAGAGATATCGATAATAAATAGCATATGACATGACGAACGACTGAATAAATATATATAGATATAGATAAATATATACGAAGCATAAATGACATAACTTCTATAGAGAAAATGTGTTGTTACTCTGGTCATACTCTGTTGACGATCAATGTATAGATTTACACATGAAAATATTTGAATGCATGGATTTATTTGGTTAAATCTTTCTTCTCATCCAGATCTCCACCGAAATTTAGACGTTCGTCATGTGTCACACTTGATGGTAAAGTTCCTCCGGCAGCGCCGCGACTAAATTCATTATCATCATTGCCATTAAAGTTCATGGCAGATTTCGAGGGTGTTATTTTCGATTTGACGGCAGTAACGCCTGAACCAAGGGTGTTCTCAAATGTCTTGAAAAAGGTTGAATCTAAATAGAAATCCTTTCATGGTTAATTTCGTTCAATAGTGAAGAATGACCTACTTTTCAACGTTCCGAGACGAGATTTCAAAGTTGTATTGACTGTTTGAAAAGCAGGAGCAATTCTATCTGTTGCCGCCTGTAATGTTTCGGCCGTTTTTTGATAAGCTGTTGTTGCTTTGATGTCATGAACAGTTTCATTCCAATCTTGTTTGAGGTCATCGACAAATCCGACGCCCAATAAAGTTTTCAATTCACTTTCGCGTTTTAATTTCGCTCCAAGCACTTGACGAAGGGTGATGATTTCATCTTGCACTTTCAATAGTTCTAAAGAAAAAGCATCGTGTGTTGCTTTGAGATAAAAGAGTATCGGGCAGCAAACCTTGCCGATAATCCTCTTCTTGTTTTAGGCGATCATCGTCTCGAAAGTCGAAATGCGGTTGATTGTTGTCGGCACTTGATGCACTCATTTCTTGATCATGATCGAATGGTTTCGGCATCTTAGTCGAGTGTTGATCATCCATTTCGTCGATCGAGGGAAATAATCTAAAACAAAAATATTCGGTATTAATCATTGAATCGTAAAGTCGGATAAATATTCATCAAAGTTTTGAAATATCTGTAAATGAATCAGAAAAAAAACGTTAAATTTGTCAACTGTGTTGACTTTGATACAATTCGTAAGCACATGCAAGTTTTTCATGAGCAGTCGAACCATGTTGAAAACATTGCCATTTCGATTCTAATTGAGTCATAATACGTTTATAGACTTGGTCGATTGCATGACTGTCTGCATGATTCGATAAGCCGAGCATAGCAGGTAAAGTGGATCGTTTCAAAATTCTTTGTACAAGTCGTTCCTCTTCAGCAGTATATTTATCACCGTTCATAGTATAGTAATTTGTTGATTGTTGCGTTTTTAATGTTGTACATTCACCAGCAATCGATGTTAAGCCGGTACCCATATCCCACAGTTTCCTAATGAGTAACTGTTCGTCAACGCCATTTGATGTCATTAAACTATCGAGGTTCAGTCGAGCATAGACAATTCCATGTGTTTCTAATTCACGTTTACATGTATGAGTTGCGTAATCAATGCGATATTCGACAGGAGATTCAAGATAAATAGTGAAATTCTCGAATAACGGATCCGTGCCATTATAATGATAAACATCGCCGAAATCTCGTCGAATGAATTGAACGTATGGACATAATTGTTCGGATACATGATAGGTTTCATCGTTTTGGTTGTCTATTGGACGGAGGATGTTTTTGTTTTGAAAATTTACATCAAGACTTGGAAATTCGTTTCGTAATTCATCTTCAATTGTACTCATATGATCTCGACCTGTTCGAGAATGATATTGAAACTGAATACGAAAATCGAAAACATCATCAAAAGTTTTCTGCCGACGATATTTTGAGTTTTGCCGATCTCGAATATAATCTAAAACATTTCGTAAAGTCAGAAATCAGCCGTCTCATGAAAGATAACAACACTCACCAATATTCGATGTTCGTTGAAAGTCCTTTGAGAATTCTACAATCGAATAGCTACTAGCTGGATCGACAACACATACATGCGTTTGATTTTCGTTCGATTTCAAATAGATGCGAAATAGATGTTTTTGTTCTCCAAGATAAAACTTATGATTATAAAGTTTTTCAGCAAAATCTTTCGAATGACTGATAGGTTTAACGTTACAAAATGCAGAACGTAGAGTTTCATCCGAATGATAGTTAGTATTCGTTTGTTCGTAATAGTAATTTCTATCGGAAGAGAGAATTTTTTTCTCTAACAAATCACGGAGAACGTCGATTGAGTATTCACCATTGAAACGAAAATGTTTTGAAAAGAAATAGAAAACACCTGTTCGGATGCTGATCACATACGATGATAAATCTTCGTCCGATATTGACGATAAAACTTTCCTGATTGAATCAGAAAAGCTTTCAGGAGCATCATTGGATGATGCTGATGACGGGTGACTGTCGAGCAGTTGAGGTATGTATAATCTGTGTTTATGATGATTTCGAGCGCGTGTACCACAGTATTCGACGAAGACAATGTCATTAATAGTAGTCGGGAAAGCATTTTCGAAGAGCATAACACAATTTGTCGGAACGCGAGAATCTGATAATTGACGTTGACTTATAAAATGGCTGGCATGATTGACATTCGAATCAGAAGAATCCTGCGAAGATAATTGGCGATCATGAGTATTCTTCGGCGGCGACATATCACCTAAATAGACCAGTCATGTAATGTCGATGAAAAGGTGATATTTATACTCGAGTCCTGTTACTTTTTCTCACCGTATCAATGGTTTAATATCGATGAAAACACAAGAAAATATACGTCGCCTTTTTAGTCTGACAAAGATAAATTTCACGCGAATAAACTAGCGAAAAAGCATTTTTGCAAATTTACTTTCGTAAACTTTATCTCTGATAATGACGACCAGTTTGATACTTACAGTTAAGCGTAATATTTGATCGATTCGTCATAGTTCACCTAGCAGAACGAATTTCTGTACCACATCTACAGACGAACAAAAAAAAGAAATCATGATTGTCAGTATTGTATCATTGTTATCACAACAGTGCTTTCATTCAAAGTAAAACGAAACAAAAGACAATTATTGGAAATTATCATTGCGTATAAAAAAATTATTTGACTTAATAGATTGGCAAAACATTGGACGAATTACAGAGCATCATAATGAAATCTTTGGGATTGTAGTTTTCGCTCGCGGTCATCTTGAATCTGAAATTAATCATGTTTAAATTTCCAAAAATATTCATCTCAATTCCAAACCTTTTCGCGGTATTGAAATACAGCAAGAACAATTGCGATGACAAGAAGTGTAGCGCCTAATGCAATACCAGTATGAATAATCATTCGACTAGGAGTTACAAAAAGTTCGCTATGCCATCTGAAGAACAGTATATGGATAAATATGTGGATTCTTCAAGTCAGTCTTACTTGTCAGGATTCGTTAATGGTGATGGAACAATGACGATTTGTGAATTTGGAATCATCTGAGTGTAGGTTCGAACTAGCTTAACCTAGAAAGAGACAATATGAAACCCTGGTATGACGTGCAAAATGCGAACCGATTGACCGTTCGGTGGTACGGCGACGGTTAATTTTTCAACAAAATTTGGTGTTGCACCAAGACCGATGATTACATAAGGTAACTCAAGTGTTAATTGTCCTGCTTGAGACATTTGAACAGCTAGAAAACGCGGTGAAAACGAATTTCTTCAGTAAGATATATCATTTACCTGATAGCTGAATCCAACTATCTTTAATCCCATCGATGGTAGTGATCGTTTCCATTTTAATCGATTGACCTGGCTGATTATTCCCATACGGCTAGAGAACAATAACCCATTGATTGATACAAACATATTTCTTCGCAATATCTTACCAATCTTTCCTGATGAGAACATGTATCACATGAGAAAGAGCTCAGTACTAGAAATCAAGTCATGTGATATAGAGCAAGTTTGTCGTTATTAAAGAATTTACCCATCACTTTGATGAAATGTACATCTTGGACAAGAGAATTTTGAAAACCGATTAATTCATAATCATTAGATGAATGGGCTTGTAAAATTAAAACGTCGGGATAACCCTAAACATTCGATTTCTTCGATGGAAAATGCATTGTTTTCAACTTACGTTTTCTAGTACGTCAAAAAACACGGCAAGTGTAGCATTGTCTGTGAGGAGTACATCTGTTTCGTCGGTTCGAAGAGTAAATGTACGATTGTAGGTACAATGGAGATTGTTGTCATTATTGCACGCTCGATTTTGAAGAAGAATTGCAATGGTTGCATTGAGGGAGCTAAAATTCAAAAACAATTATCGATTATCACGAAGAAATTTACAGGATAATGCAACTTACTTTTGTTTCATTACAGCGATCATATCTGGGTAACCATCGAGGTTGTAATCAGCGATTTTAAGACTGATAGGTATTCGATCGAATGGCGATGGCAGATCATCCTTCAAAGGGAATCTCAAATCGCCACCAAATTTGATCGGTAACAAAGACCACTAAAGAACCGAACATTCTCGTCGTATCGGAGATTTTTCTCAAGAAGATGTTGTTCACGTACTTGATCATTATCTCGAACATATATTTGACTATCAGAACAATCACTATTCATACAAACTGGTAGCAAATGTTCCAGAGTGCCATCCGCATCTAATCCAAACAACAATGAAGACGTTCAATCTAACAGTTCTGCTTTGTTACCGATGTCAGCAAATGTTGATAGATGGTAAATGGCTACTCCTGGCGGCGGATCATATTCGCTCAATAGTTTCATATCGATTAATGGTAATTCATATACACGAAATTTCGGTTTATTTTTATGATTGATCGTTAAGAACAAATCTATAGTAGACAAAACGAATCAGTTAGAGATAGTTTTTGAAGTTTCATCAAACCTGCAACGAGATCATTGTTAAAGTCTACTACAGCTTGTGTTGCATTTGGCAGAAGATCGTCGAGATTGTTGAATTGTGCAAAACTGGACACTGTTCGATTGTGACTATAGGTCAGAATTCAAAAAGTCTCATGAACACAGAAGGAACGCACTGGCTTACAAAATTAAACAGCCCGGTTTATAGTTCACGTAATCGTTACTAATCATTCCAAGCAAATCAACGTACGAATCGCCATTGATACTAAACGGATAAAATCATTCGTCTTCGTCGAAGTGTTATCGATCTATTTACTCTATAGTAGTTGGAATCGTTTGAAAGTAATAATTAATCGGTTGGAGATTGCCTAATCATTCAAGAAGTCCCCCACTATTCATTTTTCCCAGCTAAAACACTAAGTACTTACTGAACGTTTCACGATTACCCCAGAGAAATCCGCCGCGATAAACCGTTTCGTCTGGTCTTGTTTTATACATTACAAATAAATCTAATTTACTATCACCATCATAATCCGCTGCTAATGCATCGTAAACAATGCCTCTATAACGAAACGAAACTTAACTATTCGCCTTCTGACATGTCAACATACGGTATAGTCGCATTGCACTGTACTTTTGATGTTGGCGTACGATCATTATTGAGCATTACGCGAATAGTATCACCTTGGATATTTCGACAAAAGATATCCACAATTTTATCAGCGTTAAAGTCACCGAAGGCAAAGGGTATGCAATCACTGATAGAAAACTGTTGATTATTGTTAAAATCCCGGTGAAAAACACGTTTTTGTTCGTCATTATCACTTAGAAAATCGGTTGAGCGTACATAGATTGGATTTACAATTAAATTTATTAATAAGAATGCCCGAAACCAAGACCGATGATGGCCGAGGTTAATCTCATAACTCATATGATCTAAAAGATTGACAATTAGTAAAGTGCAACAAACTTCAATACAAAAGAGAGTCAAGGCATATCTTCTACTGCTATTACAAGCTGGGAAAAAAGTGTAAATATATGCACTTGAATGAAAGAGGATTGACTCAGCATCAGCAGCAATAGTGTGATTGAAATGATATGATTGGTTACATCTCAAAGTCTAATTAGAACTAGTCAGAAGAGATTCTCATCGGATATTCAAATGAGATTCGCTTTCTTCGTTGTATAATTGAATCATTTTTCTATTAATAACGAGTTGATCTTTGCCCTAATATTCAAGAACTGAGGCAGATACATGAGTGACATCTACCGGAAAACTTCAGTCTCGCGAGTGGAAAACGACTTCCATCCCGAAACTGCTTTGATGAATATGCACTCGGAAAGTTTAACACACGGAAGCATTTTGAATATATTGCTGATTCGAGTTTGTTGATCAATTGACCGATGTCGTGTCGAGAAAGTAGTTTACACGAGGGTTTAATTGGCCTCCTCGCCGAAGAAAAAGTGCGATATTCAAAGCTGAAAGGTTATACGTTCGATTTCTGAATGATTTCAAATCGTTTGAAAACATTCGTGATTACCATTGACATCAAGTCGATAAATTGAGTATTTCTTCTCCCAAACGTATACGTCGCATTCGATTTCAAGGGTACAAATATAAATGCCTGCTTTTTTTTACGAGCATATCTCGTTTTATTATATCACCAATTGTAATTGTTATTATTGAATCTTTTCACTCTTTTTTTTCGCGTCCCCGTACGTGCACTGCGGTCTTTTCTCTCTCGCACTTCTTCCAGTAAAAAAAAGAAGAAAAAAAGCATATTGCCTGGGACATTTATTTTGTTCGAAACATCATAAAGAACTGGTAGTTTTTAAAAATAGGGAATAAAAAGAGAAGAGTAAAGTCAATAAATGAAAAAGAGAAAAAAGAGAGAGAGAGAGATGCGATGCACGTATGTATTCACTTCACAACGCCACTTGCATATTAATATCACTAGCTTGACGAAGGCATTTCGTCGTATATACTCCAACTGATAAGACAAATCCGCAACAGAACGAAATATCTCTGCAAGGAAAAGTCATGAAGAGTACACCGTTCACTCCAATGAGACATGCGCAAGGACAATTCCCTGGACTGTCGTCAGAGATACTCGGTAAGTTAAATCAAAAATTTATAGACTTTTCCTTTTTATTTGTTCAAATTGAAGATAAACCAGTGAAATCAAAGGGAATTTCACTGTTTTCTCCCATTCAATTCCATAGTTTTAAAAATATGCAGAAATTTTCACGAATACATTTTTATCCAAGAGCTGTTTGACGTTAAATATACTCAATTCTTTGATGGAGTCTATTTTAGTATTCACTTGAAGAAGTGCTTTCCTTTTTAAATAGGTTTTGATAATGCATCGTTATTATTCTACGTCGGCGGTGGTTGTTTGTTGCTCGTTTTAGTATTCGGCATAATTCTCTGTCGATTAGATGTTTCAGCTGGTGACAGTGAGTAGCTGCATTTCAATGTTTCATTTTCTGTTCTTCTATTTCGTACCCAGGACGACGCGCACAATATGGCATCCGTATCGAAAATTAAAATCAACACTGAACGCACGATAAGCCTTTTTCTTTTCGTTGTCTTTTAGTTCTGCTTTTCGTCTTAGTGAAATAAATCTAACAAATTAGTTTTGGCTATATATGAAGTCGTTCATTTATTTTTCTTCTTCTTCTTCTCAATGTTGCTTTGATCAATGATGGTAAAAGATTGAAAAAAACACAAAAAGAACAAAGTGAAAATAAAACTGCAACATTAATCTACAATGACCGTCGATTGAGCAAATATTATCTATACTTCCTCATATTGTGGTGAAATGCATACTTCAATTTCTTCGTTCGTTTCTTTGATGCTGACCGCAAGCGAACAAGATCTCGTTTTAGAAATATTTGAATCAATGGTGGCCATCGGAGAGAAATAATTTGTGAATTTATTTTCATTTGCTGCTTTTTGCTAAGCTTGTTGAATGCAACACTCGATCGTGCGTGCATGTCGACAGATGTTACACGACACACGCAGATGGTGTTGCGGAATCCTCAGCTTGGGTGTTTTTTGTAATAGCTGTAAATAAGATCGTGATCAACCAAACAGACAATTTGATGGTCGACCCGGCCATAGTCAGAAAAATGGAATAATTTTCGTTGACCATCGAGACTTGTAGCTGCCTGAAAAAGTTGAACGTCATTCAGTGAGAGAGTTTGGTGCGGGATCGGAGAAGGATCTTACCGTGCCGCCAAAAATTGTCGTTGTGAATTTGCCTGGATTGAACATTTGAAGAATTTTCCGTATTAATTCTTGATATTGACTGTATGAGACATTAGTTTCGAAACTAACGTACGAAAAATCCGGTTCTGGTGTTATGTGAATGGTAAAATAATGACCATCCGGTAGAAGGCCATTCATTGAATAACCACAGGGATCGAATAAATAATCGAAGATTTTTGCATTTGGAAATAATTTATCGATGCCGGCTTTCTGCAGAAGAAAACAAGACATCAATTGAAAATATTGATATTCTTAAAAGTCTGGCATACTTTTGTTGCTTCAGCAGCTGAGCTGGTATATTCCTGGTAAAAGATTTTCATTTTTTCCGGATCCAGATCAGTCATGATAATTTCCAATGTTTGATCGGATTTCTTGCTAACACATGTTCTATCAAGTGTGTACAAATACCTATATAACCATAAATATTCATTTTCCAAGCATTCTCATGCATCGTTCGTTCCTTGCGATATTTTATTACATCATTCATTCTCTCACGTTTCAATTTGAAATTTACTCGATGCCCTCTCATCTTTTCCATTCTACATCGGACTGTTATTGGCTGGCTAGAAGTCAGACGTTGATTATGTGAAATTCCGAGGTAAAGAATGCTTCTTTGTTTTTTACTAGGCATAGAAGAACGTCCAGATTACTGATCTTTTAGGTTTAATTTAAAGATAATTCCCCTTCGCCTTCAAATCTCCGTGAGAGAATGAAAACAAATCACGCTATCAACTTACCAGCAATCAACATTAGTACGACCAAGAACATAAGCAGAACCACCTGAAAAACGAGATAGTCGTGAGAAATTACAACATGATGTCATTATAGCTAATATTTACCTTCGAAAATTGAATCAAGATAAGCAACCTGTAGATGCAAAAATACACGATTAGTCTTTGCTTGTTAATGCTAGAAAAACTTCATACTTCGTGCTCGAAACTTGTATGAGGTGCTTTTTGCAATTCAGGTCGAAGAAATTTACGGCGACTATAGAAGATTTGCTAAATAGAAATTCAGCAATGTACACTTTTCCTCTTCAACGCAAGTCCGCAATTCGATTTCTTACATCAACGATATCAAGTCCACAATAATCACGAGCAAGGTCCAACATTGGTTGAACAGCATGAAGCAACGTTGTTTCGCCACATGTTTTCAAGATGAAATGCGTTTGAAATACGAACATACTTGATTCGCTTAGTACATAAGTATCCGTTGTAGCCGATTGTGCATATGTCAGCACTTTACAATTGACCAAACTTAGTACGTCTTCGATCAGATCCCTAAAGATCAAAGGTCGGCTTGTTAAAAAATTCAAACAGAATTGATGACTCACCGTGGAATATTTCGAAGATCATTGTGTGTGGTAGCTTTGCCCGACTCGTTTTCACTTGTAACAAACCAGATTTCTAATAGCTTTTCAGCTCCTTCGAAGAAATGGCCAGTCATTACGATAAACGTCGATTTTATCGAGTAGTTCGCTGTTGCGCGACAAAAGACTGAAGTTAAAGAAAGAAGATTGTTTTCTACAAATGCGCAAGCAGATTCTTTTTCTTTATATAGCCAGTGCAATATTCATTTCTTCTCTTTCTTTCTTCTCTCTCCGTACTTTTCTCTTTTTTTCTCTTTTGTTATTCCAAACATTGAATCATCATCAGTAGGAAAAATGCACTTCTTGCGAAATTATTCTTGTGAATGACGGACGACAAAAATAGATTCTCTGTTTTTCCCTTCGACATTCTTTTCTATTTTCTTCCGTTCTAACTCAAAAACAACCCGCATATATAAACGGAGAGGGTAAAATTCGTCATTAGAAGAAATGCAGAAGGGGCAAAATATGTACGTCACCGATTGCCTCGCGTGTGTTTTTATTTAATCATTCATTACACTTTTCTACGTTTTTAAGTCGACATTCCGTGTTTATTTTAGCCTCCTGACATCGATGTTCTTTTCCTTTCTTTCAGTACAAACTTCAGAATCATATTATATGTTCTAATGAATTCATAAATAATCAAAATATTCTCCATTTTCTTCTCGATGCAGTCATTAATGATGAAATCAGTCTGTCATTGGAGAATACTATGAACAAGTTTCTATGCGTACGTATATCATTATTATTCATCAAAAAAAAGACAAGAAGGAGTATCAAGATCTCGATTGAATAAGTGTGTATCTCATACAAACTCATCGAAAAGTGTGCACATTGAGAACATACTTAAGTGCAAAAGATGAACAAAAAAAACACATGGATAATATTAAAGATAAATGACTAGCTACGGCACACGAGTAAAAAAAGCATGTCTATATACAAAGGAGACATTATCCGACTGGAGGAACACATTCTCGCAATCGTAGGAAAGCATAGTTTGAGGAAAAATGATCACATGCGTGAGCCACGTTCTTGTAAAATCTAGAAGAAAAGTCCAACAATAACATCATTGTGTCATTATTTCCACAATAGACTCACTTTAACTCGTTCGGAGACTGAAGTATTGCTATCTTCCCTTGTACCTCGATCATATTGTTTGGAAACAATACACAAAAATTCACCTTCGGGATACATATAACTTGAACCGACAGGAGAATGGCCGATTAGCTATGGAAAATAAAGCAGATTTCAGCAAACAATAGAAATGAAATTAGTTCGGTAGATGTCTACCTGCTCAAATTTCCATCCATCGCTTAATGAAGACATCAATTGTGTAACTTCTTTTTCCTGACATTGAATTACACGATATACACGACTTGTTCGACACTAAAACATAGAGCATTTCAAAGCTTCTGGAATCTTCTTAGTAAAAACCAAACAACAGACAATGTCATGCTATTTCAAATTCCATATGCGTGACACTTCGAATATTTCATCTATGTTAATCCGTTGATGTACTTTCGTTTCTAGCATAAAGAATCTAGATGATAAACTATGTCAGCTATGTTTGGTGGACTTTGTCGAGTATTTCATCTGAAAGAAATGGGCGGTGTACATTTGTACTTACATCATTGAATTTTCGCTTGTCTCGTTCGCGAATTTTTTCTTTCACAAGTTCAATCAGAGGTCGTATGTTATAAAATTCAGCTTCTTCGAGTACGCCTTCTTCGACGAGATTTGTCTCGAGGATCAGTTTACCATGCCGAAGATAACTATATACAAAGAAAAAGAAGAAACATGACAATGAAAAATCGATGTGTATATTACTTTAAGACGACGTTGAAATAGTTTGGATCACGATCGATTAAATAGGCTCCTTTATCATCCTACAGCGAATGAAATTGATCAGAATTTCTCGATGAATTGATCTGCAACTTACAACATCAGTTTTGAGATCAGGTTCATGTTGACAAAGTCTGCCGAGAAATGATTCTTCCTTTGATAAAGTTGAACGTGTTGTCATGAAATGCTTGCCTCCGACATTTAACAAAACCCAATCGCGTTTACAATCAACTGATGACACTGGACGGGAATCGAAATGCACTACTGAGTTCGTATCACCATTTTTTTGACTTGAACTATTATCATTTGTGATCATTTTATCAGAAAGAACTACACATGCAAACGTCCAGAATGAAACCAATTCGATCTAGACGTTCGAACAAAAGAGAGAAGAAAAAACACAATACGATATTTTTTCTTTATTGAACATTAATTGATTACTAAATATATCCAATACGAATTGACTAGATGGCAGTAGACATTAATATAGATTAAATCAGTCAAGTATGCAGAAAGAGAAATCTCCGATAGAGAAATATTTTTTTACTCATACATTATGTCGATTCATTTCTCAAGTATGTCGAACTAAGAAAAAATATGAAATATTAATTAATATTTGGCCTTCGATGACATCAAAGAGAGACGAAGAAAAGAAAAACACGATGAAATTCTGAGCTTTCATATGATGTAATATACAAAGTATTGTCAGACAAACTGCGACAGTCATTGGTTAGTTTTCACTAATAGCAAGCAATTTTCTTATTTTCCCTTCTCTCTCTCTCTCGCTCCTTCATTTCGCACAAAATAGTCATTAGTTTCACACCTGTATATTACGCTCTACCTTGTGACAGAGAAATATTTGCTTTGATGGATACATTTTTCGGTGCCGGTCGCATCTTTAACGGCGATCCTTTCGATAGTTACAGTGTTGCATACGATGGGCCGTATCCACCACCTGGCTATACACTTGTTCAAGATTCGATAACATACGTCAGTAGTTCTTTCAGTCCAGTCATGAATCCTCCAATATGGGACTATTATCAGTTCTAATCTGTTTTTTTTTCTGTATCTGTGAATTCGTACAATAAAAACTTTAACAGATAGCTTGCTGGATTAACTAAAACTTCATACACACGCACACAAAGCACGAACAGATTAGTTTAGTCTATACGAGATGGCACAGCTGCGACGTCACCGGGATTTTCAGATGATTGGTGCATAATCTTTTTCATCATCTCGATAATTTCGATATTGTACTGAGCAATTTCGGTTGCAGCAAAACCAAAATCGAGAAACCCATGTGGCCATTCATCGACAACAGTCAAATGATGTGGAACTTTGAGATCTCGAAGTCGTCGTGCAAATTCCACATTATCGTCAATGAACGGATCTCGAAAAGAGAGACTTTAGTGGAAAGGCAAATGCAACTTTGAATGATCACTTACCACGTGCACACGGCTACATCATCGAAGAAAGAGAAAGAAGAAAAATTAGTTGTTGTATAATGATAATAATAATTATTATTACAAAATATCTAATATTTCATTCATAACAGAAAAAGAGAACACAAACAGAAAAACAAACACCGCGAATACATGCACGGAAAGATCTACTCGGAAATCATATCTGAAAACGTTGAGATTGGAAAAATTGGATTTGTTAATGGTGTGAAATTTTTCTTTTTAGATTGCTTTTTTTTCTTTTTTGAGAAACATGAAGATCGTGCGATCTCGTATCGTCGAGCTAGATCACTCATAACGAGATCAGCTGCTTTTTTACAATGGTAATTGGCATTATAAAAACTCAGAAAACCATGTGTTACATTATGTACAATAACCATATGATGTTCAACAGATAACGAGCGTAAACGACGAGCAAAAGTTACAGAATCATCCAGTAAAGGATCTTGATGGCATGCCTGAAATATTTGAAGTATGCACAACAAAAACTAGACTGGTTTCAGGATATAAGGACGAAAACAATTGATGGACGATATGAATCAGTACTACTTAACGAAACGGTCAAAGAAAACAACTTACGACTAGATAGGTAGTTGGAAATTGTCGAAGAACGTCATCAGACGCACGTAGTGGAGACATATAGGGATTGTTGGGTAAGGTTGATTCACGGAGTTTTCGAAGGAGTTTTGCTTGACGTGAACCCATGATATCACCTATGATGAAAGTACAATCGTCAAATTAGCTTTATCCCGTGAATATACCTAATCGCGTGTAGTATGTATCATCTCGGATGTATTCAGGATTTTGATTTGTAGTGGAAAGTTTTGCTGTGTCGATTGCAGTCTCATCAGATGACGAAAGAGTCTTCTCTATTTTACGGCGTTTACCAGCCGGAATATCACCAACATCTTCAGAAGCTGCCGCCGATTCCAGAGCATCATGGGCTGGTTCCTCGTCAGCTTTGATGCCAGCATAAGCAGCTAGACAACGCCAGAGAAAGCCAGTATTCAACAAGGGATCCATTATGGCCATTAGTCGTGATGGTGACATGCTACGTTATATGAAGAGACAAATTCCGTCATTAGATGTCTGTATGTTCAAATTACCTATAGCCTAGTAGGAACGGTGTATAAAAACAGATGATTCCATCGGGTTTTCTCAAGCCAGCTTCGATTGCTTTGATTGTAACGATAGTAACTAAATTTCCACCGGCACTATCGCCTACGAGCAAAAGTGTTTTGCCATTCCATCCAAGTTTATTGGCATTTTTCAAAATCCATGCATAGGCATAATAGCATTCTTCAATAGCACGTGGATATGGATATTCAGGTGCCAAGGAATAATCAATTGAAACAATAGGAATTTCAAAATTCAATGCCCAAGGTTTCAAATAAATCTAAATCAATGTCAGATAAACGCTGGTTTTCGTTTAGAATCTCCGATGAACATACTTCATGAGTACTAGATGAAGTGGCAATAAATCCACCACCATGTATATGCACAAGAAGATGATCGCTCATGGGTAGAGTTTTTGTTGATGCAATTTCTAGATCAGCTTTTCTCAACGGTAGTTCTTTCATGCCTTCACGAATTTCATTAGAGAGTAGTTTGATGTTTACGAGCTGTCCAGGTTGTTCACTACCAGAACCTGTTGGGTTGTCAGAACCCGCTCCAATATTTCCAACTGCGCGTTCTTTTGGTTCTTCGACATTATCAGGCCTTGCGGTCGGCGGCGGAACAACAACCGAACCAATTTCAATTGGCTCAGGTCCGATTTGAAAGTATTTCGACACGGTCACGTTTGGTACTATGTAGCGCGAACCCATTTTAACATAATCATGATCAACAATATTCCAAAATGCTTTACAAAATAAATAATCACTATCACGGAAAATAGAAGCACACTAGAAAGAAAAGGTTCGGCTTTCGGACGTTTTATACGATATGAAAATCAACCTTTTTTGCTCGTTGTTCTGGAAATAGAATGTATTTCGGTGCTGTTGCAATACTCGCAGCAGCGTAGGGTATTGATCGATTGAATGTTTCGTAGTAAGTAGCTAGGCCCGCGAGGAGAAATGTAAGCATTGTTTGCATGGATGAAGCAAACTAGAATTATATAAGAAAAGCAATCGTGAGAGACACTTTCTTTGCACAAAAACTTCCTTCTTACTTGAAATCCACATGTACGACCAAAGAAATATTCCGAGTCGTACGCGACCATCTTGAAATAATCCAATTCAATATCAAGTGGAACATGATCAGCGTCAACCTAAACAACCGAAGAACATCACACATTCAATTTAACAAGCAAACATCTCATGAAACTATGTTTCTTACATAGAGGACTGTCTTTTTAGAATAATCCACCATTTTAGCAGCCAATGCTATGATACGTTGCATGGCTATCAATGCTTTTGTCCACGATTCGAGATCTTGAAATAATCGTGAGGAATACATTAGATTGAACAACAGACCAACACGTTTGGTATCGACTTGTTGGAGAATATCTAGCGTTCGTAAACAGGCTTGTCCGTGTGCGACGACTAGTGTTCGATAACCATTGGCTCGGATCTATTGATTAATACAAAGAAAAGTCCGTTAACAATTAAATGACAACGGAAAATACCTCGGAACTGTAATCGAAATGATGAAAATTGTCCGTCAAGTAGCGGATATGGGGCATAGATGTATCTATCGATTGCAGAAGTTGGATTAATAGATGTTCAAATCGTCGACAAACATCGGTTTTCTGTTCCGAAAAATATTTACAATTGGTATCTGCTAATTCCCTCAATTTTGTATAGGTCAAATCGAAATTATATTCAAGTCCCACAGTATCTGGTGTTGGTGGCGTCAATGAAGTTCGCATAGTTCTTGGCAGACGATTCAAATGGGACGGAGTTGTTGTGGAAGTGCGTATGGCTGTTGCAGAAGCATTCGATGATAATTGGAATAGCGAAAATCTCTCATTGTTCTTGGCAGATATTGTGTATTTACGTTTCGTTGTCACGGCTGGTGATTGTTTTGATAGGCAAGACATTAGACGACCACCAGCAGCAGTCAGTGTTCCAATTGGAAAGCGATCCGTGATTGAACGAAAAGGTCCATCTGACGAATTGTTTTTCTCAGCTTTCGAAGTTGGCTCTTCTGTGATTTCCATACTAAAGACAAAATAAATTCGATACACAAAACAGTCATCGAATATTTCTCGACGTCATTTATGCTAAAACTAATATACCGGTCAGATCAGAAGGTAACAAGTCCGAGTATTTACATCATTAAAGAACGATAAAGTTGCGTATGTGTATATCATATACAAATACAGATAAAACGAAAGCGAGATGTTTGTACGATAAGCTAAGATAAACATAGTGATGAACTCTTACTTACACTCAATCGTTCAATAGTGAGAAGATGTTCTAAAAGTCAAAAATCAAAGTCTGAATATCATAGTATTCGTGCGAAGGAAAATCTGCTAGTATGATCATATGATTAGATCGTTTGAATGATACAAAGCTCTATTCTATATGAAAAAGAGAGAGAGTAAGGCTGTACTGTTCCATTTTATTCGATAGATCATAGACTTGCCATATTCATTCCAACGATTTCTCCAATCAAGAACATCAAATAATCAATTTATCGATGTATTTGCACAATTATTCATTCTATTTGACAAATGTGTCAACTCACTCGGCTGGATTTGACATTGCCGTTGTTTTTATATGCTGGATCAATCGATAATGTATCGTAGGTATTGCCCGGTGTGTAACATTGACTATTGATTTATAATGACGAATGTTTAGTAAATTTGACATGCGCAGGCACGTAGCACCGTATAAAAGGACTCAGAACGATTTGGATCTGTATATTTCACTTCGTTTTTTTATTTCTTGCGATTAAATTACTCGATGTTTGTCGACATTTGTTCTGTTTGCCTGATGCTAATAATGATCTAGAGTTTGATAAAAAAAACAAGAACACTAGGAAATAATAGCTTTAGCGATTATTAGCATATCAACGGTGGAAGACTAATCAATAATGTAAAATTGTGAGATTCTGTCAGAATCAAAGATAAGATTTATTTATGAACCTCTAGTATTCTCTTTTGAATGGTCGCAACGGGATCCGTTTAGAATAGTTTTTCAAACCTCTCCTTTTCCGACGCAAATGGACTCATTTGCGTATAATATAAAAACATTTGACGATAGATGTCACTGGGTAATATCTAGTCTAGAATCACATACCGCAGATTTCTGAAAATCTAAGGAATACTTTTATTATGATAAAATAATGGTATTTTGAGAAAAATTAGCAAAGAAATCGTTGAATCTATTGTGTTTGTCCTTCGAATATGGTCAGGAATTCTAAAACGACAATGAAAAGGACTGTGAGAAGTTCTCAATCTAAGCTATATACTGACCATCAAATCCTATCCGTCTGTCGTTGTCTACATCGATTTCCGCGATCATTGCATCCGCCTCTTCTTTTGTTAATTTCATCTCATCATTTCCATTCGTTAATAAAGTCATCAATGCTCGTAATTCTTCACTTTCAATCGATCCATTCCCATCATCATCGATGGCATCGAAGATTTCACGTAATTCTCGTTTATTATCAGCGTCACGTGTTTTCTTCAGTATAGACATCATAATTAAAAATTGTTTACAATCAATAAGATTACATTCTACAATAGAACTCGTTTCACCTGAGGAAGATTTGAAAAAAAATGCGTTCGATAACAAACCTTCGTCGACAATATTTTCAATGAGTTGTTGAATTTGATTATCCGTTGGATTTTGTTCCAACGAACGAATAAGTATACTCAGATCTTTGGCATTGATAAAGCCATCTTCATCACGATCAAAGAGACTAAAAGCTTGAGTATATTCTACATGAAAAACGAATCCATAATTTGTACAAAAGTCTATCTTGCATACCGAACACTTCTTCACTGGTCAGCGGTTGTCGCTGGATAAAAATTCAGATAAAATATGAATATAAATAGAGGAGAATTGCAGATCTTACGGGTAGATATATTTTTCGTGCTGAGGTGGCATTCTGGCGCAACGTACTCATACTTTTTCTTTTCAACGAACGGTGGCCAATATAATCAAAAGAAACGAATTGGCTACACGAGGCTTCTCGAGATGAAAAAATGTAATTATATTCAAGAATCTTTCCTTTCCAACACGTGTGAAGATAGAGTTACATCTTGCGTATCATTCTGCTCGATCTTGGAAGGTTTTCTTCTTTTTTTTTTCAAAGAAATGTTTGCTATTTTTAATCAACAACAAAACGGTACAAATAACAGGCATAAAACGCCGACACAAAATTGTTGAATTTCAAACAACAATGCTATTAATCTTCCATTGATTCTTTGGTTTCATTTTCTTCTTTATTCTTGCTCTTACCGACGGCTCTACAAAACAAATTTGAATTAATAATAAAAGAAATCAAATGAAAAAAAGAATAAGTCTTACCGATAAACACCAACAACAACTGCATGATCACGTTCATACGGTTCTAATGTGAGTTGTTCTTTTGGTTTGAGCTTTTCGCTTTGAAGTTTCTTTACTTCACCAGCAAAAACAGCTTCTGGTGTGGCTGTCGAATCGATACAACTAGCCTAAACAAGATACTTCGTTATATCAGTTGCAGTTCAGACACCGCGAACTTACTTTAATCGAAATAACAAAATGTCCACCATTCTTCAAGAAATGATGTGCGTTTAAGGCAACAATACGTGCTTGATCTGGCTGGGCAACATCTGCAAAGATCGTATCAACCATACCGATGAGCATTCGATATTTATGCGGATGGCGTGCGTCTTCAATGATTGGAATAATGTTCGTTCGTTTCTTAGCAACATTCAATAAATCACGACCAGAACGATGAGAAAATTCAACAGCATAAACAAGACCATCCTGAAGTCAAATCATGTAGAAATCTGTGAAAGTGTCCAGTAAAATCGTTTACGTACTGGTCCAACAATGTCGGATACGTGTGATACTGTTGTACCACTAGCTGCACCAAGGTAAAGAACTTTCGTGCCGGGCGGCATATGAATATTATCAACACCACTCAGAATTGCTGCACCTAATTTTGAACGAAACGGATTCCATACACGATATTCAATTTTGTCTTGATTTTCTCCCTAGAAAACAGAATTGTATCGGTCGACGTTCGTTAACACGATTCTCATACATCAACACTGATGCGCTTTTCGCCATAGACACTTTCGCCAACGACCATATTCTTCGTTAATAACATGTCATCGTCTTTAGATCGGGCAATGAAAACTCCTGTACAGAAGATATACGATGAAATTATGTTCAACATAAAAGAAGAACCGACCTGGATGACGATGTGGTTCGACAACGACCTTCTTTCCGCCGCCGCCCATACCACCACCTGGTAACAATTGCAACAAAAAACTGTCTCACTGCCAAAGCGAATCAACATCTAATATTACCTCTTCCACCGCGACCACCACCTCGTCCTCCGCCGCGACCACCTAAAAAGAGAATTGTTCAGAAAACTGTCGAATAATCTGTTAAAGAACTACTTACGTCCACCGCCACCGCGTACACCTCCACCACGTGGACCTACCAATTGTAATACACGTCGAAATATTTTTCTCAATTCAAAAAATCTTACCACGACCGCCTCGATCACCACCTAAATTAACGTTAATTAAGAAACAAAGATGGACATTAAACCAAACAACTCTTACCTCGTCCACCACGAAAACCGCCACGATCACCGCCGCCTATCGAAGATTATTTTCACATGAATTCACAAATCAAGTCAACATACCTCGGCCACGACCTCCGCCACCGCGGCCACCACGAAAATCTACACGAATATGATGTCCACTTTATCTGAATGTTTTTTGTTTAAATCAAACTACCTGGTCGACCCATTATTTCAATTTAAGCTAGACGAAGGATAATCTTAAATATTCCTTTAGATATTATTAGACTAATTGAAGAAGAACTCGTGCGATTAAACTGAGACGATGAAATAGAATCGAATTGCTTAATTTCAAATGATTCCTCTCCTCACAAAGATTTAAATGTACCAATCAATATTCGATTTTAAAATTCCCATTTTGAACAACAAAATATTCTCACAAATTTTCCTGAAAGCATTTAAAATAAGAAAAATACTATTTTATAAAATAGAGTTAAGAATTTGTTGTGATTAACCACAGATTATATATATCGTACAGAATCGTAGGTGGCGCTAGTGTCAGGACGAATTGTTACATAATGGAAAAAAAGAACATCACAGTTTAAACACGATCAGAACGTGATAATTCCAATAACTTCAATCGGTTTCTTCTAAATTTCTTCGCTTCACGCGACAGTATGATCTCATCAAATGAACTTCCTCGAATGAAGTTCATTCACAAGAGATAAGATAACAGAATAGTTCGCGACTATCGAATCATTGAATCGAACAGTAATTTTTCGTTGGCAAAACAGTTAATCGGACATGAATATCAAGTCGACCGAATAACAGAGCGTCGTCATCAAGTTTAAAGTACGCGCGGTACGCATGCTCTTTTTTTTCCATTCGGTCTTGTGAGGATCCACAAATAACAGGTAAATATTATCGCGTCGCGAAGAGGCATCGTGTTGTGTTTTTTTTTTCGAAGCGCAGAAATAACATAGAATGACAACGAAATTGAATCCACCGCCCCAAACGAACTCGAACGAGCTTGTTCGTTTTGTATTTGCAAGTTTTTCGCAAGGATTTGCTGGCCTTTGTACAAAGTAATTTCATTTACGCAGGAATCATTTGTTACAACTTCAAAATATTTTTTTCTCATTCGTTTTAGTCCAATCGATGTTATCAAAACACGAATGCAAGTTGATGGCGAATTACAAGCCACACGTAGTGTTACTGAACAAATGCAAAATCGTTATTATCAAGGATTTGTTCGAGGATCACTTCGTATCGTCCGGGAAGAAGGCTTAGCTGGACTCATGCGGGGTGGTGTGCCAGGTACACTACGAGATGCCACTTATTCTGGAATGCGAATTGTAAGATTTGACTTATTTGTCTCGTTATTTCTCGTTAAACTTTCATCCGTTTGATTAGTATTTGTACGAACCTTTTAAAAACATATTTGGTGGTGGAATTCATTTGCATGAAAAGATCGCGGCCGGTACATGTTCAGGAGCGATATCAAGTTTCTTTGCAACACCGTTGGATGTGGTGAAAATTCGTCTGCAAGTCAAAGGAGAGCGGCCATATCGTAGTCTATTACACGGACTAATTGATATTGGTAAAAAGGAAGGTTTAGCAGGTCTTTATAAAGGCTGGGGACCAACAATGATTCGTGCAGCTGTTCTAACTGGAAGTCAAGTGTCATCCTATGATCAAATCAAAAAACTCCTCATTAATCATGGATACATGCAAGAAGGTTTACCTTTACATACAGTTGCATCGTTTTTCGCTGGTCTTATTTGCTCGCTAACTACCTCGCCAGTCGATGTGATTAAAACGCGATATCAAAATACACCGGCGCATTTAGGTAAATATACAAGTGTTTTCGATTGCTTCGTTCAATCAATCAAAGCAGAGGGTATCTATGGATTGTACAAAGGATTTTTACCAAATTGGATGCGGCTTGGTCCACATTCGATCATTGCATTTCTTATGTATGACAATATGTGTATTGCTGCTGGCTTGAGACCGATTTAGGTTGCGTTGAATTCTACTTTTACTCTTATTAGTGCATAGAATATACAGTGTAGTACTTTGCTCAATAAATAGTTTTGTTATTCCAACGAGATTCACGATTTTCTATTGATTCAAGTGAAAACATCTTTTATATCATGAACTAATTCTGATTTTGTAAACCTATTATCAATCGAGACGAGAGAACATATATATAGCATAACAAAGGAAAAACAAAAAAAAAAGATCTGAATTGAAAGAATTATGATTGACACACACACTCACACACATATATCTAAATAAATGGAGATCATATCTGACAAAACATCGTCTATTCATTGTCGCTAATCTCAGGTGACGCCTCCATTTGCAGAACTCGTCGTTTCTTTGTGATTGGCTTATCGCTGTCGGATGAATCTTCGTTGTCTTCTACTTCGCTGCTTGCAACTCGTTTTCGTTTATTATCTATTTCCGAATCAGTTGTTACTCGGCCTTGACCGCGTAATGTTCGACCGCCTTTGACGTATCCTACAGAAAAATGAGACCGATCTTTAATTAACACTGATACCAACTAACCTTTGACATCAACGGTACTCTGTTGAATTTCCAATAGTTCTTTTTCTGTATCACGTTTTTCACGAAATTTCTGGCACTCTTTAATTGATAAATTACCTGAAGAAAACAAATTTAATGAAAGAGTAATAACAATCTTTTCATCCTCGTACCCGTATATCCTGCTTGATCGAAAAGTGATTTCAAAAATTTAATCTTTGCCTTATGTGATGAGAATTCATCTAATTCCGACTTTTTAATCATATGACGAATACCAGATATGCGGAGTAATTTCTTTAGATGTTCAACACGTGATTGTTCTTGGTCAGCTTTATCTTTCTTTTGACCTGCTTTCTTTGTATCAGTTGTTGTTGCAGACTCATCTTCTTCATTTTTCTCTGCAGTATCTTTTTCCTCTTCAATTTCCATCGATGTATCATTGTCATCTTTCTTTGGTGAAAGTTTCGTTTCGGTTTCAGCCGTTGGTTCATCGTTGGATTTCTTTTTGTACGATCGTTTAGGAGTCGCTTTTTTATCTGACATGTTCTTCTTTTCACTGGACTTCTTTGTCTCGGTCACTTTTGCTGATTCATCTTCTTCGTCGACTTCTATCGATGTATCATTGTCATCTTTCTTTGGTGAAAGTTTCGTTTCGGTTTCAGCCGTTGGTTCATCGTTGGCTTTCTTCTTGTACGATCGTTTAGGAGTCGCTTTTTTATCCGACATGTTCTTCTTTTCACTGGACTTCTTTGTCTCGGTCACTTTTGCTGATTCGTCGTCTTCGTCGATTTCCATCGATGTATCATTGTCATCTTTCTGTGGCGAAGGTCTTAGTTCGCTTGTAGTCACATGTTCATCCTTGGCTTTCTTCTTGTACGATCGTTTAGAAGTCGCTTTTTTATTTGGTGTTTCTTTCTTTTCACTGGACTTCTTTGTCTCAGTCACTTTTCCTGATTCATCTTCTTCGTCGATTTCCATCGATGTATCATTGTCATCTTTCTTTGACGAATGTTTCGTTTCTTTCGTAGCCGCTGATTCATCTTTGACTTTCTTTTTGTACGATCGTTTAGGAGTCGCTTTTTTGCTTGATGTGTCTTTGTTTTGAATAGATTTCTTTACGTCAGTTGATTTTGCTGACTCATCTTCTTCATTTTTCTCTGAAACGTCTTTTTGCTCTTCGAATTCCACTGATTTGTCGCCGTCATCTTTCTCTGGTGAAGGTTTCGTTTCGTTCGTAGCCGCAGATTCATCTTTGACTTTCTTTTTGTACGATCGTTTAGGAGTTGCTTTTTTGCTCGATGCTTCTTTCTTGGCGCGCTTTTTCAGTTTCGGTTTCGGCTTTTCTGGTTTTACTTCTTCATCTGATAACGAAGATGCGGATGAACTGGATCTTTTCGAAGGACGTTTCTTCTCTTCGCTTGGAAGATCAATGCGTGGAATCCGAAGTGAAAAGTCTTTCGAAGGTGACGATCGTTCAGAATCTTTTTCATTTTCATTGACTTCACTACTTAGATCATCTAAATATTGCAAGATCAGATTAGCTGATTGTTAATTAACATGTACATACGTGCAGGAGGTTCTGATGATGTCGCTGCTGCATCTTTGACTTCTTCTTCTATTTCTTGTTCATCATCTTTCTGATCATTGTTCGTTTCACTTGCTGGATCAGCATTTTCTTTATCTGCTTCCACTTTCGTTGATGTTGCGCCTTCGACAAACGATAACTTTCGATTGGATCGTACTGGTTTCGCTGAAGCACTTTTGATCATAGCATCAAGTTTACTTGTATTCGATTTGACTGACGAAAGTGAATACGCTGATTGCCGAAGTGAATTCGATCGTTTAGCAAGCCAGTCTGATGATACACCGAACTTTTTCATATTGTTTAAAAATAATGGAGAAAATGGTTTGTTCGTGACTGTTGTTTTCTCTGAATCACTAGATGATTCATCACTATCGCTTTGCGACTTTGATTCTTCTATGTTATTCAAAAAATACAACATTCATATTTCTTCTTATGTGTTGAATATATCTACGTACTGGATAGTTTAATAATTGAACGATGTTTCATCGTTGGCGTGACGGTTTCATCACTATCTTTCAATTTCACCGTATATGATATTGGTTCATCATCATTGTCTTCATCGTCTTCGTCGTCATTGTCAACTTCACCACCCTCAACAGGACATTCCTGAAAAAAGATATAGCTAATGATTCGTTATTAACACGAAATGTTGTACGTTACTTCGAGTGCTTTTAAAAGTAGTTTTTGAAATTGTTTATCTTCATCTGATTGTGGAATAATTGGATCGTCGCCTGAACGGCTATTATACAAATCTCGAATTTGCCGTGTTGTTGAACAACTAAAGAATGAAAATTGCCAATTCGATTCCTTTCAATTCGATAAAATCATCATTATATACCCAGGATTATTTTGTTCACGAAGAATAGCTTCGACTAAGCCAGCATTGACCATGATAGGTTCCTTTCAAAAATAGAAAATCTAAAACAAACAAAAAAAACAAAAAGAAAACAATTGTCATCCACACACAAAAAAAAGTAACAAATTCAAGTAGTTCGTTTTCGTTTTCGGTTCGATCCAACACTTAGTGTATCTTTTATTTTTGGTTTAGTTATAGGAGTTTCGAGTCTGGCAACGCTCGTCTGCGCCACTTTTATAATCTTACAGCCAAGCTCGCTAAAGATGTCTTGCAATCTAAATAATCAAACAAAATCTTCTTTATGTGTCTGCAAAGAAAATTTTCCATTTACTTTAATAATGATGTCGAACTGCCTAGTGAGGAACGAAGACTATCGATATCCACCGTATATTGACAAATATGTAAAGCTAAGATACATATATGTGCAGTTAATTTCAGTCGAAGACGAGGTGGAACCGTACTAAACATTGTCGAACATAGACTAATGAATTACATCAAAATCTATCCTCACTTGTCCTGTTTCCGTGTACGTTCATTGATACTCGCAATAGCATACACGTGTAAAGCTTTGTCTTGTAATGGACGTGGTGCGTCGTCAGGAAACGGTTCTATGTAACATCAAGTAGACTCAATAAGAACATGTGCAACGGTGACAAACTTACTTCCAGTTAAGCGTTTGAATACTGAACGTTTGAAAAATGTTATCAAATAGTGTAAGTAGAGAATTTTCGATGCACATGATACCCGTTCACCATGACTCACAGGTAATTTTTTCATCTGATCACAGACGAATGCTGTATAAGTACCTTCTTTGGACCATTTTTGAATCAATTCTTTCGTTGCATCGACGATTTCATTAGATTTATCGTTTAGCATCAATAGATCACTTTCATTTATAACTAAATCGATAGAAGACACAACAAATAATACGGTCAAATTCTTTACAGATACAAACTATCGGAGAGTTGAAACACTTCTTCAGGTTTTTGTGCATCGTAATTTGGTTTTGGTATGGCCATTTGTTCATCGGTATCCAATGAAATGATTGAATTATTATTTAAACTTTCACTTAACTGTTCATTGCTAGTATTCACTACTTGTTCTCGCGCAGCTGATACAGCTGTCTCGAGAATGTTGGCTTCGATAGCGTTACGCTTCTTCGAGTGTACTGAACGACGTTTCTTTTCTGTTCCAAATTTTTCATCAAGATCAGTTCGCTGAAAAAGAGAAAAAAGGCTAGATTTAGACATCTCTGCAAAGAATGTCTTACACTCAGTTTATTATCATCGTTATTCAAATTTTGACTGATTGTGACATTGAAATCAGTTAATTTAGGACGCATACTGTAGAGATCGAAATTTGATGACAGGTGAATATGTCCTTGATCATCGACAAATCCAAGAACACCACATAGATCGGACGATTTGGTATTTTGACCTTCATATGTCAAATCAGCTGTTTTTATGGTAGTTGTTGTTGTATCAAATTGTATATCGAGCATTTCCTCAGCTGTGATCTTGGGATTTTGAGGAAAATGAACTGAAAGCATAAACCAAAGTATGTTTTCCTCAGAAATTAGTCACTTGGAAAAGTTAGAGAATTATACAGGTTAAACAACATCCAATGACAATGAAATTTTTGTTTTTCTTGGTATTGGTTTACTTACCAATAGCAAACGAATCTGTATTATTCATATTGAATATCTAAAAAGAAATCAAACACATAAGATTAATTCGTAAACATACGCTGATGATCAGTAGCCTACGTTGGAATCGAACTCTTTTCTACAGTACGATTTGATTCAAATATACTTACAAAATCAATTGTTTCCTGAGTATTATCGTCAATTCAAATCTATGATCACTATCTAAAATATAGAATAATTCTTTAAACTTTGTTTACAAATGAACATGAAGGAGAAAAATTAGAATAGTTTCATCTATCGTTTCTGATCGATTTTTTCGAGAGATATCAATCTAGAACACAAAAACAAAGAAATTACAGGCGTATCAATCGCTATTCACCTTACGGTTTAAGTTGGTCAGCAAATGATTTCATTTCGTCTCCGACTTTGTCCTATTTGAAAACAAGAAACTTTCTAAAATACAGTTGAAAGGGAAACTTTACATCAAGCACTGATCCTATCAATGACATTTCGACGAAACAAGAATCTGTGAATGGTCGGCGATTTACCATTGGGTTTCCATCATTACGATTGCGCTCAGTTGACTAAACATACGCAACAGTTTCAGTTCGACAAAAGTTCATCATTCAATAAATGAAGATGTTTACCGTTGAAATTTTTGCCACAGTTATTTTTATTCTTCCTTTTCGATAAATATCGCCTTTAGCATAAAACTCATAGTCGTATCCAAAGCCGAGTTCTTGTAGAAATGCTTGAATATTCTTTGTTACACAACAATCATGAAATTGCCGAATACTGACATGAGTGCTCTTGTCCAATTCAGCTGCAGCAACATACCGTAGATGATAGATCGGATTGGGTAAATCATCAAGAGCATAACGAACACGCAATGAAACATTTGTAGGCGCAGGCGGTCGTAGTGAATAAACAATTTCATGATCATCAAATAGTTCCACTTCACCTAAACAATCAAATCTCGCATTCGAATGAAATGAATTGAATTCAAACGCACCGGTTATATTGTCACACAATCCTTGTAAACGTGCTCGTAACAGATGGGCGGATTTATCCTCGATACTACCTTGAAGCACATACTCTAATGGTAGGAATGATGAACGATTTTGTCCACTTAAGCTTTGAGCTGGATCCATATTCCTTTTTTCTACAAAATTCTATCTTTTTAAACAGAAGAAAGTACGTGTGAGTGCCATTGGTTCGTTTTCAGAACCAATAGTAATCATTTGCCGAAAACAATTCATTGAACTTTTAAAATCTTTTTTCTACATTTTTTTCCTTTTTAACATGACATTTTTCAATTTAAAATTGAATCAAAACTTGTCTTCGCTAGATGTCGTCAAAGTTCTTAGAAATCACGCGAGTAAAATATTTTAAAAATTGTATTTCATCAGTATTTCGTCATTCAACTTAATGTTTATCAATCAAGGGAACGATAGAAATGATTTTGATTGGTTAAATTTTGACAAGCATAGGTCAATCAGCCATGTGATCTGGCATGCAAGGAGCGTATGGGCCAGACGATGAGATTGAGTCTGACAATTTTTTTTCTTTCTTTCCTTTAACTCTGCGCGTAATTATTTGATCGACAATCTCGTCTTTTTTCTTGCTTGCTTAGAGCATTTTTCTCGTGCCCGCGTCAACTATCGTCGCTAGAAACAGAGATATTTTCTTCTTATTCTCAGCCATATCGCACCAAACAGCCGACATTCTGTATATACTCCGGTTAAGACAAAAACAATGAATGATTCCTTTTTATATTCAACAACAACACCAGTGACAAAGTCAAGTTGATTAGATCTCGTTTGTGTGTACTTGCTTTTTCGAAACATGGACATATTCACTGTTTTTCTACTCTATTTCAAGGTCACAAAATGTACAAAGCATTAACATCGTTATGGTCAAAGCCATTACCACCATCAACAACAACAACATCTCCAAATAATAGAACTCGAGATTCATCAGATTCAACGGTTGATGAAGATGGTTGGATACTGGTTTCAGATAATGGTGAGCATTTTGTTACTTCAAATCAATTCGTTTGACACGTTTAGTCTTTCATTTCAGTAGTTGTAGAACCGAATACAACTTCATCAGATGATAAAAATAGTATAATGACTAATAGTTGGATCGCATCTCCACCATTAATAAGAACTGATCAATCGCTATCGATAAATAGATCATCATCACCGAATACACATCATTTTAATCCAATCGAGAATTTACTTATCGAACATGCGAGTAAGAAACCGGTCAATCGATTTCTTGGAACTGATTGATATCGAATAATATCATTTAGGTATGAGTGTTTACGAGCAAATTGCGTCGCGAACACGTGCTAGACGTCACCGAAAAACGGTGAATGACACGAAACTCGATGAACAAGTCGAAGGAGTGAAAACTGATGATGATGACGATCGATCATCTGTCGTTCTTCAAGTAAGTCTGTCGATTCATTTTATTCAAACTCAATTATGTTTGTTATGCTTCTAGTATACATCTCCACATCCGAATATCTCATCAGTTCATCTTCGAACTTTGAATACCTCGTTAAGTCATTCGACGAACTCTTCATTATCACCATTAGAATCGTCGACGTCATCACTCATTGCCCACCATCGTCATTTACAACGTATACATCAACGACGACGACGCCGATCAGGTAAAACATCTTCGAAATTAACCTTAACGAATCAAATTGATGAATCAAAACAAACATACAATAAAATAATCGAACGACAACGTTTAAATTATGCTCGTACACCTAAACTTGTTCTCCATCAACCATCCCGTGCCAATCATTGATTGTATAAAAAACCCAGCAAAAAAATGCCAAGTCCGTCTAACCCCCCACACACACTCTCTCAGTATTACAGTAAACGAAATATAAATTCTTTATCTATATATCTATCCATATAAAAAAATCAAGCATGTAATCTTTTCCATGTCATTCCATAACTTCTTTTTCGTCTCTTTCTATACATTTCTCTATTCATGCACATTTATCCTTGTATTTATTCGACTTTTTTCTTCTATTGACATTTTTTACACCAGTGTATCTGTGTACATACGAATCGCATTTTTTCTCTTTCCTCTTGGTGTTGTAACGTCAGTGCTTTGTCTAGTTTCGACTAAAGAAAATGAAAAATTACTTTATAAAAACAACATGTTCTTTTCGTCATGTCTATTTTCTGTTGTCTATCTGTATTTTTTAGCATTTCTACCGGATCTGAGAGCCTTTGAGCTGATATACATATATTTATATATTCGTAACATTACGCGCGCTTTTTCCTTCTACACCTTTTCTTTTCTTGCCCTTCATGTGTTATGTATGTGTGTGTATATTTACGAAGCCTTTTTCACGGTTCAGTGTGTAAGAACGCAAAAGAAAAAGAAAAAAAAAGAATGGTAAATTATAATTGAAATAAAAAAAAAAGAACAAAAGATAATTTGTATAAAGACATATGTGTTTCTCTTTGTTGAAAAAAAGATTATCAAATGATTCAGCATCTAATTATTGTCCATTTTAGTTCGAAATAGATTGTATTTTTCAATGACTAGCGCCTCATGGAAATAAATCAAGGTGAATAGACTGTTTTGACATTGGCATTAATGACGACAAGTACTTCAATATGTCTTTTGTATCTTTCAGGATTCGATTCATTATCGTCAGATTCTTCGATAAAACCCTTAACGCTATCCACTGATAGCTTGGTACCAAGAGAACACGATCAAATGCCACATTCACCTTCAAAGTCATCTCTTTGGCATCGATATTCGTCATTACCGAATCAATACTCTCTTCATTTTCTCGGCCTATGTGCGCAAGTTTTCGTATATTATCTCGGCTATGGTTATTTACAAGTAAATTTAGTTCCATAGATTAATGTCAAATAGAAATTTCTATGTATGGTTTCTCTAGGAATTGTTATTCACATTGAAGGGTTTCGGTGAAACAGCCTGGTTTTTGACATGCTATCAGTTTCTGGTCTATAGTGTACTTTCATTTCGACATATTGGCTTTGTTGGGTTAAGCCAGCGCAGGTTTGACATGATTATGATATTTTTCCAATGATAATGAGTCAGATTTTTCTTTTAGAGCTAGTTTTCGTTCGTATATCATTCTTGCTATGTTAACGCTTGGTACAATGGGTTTGTCAAATTATTCAGTTGGATATTTAAACTATCCGTATGAAAAGCAGATTTTCTATTCAAAATGTATTCTTTTCATTGATTAATTTAGTACACAAGTAATGTTTAAATGTTGTAAATTGATACCTGTACTCATCGGTGGTGTCATTATTCAAAGTAAAGCTTAGACACGGATGAACGACGAGATGTTTTGTTTGTATATTTAGAGAAAACATTCAATCGTTATGATGTGTCTGCCGCGATTTGTATGTCAATTGGATTGATATTTTTTACCCTAGCTGATTCCAAAGTTCGACCGAGTTTCAATACATATGGTCGAAGAAAAATTCCATGTGTTTTTATATGAGGGATAATATGTTCTTTGTTCAGGCGTGTTTATCATTTGCATGGCACTGGTTGCTGATGCTATTATTGGTAATTATCAGGAGAAAATCATGAAAACGCACAATGTTCCCAACGTAGAAATGGTTCGAGATTAAAATAAAAACGCAGTACTATTTCCAAGGAAACATTTCTTCTAGGTGTTTTATAGTTTTATGTTTGGATTCGTAATGGTTTTATTCGGACTTTTACTAACAAACAATTTATTTTCAAGTATCGTTTTTTGGAGCAAGGTTCGTGTGTTTAATTCTTTTCCCTTGCCTTCTATTAACTCTATTAGATACTTTCCCATGTTATTACTGTTTGCTCATAGATAGAATAACTTAATTGAATCTTTATTTTAGCATCCTGTACAAACATATGGATATGCTTTGTTGTTCTCGGTATTTGGATATTTAGGCATTGATATTGTCTTGACATTAATCAAGGAGTATGGTGCATTGATTTGTGTTACAGTTACAACATGCCGAAAAGCAATAACCATCATTTTATCATTTATACTTTTTTCCAAGCCGTTTATTTTCGAGTAAGATGTTTAGCATAACCTTCACACTGTAAAAATTCGCATTTTCTTTTGCTAGCTATGTTTGGTCTGGTTGTATTGTGATTGTTGGCATTTATCTCAATGTCTATAGTCGCAACCAAGCGGCATTCAATGCCAAAATTGCATCGTATGCTACTAGCTTGTTCGGTGCTCATTGGGTTTCGAAATTTTATTCGGGAACATCCACGCGAACCTTATCTGTGTGATATTATCCGTGAATCTCACATGCGTCTTTTTATCATCATTATTATTTATTATGTTTTGCATAGTTCAATTGAAAAACGACGAATAAAGAGTACAACAAATATACGAGATTGTATTTTTAGTCAGGCTATCAGATGACATCATTGTTTTTCCGTCGATCGTATAAGATTTAATATCGATTTGTGAAACACGAGCCATTTAGTCAATATTTGATTTATAGTCATGACGTTTTATTTATAAATAGAAACACTTGTGAAGAAACAACGAAATATTCACGTGATTATATTACGAGTAGATTTTATCTTGAAAATATCTGAACGAAATATATTCACTTGTCTTACTCTATGTGAAAAGATAACGGAATGAAGATTGAACTCAGATCGTATGGAATTCGGTCATGTTTTCTTCCACTTGTCATCAATAGGACACGATGTACTTTTAAAGTGTAAGAAAAAAGTCAGGTGTAAATATATCACATGACGAAACACAATGGAAAGTTAATTTAGTTTATAATTCTAATTCAGTTTGTTAAAAGTCTAATAAGAAATTGATGTGTCAGAAATTATTGCATAGCAACGAAATCTATTGAATGTTATTTTTTTGTCGTGTTTCTCATCGTTTTTTTCCGATAAGAACCATCGAAATAAACAGTATTTCAAGAGATATTCTATGTCTACATCAAAGCGAGTTCGTCAATCGGCACTAACGAGTAACGACGATTTGGCTGAAGCTACAAGTGCTTTCATCGAATCTTTACTAGCGCCAACGAGTAGTATTTCTCAAACACGAGAAAAACAAGTCAATTCCTTACATTCTAAACGAAAGTCGGCCGGAAATCAGTTACAAACTGAACGAGAAGCCATATCAGCCTTGAGTGAGTCTGTAAATCAAATTCCAATCGACAGCGATACAACACAAAAGAACAATGCCGACGACTGGGTATGATTTCCTTGAATAGCAAAATACATGTAATCTTTTTCGACATACTAAGGTTTGTCCAGTAGCTGTAGCATTAAGACGAGCTGGATATGACGTAGGAAACTTGCGCAATATATATTCCATAATTTAAGTCTTTTCTATTAGGTACCGCTTAGACCTTCGAAATCTTGGCTCGAACAAGGTTACTAAAGCTTTCTACTTGTTATGTACTTTATCAGTCACTAATTAACTGTTTCAGACCGAAAAAAACAAGCTTTACTGCATCAAAAACGGATGTCACATGAAGACACATAGTCTTTGCTATTATCATCTTGGCAGGAAAAGTCACATGAATACTTTCATACCCTGTAACCTTATATTTACTAAAGATCGCATGCTCGTCTAATCCTATCAAGTCAGTGTCATAATACATTATGCAGACAAACTGAAAAATAATAATTAAAGGCATGGTGTTTTTTTTCATGAAGTTCATTTTAATTTATTCAGTGACAAGAGGATCCTTACGAGTGTGTTTGAAAGTTTACATAAAGAACAAATAGTGGAAGACTCCGTCACTCTTAGATGACATTCTACTACCTAATGAACTGTAGTTAATCGATGTCGGCTTCAAATTTTGTCAGAAAAATATCGAAATGTCTGCCCAAACTTCATGGCAACTAATAATTACACAAGGAAAGGCCAGATATTTTTCTTTTCCATAAGCTGACATCGAAAGAAATAGATGTCAGATAAAATCTCTAAATTGTGCCGTGCATTAACAGCACATTACACTAATGGTTCGTAGACATTGCGAGAATAATTATGAAAATCATAATGCTCTCACGAGTTTTTTTGTCATTATTATAAAAAAATGAGTTGCTAAACTCACTTAGGTATACCTAAGCGTTTTATCGTTCGTATAAATACTTCGAAAGCATCTGTGGGAGTTGCAGGATTGTTTTCCTTCCATGGAAAATCGTTAGTTTCAAACTTGAACTAGTGCATTCGTATAATTGCAACAATTACCACATACAGGTACACAATATATGTGAGTAATAAAGGAAATATAATGGCATTTCACGCCAGTTGATTTGACATGAACTTGCTAATTTTAGGAAACAGTTTCATATATCTGTTCACACATAGATAGTTCATTCGTTGAGTGAAATTCAGCAGTGATAACTACCAATTTGACAAATATAGACTCATTATTAAAATGCAAAATAGACTCATTCTATATGTGCGCACATGACACATTTCAATCATCTCATTTCTAAAGACGCAAATAGATTGTAGCTTTCTCCGAAGAGAAATCCCTGATATTCTTTTCCTCTTTTCACTCAGTGAGAACATTTAGGGCTCGTCGCAGGGTAATCTTTTATTTTGACCATGCACACGAGCGCGTCTCGTGTAAACAGCTCATATCCTTGATTTTATTTACATTTGTATCAAATATTTTCTTTATTTATCTCTTGACTCATGTGAATATTAAAAAAAACATGTGATATATAATTAATAAAGCTAAAAATATGAATAGTGCGGCAGTTCCACTTTACACCTTAAAATGCTTCGATGTAAATGTGCAAACCATAGACTATCGTTTTCTCTATGGAACAGAAATAATGTCTTCAAGTTCTTTTCTTAACAGAATATTAGAATCTTAAAAGCAATTTCACACTGCCGGCGACAAGTTATGGGGGAAAAGAACGGAGTGTTCACTTCAAATAAGGGGAAAAAGCAACTTTACTCAACAAGGACCTATTCCTTTGATAGTTTGTTCTTCTATTTCGGCACTTTGAAAAAAAAAAGAAAGAGTGCCATTCGACCTTTGTAGATACAAACCAGTAGCAAACGATCAACTGAAACTTAAGACAATTTGACTTAGTTTTGCGTTTTTCTTGATGTTTAAAGTAGGAGGAATCTGATTTGATTCTAACTACTTATATAAAGTCTGATGAAGATTTATTCGCATGACGTCAATTTGCTCGCGCTCCTTTCCGCGGATTCTTTTGTCACCTTAATGAAATATTAAGATAAGGCAATGTTTTTCTAATCTCTTGGTTTTCGAGAGATCAGATTCACTGTCAGCTTATGGAGATATAGATGAAAAGTGGATTTGTCTGAAGATAATAGAAACGATAGGATCCTGTTTTTTTCCAAACAAATACTTTCATACAAGAAGAGAAACAACAAGATCCTCTTGTATTAGCAGACAGATTCCATGAGTATCTCTCTGTATTGTCGTAGGGAAGAGGAGACAAAGAGAATACTATTACAACCACCATAGATATAAATCGTATGGTCTATCACAATTATCTTCACTGCTAGGAAGAAAATCGTCATGCATAAATATTCAACGATTGATTATATTGAGTCTTGACAAACAGGTAAGTGTGGTGAGATAACCGAATGCTTGACGTTTTCCTGTATGAAATCTCGAACGCAATGTATTGAAAGATGCATTATCATTATCTTCTTTGTTCCTCGATACAATATAGAAAATCGATTTGCAAAATGGAAATACGTTCGATTATCTTTTTTCTACAGCCGATTTCCTTCTTCGCTGACAGCTTAGCCTGAGAAAAGAGAAAATAAACTTGGCTGCTTCTCCAAGTAAGTTAATAGTTCAAGTAGAAAAACGGTATCCAACTGTAAAGAAACAAAGATTAGCTCATGAATAATATGTCATTAACACAAACATAGGAAGTCTTCTATTCATTTCAAAATCCACTTTATTATTTTTCGAATAAAAATAGCTTTACATTGAGATCAACAAGTTGATTTAGACTGACACTTCCTTAAAATAGGAGTTTTTCCATCTTCATACTTCTAACTGGCCTAGCTGGGCATTAGCAATGTCTGTGAAGTAAAAGAATGCGAGACATACACTAAAGTATAGTTCACGCCTGAGAACATCAAGAACAGAAACAGGAGAATCAAAACATCATTATCTATCAGTGCGAACTTGCATTCATCTCGATTGTCATAAATGGCGTTGATGAGTCTTATATACCCTTTTCAATTCATTCATTGGGTATATTTTCCTCTTCGCGCAGGGTACTCGTATTGAGAATGGAAAGCTAAGAGAAAATTTTCTTTTTCAGATTTGAACGACTCGTAGTCATGTTCACAAATGATGATCTTAATCGATGCCCATCAATATTCTACGGTTCATTTGCAAATCCGTTTCTCATCGAAAGAATTTTGCTAATAATCTATGCAATTATATTTGTTATCGGTGTAGTTGGAAACACCATGACAATCATTATTATCATATGTAATACACATTTACGAACACCAACGAATTTTTATTTATTAAATTTGGCAATCTCGGATCTAATGATACTCATATGTAATCTGCCGACTGAAATGATTGAGATTCATTATCGACAGTGGCCATTGCCAGTGATATTTTGTAAATTACGAAGCATTTGCGCAGAATTTTTTACTTGTTCGTCAATTTTAACAATTCTCGCATTTACATGTGAACGGTACTTTGCTATTGTACAGCCAAGTCATTACCATCGCCTCAGTCATTTTCGTCGTGCTCGAAAAGTCATACTAATCATTTTATTCATCTCACTTGTGTTCAGCATTCCATTCGGATTCATCTATCAAATCGAAACGACTATTCACAAGCTCTCCTCAAACTCTGTGCCTATTCCAGTTTCATCAGTAGAAGACCGGATAAATCTACAGTTCAATCAAACAATCTTTTGCAAATCTTGTGCACCGAGGAAAAGCGTCACACAACTACTATCAATAATTATTATTATTACATCGATCTGTTTCTTCTATTTGCCAATGATTATCATCGGAGCCATTTACTTGTTCATTGTTAAAACTCTCCAGCTTGTAAATAAATGTGAAAATAATGCAACAACTCAATTAAACTCAAGTTTATCATCGTTATTAAGTGCTTCGAATATCGGAAAGAAACAAACTTCAACAACGTCGTGCCACTCACTTGCTACTCATAAGGATTTGACGGAAATCAAACAGCAGAATATACACCTCGGATCTTATTCATGGCTGAAAACACGTGCACGCTGTCAAGCCCGGAAAGTTGTCGTGAAAACATTAGGTAAAATTAGCTTGAATCATTTTTAGAAAACACTCTTCATCGACATATTTGTCTTTCTCTTCTTTAGTTGCAGTTGTTATCGCGTTTTTTGTTTGTTATGCTCCATTGTATGTTCAACGATTACTTCTAGCCATCATGAATTTGAACTTAACCGGCATATTCGAATCCGATGTATTTGCTAATCTCATTGCTTATCTCTATGTTATATCAGGCACAACTTATTACTTCGGTTCCGTCGTCAATCCTATACTTTACAACGTTGTGTCGAATAAATATCGACGTGCATTTCGGAATTTATTCTTCTGTCAAGTGACTTACAAGTCGAAAACGACTAGCAAAACACCGAAGACTTTGTTTCAATTAAACCGTCCAAAAAAACGAACAATTAATTATTTAGTGAAAAAGCCAGAAACATTCCCTCAACTATACGTTCAAACCCATTACCAACCACCCATGAACAGAGCAATCCCTATGGTAAAACGTCCGACGATCCCCACATCGAAATCGAATTCGTCATCGATGAGCTCACAAAATCGAGAACGGTATCCACCCTATCCGCAACACTTTAATGAATCATTGGCAAAGAAATGTCAAGTATATCAAAATAGCCGAGCTTCTTTTCGAAGGAAATTACTTGCGCGAAAGATGCTTGCTGACAACGATCGATAGTTAATCACAAACAACACAACATAATCGAACTAATTCTCTGCTTGACATTCAAGCCATATCAAATACGGCAGACTGTGCCATGATCAGTGAAAGTCATCAGTATGTGATATACATAAGCCATGCAAATTCGTTGTGTACTTTCATATTGTTTGTTATTAATGATCAGTAGAAGAAAAATAATAAAAAATCGATTGACGGTCGATCAATTATGAGTCTTGAAAGCGCAAATTTGTTTAGATTTATGTCTCGTGAAAACGACCGATGATAACTGGAAAAGTTACTGATGCATTTCTATGGATATAAACATTAATCAGATGAATTCTAGCGAATAGAATTTGTAAGAGAGAGAGAGAAAAGCCGCTTTTCGAGCCTCAAGAAATCTAAACAACACTTTAGATAGTTCTTAATTCACTATCCCTGATCGCCCCTACACTTTTCTTTTTCTCCTTCTTGGCGTTGGTTTCCTTTTTCCTATACTTTTTTGTGTTTTCCGCAGTCAATTTTCATTCTTTTTTTTCTCATCAAATAATAACACACATCGAAAAAAAAGGAATAAGTAAAACCTAGGAGAAATAAAGACAAAGCTTGTTATTCAGTCGACGAATGAACGAGTTCAGCCATTGGAAATGATACGATGAATGAATGTAAAGTAGCTAATGTGAGACGAGAGAAGAAAATACGAAGTGTATGCACAAGAGATGAAGAAGCTAGAAGAGAGACGACTACGAATAGAATGTGATAAGAAGATTTTCATCATATGCGTATTGTTGTCTATTAGTTAACGTCTTTCAGAAGGACGGAACATGTCTTGGTATCATTCAACATTGTTAAATACCGATCGACGTCCATCGCGTATAATCGCAAGTTGTAAACAATTTTCACGACGTGTTAGCGTTGGTATTTCACGAGCGGTTCGCCGTATACAAGTACCAGGTAAAGCTGAAACTGGAAAGTAAAGTATTCACATTTTCATATTGTTTATTCAAAACAGATGGTCTTGCTCTATTGAACTGTATAATATAGGAACACTAGTCATTCTTTCATTCATATATACGTATGACAGAGTGAAGAATAATAAAAAACTATCAATGAAGTATCTCTTTCGCGTCTTAGACTGCGTAGAATACGAGTCATGATCATGACGTTTCAATAGTTGACAAGTTGAGAACATCTGTGAAACGCTTCTTGACAACTGGTTTCCTAACCAATTACTGTGACAGCAATATGTGACTGACTGACTGTCGTATGCGCGTTCATTTCTATTTTGAGCGTTGCTCAGATGGAAACGACCAGTTTGAATTGGTTTCATAGAATAAAGCGACTAAGGCTGTAGAGTAAAAAGGTTTTTAAGTAAATTTATACCGGAGGAGACTCCTTTCTGGTTAACAAAAATTATCGAGTCTGCTTGTCGGCGATCAATATTCTTGATCGAATCGCCGTCGGTTTTATACTATCTTTATCGTCATCATTTGAGCGAGCTGTGAATAAATTCATTGCTGAAGTTATTATTGTTTCTTTTCCGTAGTTTATATTCGATAAGTGACATTGTATTCTTCTGGTAATCAATTACTCGGAAATCTTTTTTCTTTTTCGATACAAATCGAATAAATTCACTTGACTAGAAACCAATTGATTTGCTCCACTCTAAACGACAGGCGTCTTGTCAACAAAACATTTTGTTATTGATTGAGTTCATGGAGATGAGATGGCATAACATATTTCCATCAATTAATTAGTATCATCGATGCATGTGTAACATAGATATAACACACACATAGCGGAATAGATGTTTACAAGAAAGTGTGTTATTCTTTACTGTAGACTATAGCTATTAATCCAACTGTTCGTTATTTGTTTTCTAATTAATTGTAAACATGAATAATAGAATGATGTTCCGAGTTGAAAAGTTCTCATTGTACGCTGTGAATTCAAATGGGAATCGTTGTTCTGATCAAACATTAGCCATATATTATTTATTTGATCATGCTCTCGACTTTTATATGGATATTTGTGTAGACTGTTCACGAAGTATTTTATGTGCTTAGGCATGACGAACTGATGATAGTAATTGAAACGAGTTGCCTAAATGTCATCTTTTGCTCTCAGCTTGACACACAAGCAAATAGTCAAAAAAGAAGAAGACCGGAAAGATAGAATAGAAGATTCTGATAGAGATAGGTCGTCAGCATGTGTCGAATAGTTCATAACTGTTTATATAACTAAGAGTCATGGGTGCTAACATAGCCGCATTTTCTGAGGGTCAATATAATTTCAATGTTGGTAAACGCAAACGATGGAAACGAAGAGGTACGAGTCTCAATGGAAGTAGTTTTCATTTACTTATTGAAGTCGTAATGAATAAAAAGTATTGATAGAATGGGTTTTGTTTATGTTCACACTTAGATAATCGATTGGATGCTGACCAATCAAAAAAGCTTCAACATCCACGTTCATTAGATGAAATTGTTAAATGCACTCGATTTTCCAAGTCTGAAGTTCGTCTTCTTTATCGAGGTTTTAAACAGGTACGAATGATATTCTTTGTTTATAATCAAAGGTTACTTGACCATTTTTGTTCAAATGTTAATCAGGAATGTCCTAGTGGAAATGTCAGCGAAGAACGATTACGTGAAATTTATGTGCAAATTTTTCCTCAAGGAAGTAAGATACACTATTTCAATTGTTCATCTTATTTATCTCGCTTCTTCATGTAGATGCACTCAGATATGCTCATTTACTCTTTTCCGTGCTCGATCGAAATCACAAAGGAACATTCACATTTGATGTAAATCTATTCGTCATCTTTTCTGACATGTTCTCTGACAGAGTATACTTCACTTTCTAGGATTATATATTAACACTATCAGTGCTATGTCGCGGAACGATTGACGAGAAACTACGATGGATTTTTCGTTTATATGACATTAATGGCGAAGGATCAATAACACGAGACAGTGTCGCTGAAGTTATTCTATCGTTCTATGATCTGCTCGGTAGATCCGTGCAACCTCGTGTCGAAGAAGAAGATGTTCAAGAGCATGTTGATAGAATGTTTGAAGTATGGATATCGAAGAGAGGAGAGGAAAGACAAGATGGAAAATGACATGAATTTATTTTAGAGTATTCTGCCAACGTCAACTGAAGAAATAGCATTAGAAGATTTCATCGAATATTGTAAACATGTAAGCTACTTTCGAGCCTTACTGATTGAAATTCCATAGTTGAAGACGAACAATAACTTTTTCATGTTTGTTTCTTTTAGAAGCCTCAATTAATTGAATCAATTCAGACATTATCGTGTTGTATATAAAAAAAAGTCCTTTTGGAACATTCATGTGTTGGTCTATTTAATCAAAATTTTTCTTCCATTGGAAATCGATTCGCTTCCATCCTTTTATCACGAGCTATGACATCAGGTGGATATGGTGTATGCCGATTCAATACACGAATATCAGTGGCCGGATTCACTGATCGAAATAATGTTGGATATTGCGGACGAGTTGGACCTTGAATGTTTGATCGAAATGTGTCGTTTCTATTTTCCTTGCGTCTATAACTGTTGTTGACTGGATATGATTGATCATTAGTACGTGAAGAATAAGACTCTTCGCCTATAGTACTCATCGTATCAGGATAATATTGAGGTTCATCACGTTTATTTGATGGTTTGCCATACTTCGAAGGTTTTATCGGTGTTGGAGCTATCGGTGTAAAATGTTGATCAGTTGTCACAGATGAAGATCTTGATAATATTTGAACTGGTGAGATGATTCTCGGATTAGATGGTTTTTTACATCGTTTATAGATATATATAATAGAAATAATGATGACCGCTATGAATGTAACACCTGCCCATGATATACTAACAAGCACCAGAATAGTTAATAGATCGTTTGACAAAGGTTCCATGATTTGTTGTACTTTTTTTCTTCTCACTTGTCGTTTGATCGTATTTGTCAAAACTTATATCAATAAACGACTTTTATCAACAGTCGCTCGTTTTTCTTCCTTCAACAACTCCTTTGGATATCAGTATTATATACTCGTTTCGAAATTTATTGCTTTTAGAGATAATCGTCTTAGAATTTATGCAAAATAAAAACGTTTGCGTCTTATCTAAAAAGAATGTTTCAACGAAATTTGACAATAGCAAATATTAGTAATTAGAATTAGTGAGTTATTTATCAATTCGACTTTAGAGTTGTGTCATGATCTCTGTGTACAGATGCGCATTACTCAAACCCTACTCTTCAACGATCGCTTGGCGTAAGAAAACGCGCTTTTTTGTAAATATCTTCTACAAATGTTTCGTAATGTTACTGGCGCACAAGAAGCTGCTGTACATAGACAATCACTCGATAGTTTACCGAATGGTAGTAAGCCGATTCGATTAATCAAGGATATTCAGTCAGATGATATTGCGGAAGCCTATTCGGATCTGAAGAATAAATGGTCCAATCAGCGCGAACAGTTAATTGAAAACTTAGGACAACTAGAGAAACATAGTAAACAATTTCCTCAAGATATTCAACACGTGAAAAATCTCATCGAATGTCTCAATGAACTGATCAACAATGGCGAAATCGATAAAAATTGCCATGGACTATTAAATGATACAAATGAAAGTATCCAACCAGCACCTGAAACCTACGCTCTACCTCGAAAATCATTAGGTAATAGATCTATACGATTAGCACGACATTCTTCGAAAACGATACCTGACGATGAAAGTTGTTCGTCGGAAAAAATATCATCAAGAACAACTTTAACACAGCAGGTACTATCAAAAGAAGATATATTCTTCTCATGACTGAAACTAAGTGTGGATATTGACGTTGTAAATTTTCGTTATTCAGTCATGACATATGCTATCGACTTTCTTTTATATTCTTGTGAGAGTAGGAGTGAATTTACGATGAAAGAGTATGATTTAATCTTGCATTGAATTGCACAAGATGATATAAGATCTATTATCATTCAAAACACATGTTGCACTTTTGCTTAGACTGACCGCCGACGAAATCCCGATCGACAACAACGAACCAAAAAGGTCGACTACGATGACTTGTCAAGATTAGATCGATCTACTGGAAATATGACAGCTGGTATCAAGTTCTATGCTGTTGCTGAGCATTTTCGTAATGATCAGTCTGATTCGAAAAGAAGCAGTGACAGAAAGCATTATTTTGCGTCATCCGTAATAGAGTGACATCTGGAAAGAGAATGAATTTGACCTAAATCGTTCGAAAAGTTTTATTATTCGAAATAAATACCGATCACATCATATCCTAACAAAAGCGTACTTGCTTGTTCTGTTTTGTGCTAAAACGATGAGATCATAATCTCTTGTTGCAACGACGAAAACGAAAACGTGTCACGGTTGAGTCCATTCGATGATTATATTTTGAAAACATAGACTACAAATAAGGTCGATCATGTCACAAGAAAGTATGTCTTACCGACCTATGGTAACCACAACTGAAGAATTGAACGATGAAAAATGGTCGATGACCGATCGATTAACTCCGATAGGCGGTCCGTCATCAGATGCGGAATATAGCAAAAGGTCTGTGTGTTTCTCTAGATTGCTTTCATCTGTTAATCTGTCAGATGCTTTCTTGAATCATTCTAGTGCCGACGAAGAATTCAATGAAAGAGACGTATTGTTAGAAGAACACGAACAATTAACAACTTCACTTGCTGCGCTAACTCGTCATTTTGCACATGTGCAGCTACGGTTACAGCAAGTTGTGTCCGCACCCACGCCTGAGGACCGTGAGGTAAAAAAGGAGATTTTTCCATTTTAAGTTTTCCTTCTTTTTTTCTGTTTTCCTAGAACTTACTTTTAGAGTTACATGAATTCGCATCGAATGGTATACCAGACATCATGTGTCAATCAACTATTGATGTCCATGAACAAGTGATCGAAGGAGAGAAATGCCGTGAAAAAGAATTTATCAATGAATTAAAACAAAAATTGGATGAACTGGAACATTATGCAGCTGCATCTGGTTCGTTGGAGGGCGCACCAACGTCTGTGATGATAGAAAAACAGCGAATACTTATCGATCAATTAAGACACAAACTTCATCTTCAATTGGATGATGCCTCTGTTTCAAAATTATCGTTCGTAGAACTACGAATAAATAACGTTTGTTTACTGATAATTTCCTATTGACCTATTTAGTGCTGAAGAATTAAGAAAATTGGTGGACCAAGCTATATATCAGGTACGAGTCTTAAAGCATGTGATGACGAATATTATATAAGAGAAGTTACTGTTTCCATCGCTGTAGTTAACAAATCCAGTAAAACTGAAAGAAAACTTAATTAATCAAATGCGTACCCAAATCGGTGATTTAGAAAAATTCATTGAATTTCTTAAAAGTAACTATGGTCTCCTTTTACTCGGCCGACTGAATTCCAATCTTCACTTGTAGGTGACTCTACCAATTCAGCAGTAGCGGCAGTGACGACAAATGATTCTGCTCCATCTTCTCCTCAAAGTGTCGAAACACCCTTACTCATCAAACCGAAATCTCATTCTGTATATTCTGAATTTGCACATACCATTCACACTTTTGCTCTCTATTCAGACAACTGTCCTTCCGCCATCAAAGATTTCGCAACCAACAAATCCATTTTCGTCCGGTTCTCAAACTGAACACCATTCATCGACCATAGCACAATCCTTGAAAAAACTCTTCGTTTTAACTCAGCTCTACACGTTTTTACTACTAACCTGTGGTACGCGATCAATGAACAAAAACAAAACTAGATCAACGCCAAATACAAAAAAGGATGTCATCGCAAAAAAGCATTTTGGGTAGAGTTTTCACAAGGAGGCATTTCTTTTATACAATATTTTTCAATTGATTAGAGACGTTCGGGCTAAGCTTGAAATGGCCATCGAAAATGTTATCAAAGCCGTTCAATCAAATCAAATAGTGCCAAGTGATATCGATGACACTGCAGAAGTTAGGAGAGAAAGATTGAATAGCGTGATGAATCACCTATTCGATTTTGTTTAGAATGAATGTGATTCAACAGGAGTGATTTTCTCTGTTCGAAACGAACTTGCACCTGCCCTTCGTTCTTTACTGGAACATGGTCTTTACGAAGTATGAATTGTTGTTCTTGTCAGAGTTTGATTTTCGTTCTTCGTAGACTAGTTATTCAACATCTCTGACGATCTTCGGATGTTTTGCAAGTAAATCAGCTAATAATAATTCGACGTCGAGTGAGACAATGCATGCGTGGAAGTTATTTCTGAAATATTATGAATTAAAAGTATGTTAGACTTGGACAACAGGATATTGAAAACAAATTCTGATTTTCTTTGAAGCATGGAGATGAATTTGTCAACAGTCCAGCTCGTAAACTTTCCCAGACCTTTTCACTGGATGTTGTCGGTGGTAAAGTAATAACAATGAGACAAGTACGAGAAAATGAGTCAAAGTTGGAAAAACGATAACCTTTCTCTGTATGTGTGTGTGTGTCAATTTTAGTCTTTGTTAAGTGGTATTGATATGGTTGTGAAATTACATGAAAAGCATGCCAAGTCAATGGATGTATGCTTCAAATCATTCGTATGTCATGCGTTGAAGTATGTCACTATAGTTGTAATCTTTCAAATGAATGAATGGCTGTTTAGTGAAAAGAAACTTGTTCCATTTCTTCGAATTATTCTCAAAACTGGACAAATCGTTGAAAATGATTATCAACCATGGAGTTACACAAAACAAACTGGTAAATTGTCGTTTGTTTTCGTTAATAGAATCTATTTCGAATGATGATGTAACAGGCTTTAATGATGCTCTTCATTCACTTACTCGGTTGAGCTCAATTGATTTTCGACTTCCAGTTGATCTTGCCGTTCGTCGCTTCGTCAGCAATCAAGACTTGATCGAATAATTCGTTGACGTCAGCGGGAATCCATCTAGTCACTGTCTTACTTCCGAGAGAACCTCGACGTACCAGTCTCGAAACATATACTTCTACAATACAGTAGCATGTGTTAGGAACACGAATCTCTTTCTTTTGTGGCATTTCGTGTAACTTTTATTATCTTTTCTTTGGATTTTCTTGTTGTAAAGCTATTGTGTGCTGCGCATTTTTAACAAAGAAAGACACGAAATATATCAATGAGCTTGGTTTGCTTTGATCAAAACAAATTCTCATATCTTATCGTTTTAGATCATAGGATGAATTCCACATGATACGAGAGTAAGTTTCTTTTTACTTGAAACTATGCTATAGACGAATCTTCTCGATGAATTCCAGATTTTTCCGACGATCCGGATGCATAGCTTAACATTTTATGTCTAATAGAATCATTATCTTGATCTTCATATTCGATTTCTTTCCATCTTGTTTCCACCATCAGTTGTATGTACTCGATAACTTTCATTGACGCTAATGAAGGAGTAAATGTTTCTAAACTTGATCGATGCCCTGTCGTAAGTACATGAAAATCGACATTTGATAATTGAAACTGCTCTGCTATCCAACTGAAACTTTCCCGCAGGAAATACTCGAACGCTATTTTAGATAAATGAATACTGAGTTCAATCCTGGCGTCGATCCTGAAGAAGTAGGCAATATTTCCATTGAAGAAAGTCTTATTTTCGTATTATCTAGATCAAACAATATCTTCATGGGCTTGGTCTCATACCAGTCGATGAATATTACAGTAATTCTTTCGTATGCACGTTCCTCATATAATTTCTAGTTTGTAGTTCAATTGAGACAAATGTTAAAGCGTCAAGAACAATCATCGAAGACGACAAACGAACAAATACAACGTAAACTAGCTGAAAACGGAATTCACAAAGATGATCTATCGAAAAACTTTTCAGTAAATACACATGTGTTTGATTAGAATTGATGTTTCAGCAACAAAACTATATCATTTTAGTTACTGTGTCCACGAAAGCGGGTATCTTTTTCACCAGTCATCACTCGTAAGCGCGGTAAAAGGAAAAATTTGCATTACTTCTCATGCATTAGTCAGATATTCCTTTCAGGAAAAGCAATTAAAAAGCGAACACCATCTGCAAGTCAATTAACTACTGTCACGACTACCGTGATTACATCATCAACACCAATGAATGATCAATCGGTGAGAAATGAAATCATTCTGTCATGTTGGACGAGGTTTTTTTTATAATTATTTTTCATTCTTTAGCCTAAACAAAAAAGAACGGAGGAATCAAATATAATCGGTTATGATCAACCATTAGATTTACGTGTACGAACTAAATCGGCCAGTAAATTGTGATAATGACTAATGATTTTCTGTGTCAGATATACATAAACTTGTGTCTGTTAAAATTGATTCTATGTATAATAAAAATATATGTTTATAACACTTAGAATAATTACGTCTTTTGCCTTCGCAGTTGACAAATCGATTCTTGTACGATAAGAAATTGCTTAAAGTTTATCAGTAGGTACAAATTCAATTGGATGGTTTGTGTTATTCCTGAGTGCTGTTTGTCACATCTCGACAGAATCTATCGTGTTTTGTCTACATTGTAGTAAATGCCCAGCATGACATCCAACGATTAGAAGTAAATGCAAAGAAAACATGTGTCTAGTGTTTCATTTCTCTCGGTATTTTCTGTCATCTCAATTATGCTTTGTCAAACGAAGATGTTTTCTCTTCGCCGAAAAAGACTCATCCTTCATCCATGTTCGATCTCTCAAGGAATAAGAGCTACTCGAATGGATAAGACAAATTCAGTGTATAAAATTAGTAACATACTGTTTTATTCAAGAAAAAATAACCTTGGAAACATCTGTGGCAATTTCTATTCGATATCATATCTTGTAAAATTATTCTACAAGAATGAACAAAAAGTGATACTGATGTCTTCGCAATATGATGAAACATAATAGACTGAAGTAATCTTCATAGTTGGATTATTTCATGTCTCGTGAAATCATTATATTTGACTTATATAACTTGTGTTACAGAGATGATGGTTGATTTCCGTTGAATTTCATATTGTTAATTTGAACTTGATGAGAAGAATCTTCTCAGTAAAGAAATCCTCGTAGACGCACAACAGTTGATTGATATTATTCTTTCCTTTCTATTCCAAGATTGTTTTGTTCTATTAACAGCAACTATCGGAATACGATTAATGACAAATATCTTTCCTTAGTTTTTCTTTTCTTCTACTGGTAAACTAAATATTGACATTATTTAGACATTTGATCAGAACTTCGACATCTAAAGAACAACATTAGAAGCCCGAGATGTGTGTACACAAAAGTGTGTATCTTAGTTAAAGAAGAAGTAATTGAATGTTCCCGTTCGGTGACATTCAAATACTGGTGAAAGTATACAGACACACATATAGACATTCAATCAAAATAAGCACGAGCGTAGAGAGAAAGTGTTTGAAAGAAAAAGTAATTCTTTCACCCTGTTCACACTTTAGGACAATGAAAAAAAGAGAACCGTTTCACGCGTACTTTCTTTTCCACTCAGTAAAATCATCATTTTTTTTCTTTTTTTTTTCTTCGTCGTTTTTTGCAGCTCATCATTACCGGACTTTTTGCAGTCGGGAATAATGTCACAGCCATCTCCGACTTTTTTTTCCTTTCTGTCTACCACAGAAAGAGAAAAGCCACATAGACTCACACGTACATATACGTTCTTTCAATAAAACATGTTACTTTGCCGAATGTTGCTAGACAGTTAGACGGGGAGAGTACTCATTAGTGATTTAGCGACAAAAGCACCGACGGTAAGATGATTTGATGGTTAATTTTGTTGGAATAATATTTGAAGAATACAATAAAGAGAGAAAAAACGGAGAGAGAGAGAGAAGCGAGTTTGAAGGTAAATTGCTGTTTTATTAGTAATTACCTCCTTTACACATCTAGGTATGTTAATAAGATATTGTGTTTCTCACATTTAGTTTACACAGATACTTTACATTTGAAAAGGCACTAATAGAAGGAAATGATTAACATCTTATTGATATGAGCAAAGAAAACGACAGAAAAGATACTTTTTAACAGATGGTTTCTCTCATGTGAATATTGTAAGAAGTTTGATAAACTATTTATTTTCTTATGAAGACAGAATTTCTGCGTACATTTGTTAAAAGAAAACACCAGTAGAAAGACAAAATTTGTTCCTTTTACCGATCACACACGATAGTATAAGTTGAAGTTCAATTCTCGGTAAGATTTCTCTTCTTGGTTATTGCTTACAAAGAATTATGTAAATCTTTCTTCTTATCTAACTTCAAGATCGTATGTTATTATTCGAACAAGACCTTGGCTTCAGAAATATTTATATTGTCGATGAAAGATAGACACTAGCTGAGATGTTTCCTTGATAACGAATACAGTATGAAACGTCGCGAACGTGTTAGAACATCTATTCCGGATAAAAACAATAAACAAGTACTATGTCGACTAAAGAAAACGCGCAGTAGAAGAAATTGTCGACTAATCTTAATAATCATCTGGTAGTTATTGAAAACGTCACGCAAATCATTCGATTGAATGCGTGAGATTATAGCAAGAAGAAAAATTGTAGCATGTAAAACCAACTAATTTTCTTTAGGCATGTCATTTGACACTGCGAATGTCTCCTATCATAGTCATTTTCTCTTGCAATGAAGATTGAAACTCCTCACATGTCATCTTTTCTGTCTATTCGTTATCAACTACTCGAATATCATAGAGAAAATTGAATGAACGATTTTGTTCATCAGTTCTGCACACACTTGAATAACTTCTTCAAGTCGAAAATCAATCATTTTCTTCCTGCATGCTGATTGATTCGGATTGTGTTCATATGAGATGATTCAATGCTTAAGAATTTCTTTTTCTTTCTCTTCTGTCCTATCGATTTCTTAAAGAATATTATTATTGAGCTTCCGTCTCGGTTTTTCTCTCTTTGATTTTCTCCGGAAATTGCCGGAAGCTATAGAAGATATAATAATTTTTTTTTTAGAAAAAATAGAATTTGTTTTGACGACTATAACTCGATTTGAAATGTCCATATATTTTCACATAAGAAACATCTATGCATCATTCTAATCATGACAAATTAGCCCGCGTGATTCTTGAGAGGATTATGCTGAGACTTGTGATATAAATATACGAACTGATACTTTCATGACTTGACTTAACGAGCATGCCAATGAGAAACTACTTTTGTTTCTCTGATTATTTCAAAGGTAAACATTCATCCTTGCTGTACGTTGCTTCATATTAGAACGAGAAGATAGTTTTAAGTAGAATAAAATGAAACTAGCCCTGAATTTTTCACTGGATAATGCCATAGTTTCATTCTCTATTAGTCATAGATATTAAGAAGTTTTTTGAGAAACACATAACGACAAGGTCAGCTCTCTAGGTTTCTGTTTTAGTTTGACAAAGATCTAATTTCGTTCGAAGAGGATGAGGAGGAGGAATCAAAATAGATATTCATAGCGAGTTCACTTGTATCTTGCAACGATAGCGCACGATTAAAGAGAATATTCAACTTGCGTAAATTTATCTGCTTAGGATGAATAACGTTAATCTATATATATATTTTTTCTTTTTTCCGCTCTGTTTTTAGATATAGTTGTTTAACTGAGCGACTATGCAAAATTTATCATCGGCATCAGCAGAAACAACTCGAATTGAAGTGGATGTATCGGAGTTCTCTCGTGGTGAAATCGCTGTTAAACTTCGACGCGATAACACGCTACTTATACACGCTCTACATCTCGATCAATTTGCCGCAGACAACTTTTTTCGTAAAGAATTAGTGAAAACATTTCCTTTACCTGCCGGTGCTGATGCTGATAAAATCCGTTCTGTTATACGAAACACAGGTGTTTTAACAATCGACATACCCATGCTACGCGATAATGATGCTATACGGCGTTCACATGAAGAATTATTAAAAGCAATTGATCAGCCAACGAAAGCAACTACAAACGATTACAATCGTTCGGCATCGCATGCCGATGTTACTAGTTCAAACTACCAATCGGCAAGAGCACGACCGTCGACAGTTCCCAAACGAACAAGTAGTCTAGGCGATATCGAATACCGTCAAAATGCCAAGTATTCAACGACACCATTCAATATGGCCGACTTTCTACAATCACAATTTCGACCAACGTTTGCGCCCAACGGCAAAAAATTAATTCTCAAAGTTGATACACGTGGATATGAACCTGATGAATTATCTGTACGTCTACTCGATAATAATCTCTTGGTACAAGGCAAAAAGAAACATTCACCAGGAAGTCAAAAACATGAAAGCAAACAATTTAGTCAAAGTATTCGTTTACCAGATGGAATCGATAAATATAATGTGACATCACAAGTCATGGATGATGGTGTACTTGTCATTAATGCACCGTTATTCGATTCCGTGGTAAATCGATAAGAAAACTATGAATCTGATTTAGATAGATTTATTTAAATAAATTTTTTTTCTGGAAAAAACACACGACGTGTTGATTAGAGAAGAAAATATATTAGTTTAGTTCGTTTTTTTGGACAAAGAACGTCATCTACTTTTTCGATCTTCACGTCTAAAATGTCATTTAAACTTGTAATTGAACAATCAAGTTTTGACGTTGAGTATAGATGAATGATTTGCTTACTCATCAATGAGAATCTTCAAGTTTGAAGTTTATTCCACACAACAAGACAGATCTATATATTTGAAATGACAAGAATCAATGTTCATATCTGATCATGTAAGTCAATTAGCGTATTGAGGCGAAACAGAAAGGAAAGCACGATTTCTTCGCTTTTTTCATGTAATCGTCTATATTTGTATTGCTTCATTGACCAGATCAGTCAATCTGATTGTTCTAATACAAATATTATTTTTTTTCTTTTCCTCTTCCCTTGCTTATCATCTAATTGGTCATCGAAAATTTTGCATTGCATCGAATACATCTTAATATCTGTTTATCAGTATTATTTTTATCTAGCAATTAGATGCCCAATCAAACAGACATCCGGAAAAGAAAAAGAAAGTCGTCGGCTCTCTTTCTCTGTTACTATGATCAATCTTATTTTTTGGAAAATCAATCGTATACAATGAATGAAAACGTAGAAACATGGCCTTTTCTCACGGCCACAACATCAAGCACACATTCGTCAATGACAATGACTTCTTCTGTTTCAAATACACCACTGCCGTCGCCGTTTCCACTGCCACAACCACCCGCACCACCACCAACCATTCGCGAACGGAATCGAATGCATGCATTGAATGAAGCATTCGACGAATTACGTCGCGTCGTACCAAAAGCTAATCTTCACGATCATCAACGTTTATCGAAAATCGCAACACTTCGCCTTGCCATACACTACATCAGTTGTCTTACACAAATTCTCGATGCCAATCGATCAACGAAAACATATCCTCAGCAACTTCTGTCACCGGCAATGTCATCCTCGCCGACTGCATCGTATTTACAACAGGAATCATTTATTTCAGCTCGACGAAGAGGACAACGACTTCGACGAAGAACACGACGAGCAACACAAGATGAACAAATATTTGAAGACGTGGACGAGTAGCGTTTTTCAGAAAAAAAAACATTCATAATGCGCTTTTTTTATGGAACAGAGTGATCTGGCATAAATCAACATTACAATGCAAAAGTTGTGTTTAAACAAATATAAAATTGCCATTAACAGCACTTATACTCATTCTGACAATGATTTTTTACCAATCATGTAATACACTTTTCGAGGTCGTGACTAATACACGAAAGGAGTGTTTCTCTGGTAGAGTTTATCCCCCAAAGGCAAAGTTATAAATATGATTGTACAGCATGACAATGGCAATTGTAGGATATCGTTGTTTTCTACGAATAGAAGAATATTTTTTCACATGATAAGGTTAAACATACTATCTGGTAACGCACTCTATTATTAGACGCAGAAGTATGCTGATAGACGTCTGTTAAATACGAAAAAGTCAGATCTTCGACAGGACAATCAGTGCAAACAATGACCTGCAGTTGTGAAATACCGTAAATGTAAAAGTGTGCACATATTCACACGAAACTTGTCTAGAGAAACGCTAAGTGACGTTTAGGGCTTTGTATGCTATTAGATCGTTGGCTGGCTGGTGTCTTTTCGACCGAATACACTTAAAGCGCATTAATGCAAATATTTTATTCGCAAAGTTGATATTGTTCGTATGATTAAAGTGAATTGTAAACATAACGCGCCGATGGAAACATAACAAATACTTTTTCTTGCTCTTTTACTTGAATGACTTTCCTAAATAAAATTATACAATGACATGGTGATTAACAGAAGCCATATCGATTATTTACCAAAATATTCAATGCATTTTCAACGAAGAGATAAGACGTGTGATGACTTGTTTTTCTTTACGTTAACAGTTGATTTAGTAAGAATTCTTACTAACTGTGTCACTTTCGAAACCTTTCAGGAGTTCCATGATTGCTTTCGATATTATACGCCCAAGCAATGCATTTACTGTGTCATTTGTATGGATCTACACCTGATCGGTTGCTCAATTTTTTCCGCTTTCGTAGTTATTTTAGTTGCCACACGATCTCACAAAACTAATCTTCATCATTACATAAATTATGTTAAAGAAATTGAATGCATCGTAAGTATATAAGACGTTTAATTCATATTAATGAAGTAGACAAAACAGCTTGGCACTGGTTACGTAACAACTGGAAACAGCCAAAGATTGTTTCACTGTCTTTTACTCTGACTACTTTTGTGTTGCTTTTTCTTCACTCAGTACCAGCTATAGCTGTCATAAACTAACACATCAGTCTGACAGCACGTGTCCCTAGATTGTAGCTATGAGATTTTACATGCCTATTCAGAAGTAACAGAAGGAAAGAAAGAAAAATGTTATCCATTCTGTGCGCACACACCACATAATCATCATCATCGTCATCATTTTTCTCTCTTTTTTTTGTCGTTCTCACCGCATTTCATTAATTTACAAGAAACAAAAACTATTCATATAAATCTTTATGAAAATAAGAGAATAGAATAAGACTGCTAAATTTTGTTCTCATCTAGTTTGCTTCATGAACGCCCTCAACAGCTTTGACACTTATAAACAGGTTCTTTTCTATTACATAACAATCTTTTCTTGTTAACTTCCAGATTACATACACCGAACCGAAATGTCTTCAACACCGTCAACTTCTATCGATGAACCAACAACATTAACAAACAGCAATACCGATAAAAATAGAAAAGATTATGGAGCCAATAAATGTCTGCAAGTGCTTTGCACTCGTTCACTTCTCTGCAGCGCTAGCTATTTTGGTCTTGCTTACTTCATCCAAGGCGTCACTGACATTGCATCGGGATTTGTTAATTTACCATTACAAACTATCTTGAAAGATAAACTTCAGTTATCACCATCACAGATGGGAACATTTTTCTTTTCGTGTACAGTTACGTAAGTAAATCGATGAAATGTTCTCTCGAAAAAAGACATTCCTTTTGCTTTTCTTTTCCAGCTGGTCAATTAAACCATTGTATGGTCTTCTGAGTGATTTTGTACCGATCTGTGGTTATCATCGTTTGATTTATCTTCTGATGACTACGATGATCAATTTATGTGCATGGGTGGCTCTCTACTTTGTTCCAATTGAATACAATTATTTGCTTTTTTTCTGTGTCTTAGCAGCATTTTCACTCGCCTTCAACGACGTTCTGAGTAAGTTAAAAATAACTTTTTTTTCGCTGACGGCAAATAGATACTGAGAATCAAAGCAGCTCGTTGTGATGATAAACGAGAAGCGAGGAACGTTTTATCTTACTGTATTCAAATCTTTTAATTAGGTTCATTGAATGAGAAATAATCCTAAAGAAACCCTTTTCTTCCATTTTCCGGCATTTCTCACGAGTTTGGAGGGATAATAGTAACGATGGATACGATTCTTGGTAAAATTTGTAGATGTATGCATACAGCAGAATAGTCTACTGAAAACAGCATGGCAGAACACACTTATTGCCCTTTTGCGTTCTGTGCGTTTCTCTATAACATATTGTCTTCGAACATTCGAAGACAAATATATAAAAAAACAAGCTCATCATATGTTTCTTCATGAGCCAATTTCCTGTTGTTGTTCGTGTCTCGCTTTAAATTATGAGATACAAATTCCGTTACACAGGAGCTATTATCATTCCAAGAACATTCTATAGAGAGATGAAACTCTAATCATTAATGACTAATTGATGATTGAGTGTGTACTACGTCTTTTTTACATCAACATATGTGAAAAATTACTGGAAAGTGTCCTTTTCGGACATTTCTCTAGCATTCTTAATCAGACACGCGATAATATTCTAAATTTAATCGTTTGTGCTGGAAGTCTTTACATTCATGTACTTTGAGGAAAGATTCTATAGAATTTTCTCTAATAATAGTTGAATTCAGAGCTGAAAGGTCACTTGGTTTCGAATTACTTGTTACTTCAATGAAAAACAATCCTAGAATTATTACTAATTAACGAATGATTGATATTGGTCCGTTTTATCTGATTGAATACCACCTACTCCGTATATCTTTCTATTAATTACCGTAACGAACTCTCCTACTATGAAAGCTTTCCTGAGGACAATCATAAATGACCATGTCGCACATGAGAGATGGTGCATACTAATGCCGTCTCACCAACGTAGAATATATCTGTTCTTATCAGTAGTACGAGTTTCATATCATGTGTACTTCGAATTTCCTTTAATTTAACGTTTGATTAGATGTATTGAATTTTCTTTCTAACGCAAGACTACAGATTTAAGACGTACTGTCGTAATGAATGCCTTTGCTTTGAGAAGAAAACATTTTTGCTTGTTAATCAAGATGTTTCAGATGCGATGCTATTTATGTCAAAAATATGTCATAGGCTGAAGCATGTAATTACCATATGAAAATTTTTGAGAGAAATCTTATCATGATTCAAAAAGTGGTTTCCATTCATTACTGTATAATTATAAAAGAAATCGAAGCAAATTATTTACTCATGTATAAATAGCAGTATTTCATCGATGTTTTGAAAAGCTTGTGAATTGACAAAAAACAGATGATGTTGGGTACCGTGAAAGGAGCAGTTACATAGAATCCGAGAATTTCAAAATCGTAGTGATTTTGTCGTTTAAGTTCTGTAATAGAAACTATCTTCAAGAAAAAGAAGTCAGTTCTATGATTTGTATTTAGTTGATGCATTGATGATATCCGTTGGTCGACCATTAGCGCTGATTGGTACATTACAAGCTATTCAACAAACATCGGCGAAACTTGCTGCAACTGTTTCACAAATTCCAGCAGGAATTTTAGCTTCCTACTCTGTAACTAATCAAACAACAGTTAATAGTACATTGAAGCATTCTAACAGATTTCATAATTCAAATAAATATATTTTCTTAATTGCTTCTGTCTGTCCGATTATATTATTTTTTGCCACATTGATTTCAGTACGTGAACGTCGACGCAAGTTAAATCGAAATAATTTCGCTCAAACATGGTCCAGCTTAAAAGCTATTTTCAAATATAAACGATTTTGGTTAATTACTAGTTTTCTTTTTATTTATTCAGCATCGCCACAAATAAAAACGGCCTTATTTTATTATCAACGAGATGTGTTACTTTTTAATCCGTTTTATGTTTCAATATTGAATACACTTTACAATGGTTGCGGTATTCTCTCCGCTTTACTCTACTTATCAATATTTTCCCATTATCCTACGAAACGTGTACTTCGTATTGCAATAGTCATGCGAATGTTTGCTGTTGCATCCTATCTGTTTGCGACAGACGGGATCACTTCGATCTGTGTTGCCATTTTTACAGGCTTTTGTTCTGAAATAACAAACTTAGCCTTGCTTCATCTCGCAGCAAAATCATGTCCAAAAAACATCGAAGGTACTCTATTTGCATTGTTCGTTTCCTGTGTCAATTTCGGTGCAGCAACTGGTGATTGGCTCGGCTCAATGATATACGAATATTTAGGTTTTATTGCTCTTATTATCATCGCAATTATCTGGATTGGCACGACTATATTAGCAACGTGTCATATTGGCGAATATGGAATCAAATCCACGCTAGATGATGACGATGAAGAAAGTGATGACAAATACCATTACTATGATGTTACAGTAAAAAGTACAGACATAGTTGAAGATGAAGAATTCGAAGAAACAGATTCCGACAGAACTTCTAAAGACATCATCGAAAAAGTAGTTATGATTTGATTTGATTTTACTCGCTCTTTGTTCACTGTATCTCGAATAATGTATGTATAATATCTATTTTTCTTCTTGTTGATGATTGATGTTAGACATTTTAAAAAAAATATGAATAAAATACGTACGCGCACCCAGAAAAGTATTTGTAAATACATAAAACAACGTTTCCTATCATCATCACACTATCGTCATTCTTGCCACAATTGCAAGCAATAGAAAAGATGAGAAGAGAAAGAAAGCATTGAATAATCTAGAGTTCATTATCTTTGTGTACTAATCATACAAAACGAAAGTGCTGTATTTGATAAAATCTGTTTACTATTGTCGTCGTAAAATACGAGAGTAACTAACATGGGTTTTGTTTTTGTCTTCTCTTTCACTTCCCTTCTTTTCACTTTCATTATTATTATTATTACTAACATCGCCATCAATATTTTGTTCTTTTCTTTTGCATGCATTATTTCGCTATTCTCACTAGTCGTTTCGATTCGTTCATTGACAATCTTGTCTACTAATGAAGACAATATAGTGCGAGGAGACTAAAAAAAGTAAAAGAAGAAAGAAGAAAAACAAGAAGTAATTTTATCGCTCCTTTTATGCTAGACAAAGAAAGAAAAGGAAAAGAGAGTAAGAGTGAATCTTCCTCATTTGCTCCAGTCATCTTCAATTTGTTCATTAAACGGCTTTATGTTCAATTCTTTTAAGTTATTTTCCCTGGTTTCATGATAGCTGTACTGCTGAAGCACAATAATGTTTCTCTTTTCAATGTAAGAAGTAAAATACTCTTGTTTTCCAATGAATAAAAAAATCATATGAAGCATGTGTTTTTATTATTCATTTATTATACTCATTGAAACATCAATCTATCTGCTAGAAGCAAAAACAAACGCCAACAATCATTAGTGTCGATTACGCTCGTTTCGCAGTTACGTTTTGTTCCCTAAAGACATTCACTTTCGAATAAAAAGAAAAAGAAATCTTCGCAACTTTTTTATATGATTATCTTCAACTGTTGCAAAAAGGAATTATCTTGAGAACATGGATGAAAACGATGTTAAACGAAGTCAAGCGTCTGTTTTTAAACGATTTCGACAACATCGTCAGCAATCAACATCATTATCATCATTTCAAGTAACAGATCAACAACATAAAGATCAGGATTCTCTTGTAAATCAAATATCAAATAATAAAAGCAGCGAACGAAGTGAGTATACTCGTGAAAAGAAGAATTTCCATTGAAACGAAGAAAAGGCTAACCACGCGATTTTTATACTCTACGCTACATTGTCGATTAACGTAGGTTCTTTTTGTTAGAATATCGAGTTATGTTCTAATAATATAGATGCCCATTTACATTGTAAGTATACTTATAACTAAGGCATGATATGACCTTTTGGACTACGGTATATTTGTATACATCTATATAAATATGATGTAATCCGAGCGGAGTACATTTGAAAAAGGAACATCAACATATCTGTGCAGTAGTTACCATCCTTTCCTTTTCCAGTTCATAAAAATAAGAACAATGAGATGTGTCTTGGCAGGCGTCACGAGAGGTTTTTCAATTGTTAAAAACTCTCAGAAAAGTCAAGATCTTATTCAATTTAGAAAAAGTTATTCCTCCTTAATGACAAAACGTCAACTATTGTTTATCGATTAAGTAAATGAGAAGAATGATAGTATATATATGTATATGATGCTCGTGTGGCTGCCTGTTATTCGAACAAGATGGATGTTATATTGTCTAGCGAATCGATCATAAACTGTCATCGACTGTCACCCATCATATCACATATAACAAGGGACTCGACATTGACATATAGACAAACATACAATATGAGGATGGATAAGACACCTCAGCATGTTCTGTGCTAAATAATGTAAAAAAAAACACAAAAATAATCATCAAACAATCGATATCAGTAGGGAAAACAAGAGAGAAAAGAGCAGATTGTTATATTCGCAGCATATATATTGCTACCGTTTGCGCTAGTATCTTATATATTTTTTTCTGTTGTACATGTCAGATTTTCACTTCTGTTCGAAAGTCTCCTGTGTATGAGGAATCTTGTTTAAGCGTTCTTCTTTTATCTATCAATCTTCATCTGTTTATTTTGTTTGCTAGAGTCAATCCATGATTTAACCATTGATCACACATATGGCAATACTAAAACAAATGTACAACTGCCATTCGACTGGTCATCTCCGGATGTAACGACAAGTAGGAACTTCTTCTTATTTTTCCTTTTAACAATATATTAATATAATTAATACAGACGTGAGAAATTCTTTTTTGTTTAAATACTCGCAGTAATTCAATCGAATGATTAAATTACCAAAGAAATAGACTACTGTTTTCCCTCAATCGAATTTCGTATTGTCTGTTCTTGTTTTCCTCTTCAGCTACGCATCACAGCATTTTCATAGCTGCCGCTATCAGGAATCTGTCATCATCGTTGCGTATAAGCACGAACAAGTCTAATAGTATTGTTCTGTCTTATTGTGGTTGTTGATTTCTTAGATCATATCACTATATGGTGTCGTTTATATATTTCTCTAGAGAGATTCAAAAAGAGATAGAAAACTGAATGATGCCGAGGCAGTCGAACGAAAGACATTTTTGTTTCGGTAACAACGACATGTTGTTCAGACTCGTTGTAGATTATCATAAGAATCTTTCCTTCTTTTTCTTCTTCTTCATTATGAGAAGAAAAGAGATCTGCATCGTTTTGAAAGCCACACTTGTTTTTTCATCATGAGTTTCTATCATGTAATAGAACAAAACATGCAGAAAAAGCACGATTAATACAAAGGAAAAACGCAGTACTTTACATTAATAATTAGTCAGATGAAACATGAAAGATAGATAGGATTTATTTGTAAAAAGAGATATACGACAACGATAATTTCTTGAAAAAGGAAAATTTCAAAAAATCTATCGATCTACAAACAATCGTATTTTCATCAAAGATAAAGAAAACATCGATGGAAGAAAGCAAAATTCATTGTTTTTGTGTATATTCTGTTACTCTTTCTCCTATGTGATGACAGGATTCAGAAGAATGCTTCAGGCTATTTTGAGTATTCACTGTTTTCGAAGAATCATGCGTATGTTTGATGACAGCATAAGTGGTTCACTCACTTCATCCTAAAGACCGATGAAGAAAAAGCGAGAAACAAACGGAGATGAATTTGAATCGCCATCGATTAGCTACGGAAGTGCTGATGTAGATAGCTCGTCTACATCGATGTATTCGGCTCATCGTCTATATAAATGCGGACAAATGAATAAAACAAAAAAAGAAAACGTTAATAGAAATTTTCCTTTGAAAACATTGTCTCGTACAAACATGGATCAATCGTCTTCTCTTCTGCAAAAGTATTCAATCAAAAGTAAGCTAAATTTCACACAGGTCAACAGTTCATCCATTCAAAGAAATTTACTTTAAAACTAAAGTGACATGTTATATTTTATCAAATAAACGCCAATTTGATATGTATCTATCTGGTTTTATGATATACAAGGTTATTGATATTTAACAAATAGAAAATATTGCATTCATCTGCCATGGTTTCTCACGTCCGTGACTTTCTTTTCGAGCAGTTTTTTTGACAAACAAAATATCTTCGATATCGTCAGATTTTTCTTATATCTTAATGTAATATTAAGCCTTTTGCAATCTGATTATTATCCGTTGCCGAAGTACATGAATATCACGTGAAATACATAGTGTGTGAAAAGAAGGAAAAAAAACGCATCTCATCTTTTTGCTTCTTGGAATAATCTGTCACTTGAGGACAAGAGATGAGAGGTAGTTTATTTGAATAGACTAGAACACGTTATGTGATAAACACATGTTGCAAAATTTCATTTTTGTTTTAGCGGTCATGGACAATAAACATTACTTTAGTTTATATTTAATTCGTATTAAACATGGATTGGTTCTTTTCTCTCTCTTACTCACTGCTGTTCAAAGTCTTGTTTATTTACTCTTGGCAATCTTTTCCGAAAAGGTGAGTTAATAAAAAAAAGAAACAAAAAACCTGTGTTATTCGTCTCTTGATATCATTTTCTAGCGCTATATTACACAGTTTGTTCTTGAAATCAGTCTATTTTCGACGATTTTTCTTCTATCGATGGTAATTATTTTATTGATTTATCGAGAGAAAGTTTTTCATGCATACGTACACATATCATGCATATCTATATGGTTGTTATTGACATTTTTCGCTATAATCCCATTGATTCTGCAGCAGTACATGTCAGTTATTCGTCTAATGGGTATTGTCACATTTTCAATTGTTACCATACATACAACTCTGCCTGTGTCACGTTCATGGACATTCCTAATGGCTTTAATAACATCGCTTATACATTTAATGCTTGTTATACGTACACACAGTATTCCGGACCCGAATAATAAGTCACATAAAATGGAATTTAAATTAGAAGTAAGTTGAATTCTGTTTAGAAAATTGCGAAGTATTCCATCATATTCTTTTAGGTTATTTGTCTTTCATTGTTCTTTGTTGCATGCAATCTCTTCGGCTTGTGTCATCGTTATTTAACTGATGCACATCAAAAGAAAACTTATCATAATACAATGCGTTGTATTGAAGCTCGGATACGGCTTGAATGTGAGAAAGAACAACAAGAAACGTTAATACTTAGCGTGATTCCAGCACATATCGGTATTGAAAAGATTTGCTTCGTTTTTTCCTCAAAATAGTTCTACTTACTCTTGTTTCGCAGCTTTAAGTATGAAGTCAGAAATGTTACGCAAAGTAAAAGACACAGCCAAATATCATAATATCCAATCTCGTGATTATGATGATCAACGATCTAATGCAAAGAAGATCAACACGCGTAAAGCAGCATTTCATGATTTGTATGTTAAAAAACATGAAAATGTGACGTAAGTTTGCAATAATTTATTATTGAAATTCGATGATGTTTAATTATATCGATTAGCATTCTATACGCTGATATTGTTAATTTTACTCCATTATCAGAAAAATTTGCTCCGCCAGAACTTGTACAAATTCTAAATAAACTTTTTGGAAAATTTGATCAATTAGCACAAGTAAAACATACATTGTAAAGGAACGAACGACAAGCAGATCTTCTTTTTTTTTCTAGGAATGTGATTGTATGAGAATAAAAATTCTAGGTGATTGTTATTATTGTGTGAGTGGTTTACCAATCAGTCGGCCGAATCATGCAACTAATTGTGTACGAATGGGTTTAAAAATGATTGAAATTATAAAGTAAACGAATTGACTTGTGTATGAATGTGAAATTATTAAACAAACTTTTCCGCTGGACTTTTCTAGATTAGTACGAGAAGCAACCGGTGTCAATGTTGATATGCGTATCGGTATTCATACAGGACGAGTTTTATGTGGAGTACTAGGTCTAAAAAAATGGCAATACGATACATGGTCCGACGATGTAACATTAGCAAATCATATCGAAGCTGGTGGTGTACCAGGGTAGGTAATTCGTCTGATCTTTGGGAAGCAAAAATATAGAACTAATAGTAATGACGTAATAATACATTTGAAAACATCGATGTGCATTTGACAGCAATGGCAAAGATTTCTTTGATCATACTTGAGATACCGACTTCTAAGAAATACTTTCCGGACATAAAATCTATCATAGCTGTTTTTTTGCTTTCAGGCGTGTGCATATATCTGAAAGTACAAGACTAAGTTTGGGCAATGAGTATCAAGTGGAAATCGCTAATGGACATGAACGTGATGCATATATAGCAAAACTAGGTATCAAGACATACTTCATCATACCCCGTGATATACCAAACAACCAAAATCAGTTAATGATGAAGTAAGAACCATCGTTGAACGTTTATATTACAGCTAATATCGTTTTCTAGTGGAGATATTCGTAAATCAAGCAAAAAAATGCAGAAACTCTTAGATACTTGGTCAAATGAAACTCCATTTGTGCTTCAACGTCTTGCTGATAGTGATAAATCTGATGCAGCAAAGAGTTTTGTTCTTCTCGAAGATAATTTAAAACCGTTAGCAACATCATTCATTTGCTCGTAAGTAGATTCAGAGGGAAGAAACAATTGTCATACTTTATTTTGATCACAGTCGACGTAGTTTAAACGATTTGGAACCATTCACATTAGAATTCAATACACAAGAAAATAAAGAAAATAAAATTCTCGAAGATGATGAAGGAAATCGTCGAGCAACGGAAAGCTTATTTCGTGCGTCACCAGAATTACGGTATCGATATTATGTTCTAAATGCCGCTTGTATCTTCTTCTCAATTCTTGTCATCCAAGCATTAATTTTTGAAAGGTAAAAAAGATTGAACTGTGCCATATTTCCTTCTGAACTCATATCTCATTCATTTGTCTTTTCATGACAGAAATGCTTTATACCTCGTTTTAATGATAACTGGCTTATGTGCCTTTAGCGTAGCAGGCTCGCTTTGTGTTCTAGATCTTTCTAAAGTAAAATTACCTACTGTAAAATGAAGGATGTTTTTAAGTTCAGTTGCTTTTTTGTTTCAGTTACGGCGAAATAATCATCGCTCATTACTTGATCGATCGACATATTTAGTAACACACTACTACTTTATTCGTTTACCTGTTAGTCTTATTTTAATAATGATTTGTATTTTAACACCATTTACTGTCACTTGGTCACCAGCTGTCGATATAAAAGAATCGTTTGAAAATACATCCGTGTTCACTAACGATTTATTATTTGGAAATTCAAATCTTTCATTTATACAAAACTATATCAACCAAGTAAGAAGCATTGAAACATAAATTAATAGTAATAAGGAAATGTATCCTATTCAAGAATGCGTGCGTCGAAGATACGAATTCGAAACTACGCGAATCACATCCACTTCTTTCGTTCTCTTTTCAACTTGAAAAATATGCATTGATCTGATACAATTTCATTTGTTTAGACGATTCTCGTTCCACTTCATAGTATTAGTGTAGTGTCATCGATTAGTAATCCTGTCCTATTTGAATTATGCCCACATTTCGAATTTCATATTCTATTAATTCAAATGGCTTTATTAACCATATCTTCATTTATGCACCTTTACTTTCTTCTCAAAGCATTAATTATGATTGCTTTAGTAACTATCTACGTGTTCTACTCATTTCATACGAAAATCTATCGTACAATTGCTGAGAATTATGGTTTAACAAGTAGTTTACTGCTATTAGAAACAACATTAGAAGTGTCCTTCTTTATTCTTCTATTGATCGCATTGGACCGACGGGTATACACATTATAGCTTCATATGAATGCCGTAACATTCGGAATGGGTTTTTGTCCTTTAGATCGAATATATGAGTCGACTTGATCTATTATGGACAGTAAAATTTCAAAATGAAAAGCATGAAGTAGAAACTATAAGCACAATAAGTCGATTATTATTGGAAAATATTCTTCCGAAACATGTAGCAGAGATTATTATGAAGGAAAATATGAGCCAGGTTAGTATCGTGTTCACAAGCAACAAGACAATCATTCTTGGTGAAGATTACGGAAATAGTTTTCTTTGTTTTTCAGGGTCTTTATCATGAAAGTTATGATAATGTCGTTGTGATGTTCGCATCAATACCCAATTTTAAAGAATTTTATGTTCAATCCGATGCTAACAATGATGGATTAGAATGTTTAAGGCTACTCAATGAAATTATTGCTGAATTTGATAAAGTCTGTTGTTTAATAAACAAGAGATTGATCGATATATAGTTCGATGTTATCTTTTAGCTATTGGATAAGAATAAATTCAGTTGTGTGGAAAAAATTAAAACGATCGGACATACTTATATGGCAGCAGCGGGTCTCAATCCAGGTGCTGAACATCGGATGGTATGAAGAAAATCAAACGAGAATGTAATTAGTTTTTTCGAAGGGATTTTTTTTTCTAGACAAGAGAACGATACAATCAAAACGTCGTTGCACTTGCTGAATTTGCTTTTGCTATGATTGCAGTTCTCGAAGGAATCAACCGAGATTGCTTCAATGATTTTAAATTACGAGTTGGCATGTGTAATGGACCTCTTGTTGCCGGTAAATTTATCCAAAACAGACGGAATCTAATCACCATTTTCGACATTCGCTTAGGTATTGTTGGTGCAAAAAAACCTCAGTATGATATTTGGGGTAATACAGTCAATGTTGCTTCACGAATGGATAGTACGGGTGTGGTTAGTTGTATTCATGTGAGTAGCTATCTTAATCTCTGAGTTTAAAGGACCTGCCGATGGTTGTTTTTGTAGGTTCCAGAAGAAACTCAACGAGTTCTATTCGAAAATGGTTATTCATGTGAATGTCGTGGACCGATCTATGTCAAAGGCAAAGGTAACATGACAACATATTTAGTCCGACAACGTGGTTACATGCTACCGACATCCGCTTCAAATCTCTCGTCGATAGGTACAGCACCGAATAAATGAATCGATTTCACAAACATTTCCTCAAGTCAGATTTATCCCCGTGAACTGATGTTCATATGACAATCTTGTTTTTTTTTATGTATGTAAAATGACGGGAACAGTTTTTTTTTCTTTCTTTTCAAAAAGAAGCGATTGACAAGAAAGAAAAACAAGTAGAGTCTCATCTGACGGACGACATCACGAATTATACAAGTTAATCAACACTAGCGTTTTCGATTCTGTCGAGGAACTGATGTTGTCGGCCGTTTTGCTAAAATAAATCGAACGAAAATGAGAACTGCAAAATTTGATGAACACTTACAATAATCAACAGATTGATCTCGAATTATTGCCTGATTTGAAACATTATCTGATGCATTTTTATTTCTAAAAATGAATATGATCGACATTCGAACAGTGTAGGTCAATATCGGACTAACTTACTCTAGAACAGTATACTTTTCATCTTCAGTCAAAAGTCTCTCATTTGAGAAAAGAATTGTATTGAAAGGCACTTGTCCTGTATTACGATCATAGTCATTCTCATTCATTTTATCTAATATACCAGTCCAAACAAGTAAATCGTCAACAAGTAGCTACATAAATGAATTCTACAGTTTTCAAGTTTCCTTTGAAATTACTTTTTTATACATACAGAAAATTCACGTACACCACGATTGGGCGTTTTAGCATAGTTCCATATTTTAATCATCGAGACAGATGTTGGTCGATCAAAAATGACAAAAATTCGATTGATCTATTGGAAACAAAGAGCACATTCGCATTTTATAAAGGCTCTCACGATTACATACGACATTCGGGAGAATCGGTGCTATCCAACAATGTGTTCCATCAGTTTCATGATTCTCACCATCAATCAATTTATCCGGCGTGCGCACGTCATCATCAGTGCCTGCATTGAGTGCATTGACACTATGTGGATAAGCAGCAATATCTAAAAGTAAATGTCAGGTCGAAGAACTTCTACTTTCATCGTCGTTCTTTTTACTTTGTTCAGTCAGGCCGATCGATTCGCCGTGTTCATCATAAAATTCTAAACCATTTAATCCAACATAGAAAGCATCACCGTGTGTAGAATGAAGTTGAAATTCATAAATAACTAAAATTATTTTTAAAAAGCATACTAAACGGCACAATTCAAAGAAAAAAAGATTAATAAATCTAATTTTAGCAGATTCATTGAATACAAATATAAAGTATGTCATTTCAGGTACCAAAAGATGTGTCTGAGAAGAATTGTACTCGTAACTAACAGTTAACCCACTTAGCGTCAAAACGGTAATTAGTTTTCCAGAGTCGATCAATTACTACTGTTTAAAGAGTCATTTATGTAAACTTACATCCATTTGGCATTGATATATCTGAGTCTGTATTTTGATTTGTATGCTGCATATGTCTAGAATCATATGACATGTAGTAGGATACTTTTAAAAAAGTCGTTCTATACTTTTTCTGCGTTTGTCTGGGTACGCCTTCGATCATTGTTTTCGCGTGAGCAAAGACAATTTCCTGGGCGAAATCAAAAAAGCAGTGGCCAGGTGCACGTCGTAGTAGAAAACCTTGTTTTGGTGAAATAATTTTATCGTTCAATTGTACATGAAGACGTTTGACCTTATCAAAAACGAGGAAAATAAAACTCAATAGATTTTTTCAATACACAAAACATACGCCTCGATAAGTATCATCAGATGATTTGTTATAATTCCATATGCGTAAACCATGCAATCGTTTTGAGACACTCAACATAATCATAATGCGCACTCTTTCTTTACTACTGAACGGACATAACCACATATGGTGATCATCACAAGTAACATTTTCGCCGTCAAATAATCTAAAAATGTTTGGAAAAGATGAGCTCAGGTTTTCTCTCTGCTTTGAACGACAATTATTACTTGTCAAGCGTCCGAACATCATTAGCATTTGATGGTAGAACAGTTATATCACGAGGACGAGCATCGTAAGATTTTATGACACAATCAGCATCGTTGATGTCAACAACTTCGATGCCAGTCAAACCACAGTAATTGCGATCACCCCAGGTATCTGTTATAGTTAAAATCAATTCTAACAAACGAAAAAGAAAAGAATTCAATAGTGTTGCTAAGTGTGCAAGAAAATGATCAACATACTCTTTCCGTAATATTCAGGAATTTCATTAGCCTCTGATTGTCGAAACGATGTGAAAGGTCTTCGCAGCATCGCACGTGTCATCGGACGTACCTAATTGAAATGAAAGTGTCGAATAAGACAAACTATTGTCCTTAACATAGTCTCACATCTGTGCCAGCGGTAGGTGGTCGTTTGCTATTTGTTTGTGTGCTCTCGTCGTCATCTTGAACTGCTTCTTGATCAACATACATCTCATCATATGTGGAAATTTTTTCCAAAATTTCCTCGTCCGTTGTGAATAGAATCGTCTGTGTAGAAACGTACCATTATTAATTCAAATGAATTCCGATATCAAATACACTCACCTCTCCATAAGCAGATGGATCATTTGTCGCGTTGATATTTCCACAAGCTTGACTAATTTCTCCTGTAAATATTGTATGGCCATCCAGAGATATCTCCACATCTTTTGCGCCACGCGCCGAATGTATCCGACTCTTGTTATAGTTCTTCAATGAAACGAAGTACAAACAGATGTTTTTATCGATATAGGAATTCTGTCTCTTACCCAAATTCTGATCAAAGCAATGTGCACTCGATGTTCAAATGTAATGTAGATGAAATGATTTCGTCCATCTGTGTACGGTGCAAGCCACATATGTATATCATCTCGAGTCTTGTTCACTCCATCAATTAGGTTACTGACGACTCGTGGATCACTGCCATATTCTGGTAGAACATTGATATCTGCTGGATCCGCAGTAATCTATGTGGTTAAAAGATAATACAGTTCATGTTATTCAATGAAATTTTTCGTACTTTTTTAATCATAACAGGATAGCCTTCGCTAGAAAATATTTCAATACCATTCAGACCAACATAATGACGATCTCCCCATGTGGATTTCAAATTAAAAACTAGCTGTTCACCCTCAGGTAATTCCGGTATTGTAAAACTGAAAGAAAAAACATGATTTTCTTCCTCAATTATAGCAAATCAATCTTACTGTTCTTCATCATTTTCATAATGATGTTTAGAATGATTATGAGAAAAATAGTCTTCAATTCGTTCGTCTAAAAAGAAAACATTCCATGATCGACAAATCAAATTAAACCTTCATTTAATAAGCACTTTCAAGCATTCCACGGTGTCGTCGACTGAATATATCAATCTGTGTCATCGAATTTTCCAGCCAATCGGCATGTCCTCGATTACGATCTATTATTCCGAATGAAACATAGAAGAATATCAATCAAATTGCATTACCGTTGGAACAAGCATCACCAAACGGTTCTGATCTATTGGATGATTCCTGATATTTACTTTCTTTGTCATCATCATCAAATTCAGAATCAATATGTACTTCTCTGTAGAAAAACGATACCAACAGTAAAGGTGAAATTTGACGAACGAAGAACTGTTTTACTTTGGCTGAAGAAAGTTTTCCAGATCGAGACTATCCACTACTCTTGCTTTGTGTCTTGTTCCACCGGTGATTACTTGTTGATTATTGAAGTACTTGTTATTGTTCTTGGTCAGATCGCCTCCGACCATCCGTGCTCCTGTGTAAAAATAAAGTTCTCAATAATTGGCAGATAAAACTATGTATGAACTACGCCATTATTGCAGTAGTGTCAACGAAGCAATAACACTTATTTGCAATATGTAAAAATTGCTTCTTCAAACAAAAAAAAACATTCTATTTCATCACGGCAATATTTTTAATAATTTAGACACGTCAGAAAATGTCGCTGGGTAGGAAAATAGAACGCATTTTCAAAAAGTATCTCTCAATGTTCTTGAGACGGTTAAAACAAACGGATTGTCTCAATATTCATGGAATATATAGCAAGTTGTCTGTGTAAATGGCTTCTCGACAAACAGATGCACGGTAAATGTATGCTCAACAAGTGATAATTATAGTTTTTCTTTCAGAAAAAGAAAGAAATATTTACCCGATCGATTGCCACCTGCTTTCGGGAGATTAAAATGACTTGGAATCGGATGTTTTGGTGTATCTCGACGACTCATTTGCGTAAAGGCACGTGTTTTTCTATTGTTTCAAGTGACATTCAATAAAGACAGTATGTGGATATAAATATTCACACTGAATACTTGTCTCATTTTTCTCTTTTCTCTTCTCATTCTAGATGTTGTCAAGTTACCTTTCTCTTAACTACATAGCTGTCGTTAGTAGAGAAGAGGAAAAAAAAGAAAAAAAGGATCCTGTCTATCGCTGCGATATCTTACCTGCCAACCAATGACGAGAGATAAGAATTCTCGTTGTCAGATTTCTTCTTGTTCTTCTTCTTCTCATCATCATCATCATTGCTCTGCTCAGACAATATTGACTAAAGATTCATTTAAAAGTATTTGCTTTTTTTATCACAGTATATATTTTACCAGTTTGACGAGAGATGGAATATCATCGAAAGATAAAGCTAGAATAAAGTGATTAAATTTGATCTCTTTGCAAGTGCTTGGTTCACTTACAAACTCGACTGAGTAATTGATGATTATCTTCTTCTTCCTCCTCCTCCTCATTATCAGATCCCGGAGATTCCTCAAAATCGGAAGCATATTCTACAATTGGCAAAAAAAGTTTCAACTTTTTTTTTTGTATTAAACGTGAGTTTACCTTGTATATCTTCGTCTATCTTGGTTTTATGAAACCAATTTGGCATCCAACTTTGATCGATACTGTCTGGTTTCATTTGATCGAATGACACTTGATTGTTCAATCCAGTAGCTCTTATCTGACTGGCGTTTAGTTCGATAACTTGATTATTCCATGCAGATTTCGGCAATGCTTCACTCGGTGTTCCAGCTGATTTCACAGCACGTTTAGATGTGACTTGTTGAAATTGTCGTTGATTAAATAGAGATTTAGATTGTGGTAATTGCGGATTACTATTGGGAAGGGGAGTTTGATCAATATCAGCTATAATAGAACCATCAGCTGTTTTTATCTTTGTTTTTGTCGACGGCGTCCAGTGACGACGACCATTTGTTGGTAGCGAATTTGTTTGCTGAGTAGTGTTCGATGGAGTTGGAAATGAAAAATCAGAGAAATAGGGAGAAGAAGTCACAGTTCGATTGGATGGACCAGCTAACATAGCAAATGAAAGAAAACTCAGAATTTCGTTCTGTAGAATTATCTTACTGGTTATAGATGTTGGCCGTCGTTTTTGTACACTGTGTGCTCCATTTAGGTATAACTGAAAGCCAGTCTCACGCTTTTTCAAGTCATTATTTTTCGGTTGTCGCTGCGTTTGATACGCTTTTAGAAGTCGATTTCGTTCTTGTAACTGAATCAAATATTCATCGTGTTTGCTTGGTACATCACCACGATGAGCTTGCATCTATCGATCGATGAGGAAGAGATGAAGGCGAAAGAAATGTTTGCATTGCTTACTGCACTTTGACTTCGACCTGTTCGACGAGAAGAATTAAGAAGTTCAATAGAATGATCATAGTTCGTGTGTGCCATGATGGAAATTATCTATAAGAAAAAAAATCAATCCTAAGATCGAACGATCCTTTTGGTTTTTCAATGAGACAACGATTTTTAAGAAGAATGATTTGCTGTTATTTATTTACAAGTGTAATTCTATTGATGAAAGCCTTAATTTCCAATTCTCGCACTTCTGTAGAATGTGAGTAATCCGAAACAAATCCATTTTCAATGTCGATTGCTTAGAGGTATCTTAAACACTCAATGACTATTGAATTAATTAAAGAAAAACGGTCAGAATTTATTATAAATACAACTCTTTCTATTCTGTACGAATTTTTCACTGTTCAGGTAAAAAAAGATGTCACCCATAGATGGCCACCTTCAAAACAGAACTTCATAAATTAATCATGTATACTGCTTCTACATAGTCTATGTTGTTCGTATCTACTATTGAGTGATCTTAAATTGCACGGAATTTGATCTGTTGATCATTCCATACGTGTCATATTATCAACCATTGTTAGGTGACATTTGTAAAGATAAAGAATTCAACGCACTTCTCTCGACCAATACATTTGTTCGGATCGTTTAACTGTTCACAAATATATTCGGTTTTATTCGAAATCATAATGGCTCCGAGTAAAAAATCGACTCCGCTTTCTAAATTGAATCTTCAATGGGAATGGGAAGGTGACAAAGGCGTTTGGCAACAATATGCTACAGATATCCAACAGGAAATCTCCAAAGCCTACAAAACGGGCGACAAAGAAGTAATCGAGGATAAAAAGTTGAAATTTCGTCAATTGCGCTCCCGTTTATATAGGTAATGATTAATCAAACTGAAGAAGTATCTATGACTATTAAATTTGCTGATATGGTACAAGTTAATCAAAAGACGAAGTTTATGCGTCGTATACGTTCATGTATTGAATTGAAAGATCAAAATGGTTTCTTTGTCTATGAATATGAAAATGACAATAAGAAATGGATGGTCTACAACACTGAAATAATGGTTCAGATTGCCAATGCTCTTGAAAAGAATCAGACAGTAATAAGCACCAAGTATCGAAATCAATCGTATGAAATTGATCTTGATCAATTGGTTGAAAAGAATGTTGAAAGCGAAAAAGTTCGAAACGTTCGTTCTGTTCAATCAAGTTTGTTAAGAATAGTTTTCATAGATATTCACAACAAAACTGATTTATTTGTAGCGGCAAAGTTACCATTAACTGTATCGACGATATCTAACAAAAGAGCAGTGAGTGACGATGAAACTCTCGAAGCTAAGAAGAAAAAACGTCCCGTATCAAAATCTACGGCGCCCATCGAAAAAAGCACTAGTAAGTAATAAAACACCAGATCAAAGGTTTGGAAGATCAACTTTTTGCATTATTTCAGTGCGAACTATAACTACGGTTGTTGGCAAAGTTCCTGTTGATGCTGAATGCACAAGTATGTTAGATAAAGCACATGTCTATTGTCAAGACGATGACGTCTTTGACTGTATGCTGAACCAAGTGAGTCATAAATAGGGGTTTGTCAGAATATCGATATTCGATTTGATTTAGACTAACGTTGGAAATAATAATAACAAATTTTACTTAATTCAACTGTTAGAAGAAAATAGCTGTAAGAAATATTATGTTTGGTTACGTTGGTAAAGCGTTTCGTTAGAAATTGATATATGTGATTGCTTCTTGTGTCTTAGGGGACGTGTTGGTTATACTGGACAAAACAACTTAGAGCATTTCGGATGCGATTTGGATGAAGCTAAGCGATTCTTTTGCCAAAAGTATGACTTTCTCTTGCTGCTGTTGAATATCTGAACAAAGTGATTATGATTCTTTTTGCTGTCGATCTAGGTTCAGTGATAAAACAAAAAACGACTTCTACTATCGTGATACATTTACGAAATATCCTGGTAAATACGATTACGTACAACTGGATTACAATCCATCTGTAAGTGACTTATTTGTCTTTATCCTTCAAGTCTCATTCATCACCGAATTCAGACATCGAAAAATGAAGATAAGAAGAAACAATTGGCGAGCATCGAACAATTGAAGAGTTTACCTGTACCAGAATGTAAACTCGATCAACGCTTACAAAATCTGATCCAATTGATTTGCAATGTACGGGCTATGGAAGAAGCCTTACTCGAAATGAAATTCGATGCACGGAAGAATCCACTCGGTAAAATCGTGCATTTGTTTTTATCGTCACCAAAAATGCCAATGTTGTTTATCCTGTAGGTAAATTGAGTGCAACACAAATCAAAGCCGGTTACTCAGCACTCAAAGAAATTGAAACGTACATAAAAGTAAATAAATTCAATTCAGCTTTCATCGAAGCCAACAATTCATATTACACACGGAGTGCGTGTTGATGTTCCATTCATTAATCTGAAGAAAATCCTATTTGAATTTCATTCTAGTTCCACATGAATTTGGTCGAAGTACTCCTCCATTAATAAAAACTGTTCAACAATTAAAACAAGAAATTGAATTACTTGAAGCTCTTGATGATATTGAAATCGCATTTACTACATTAAATACTGACACAAATACCCGTTTGAATCCGATAGATCAGCATTATGAACAACTCAAATGTAAATTGGTTCCGATGGAGAAAACAAGCGACATGTATGAATTAATTAGTAAATATCTTCAATCAACACATGCGGTTACACATCAACAGTATAAAATGCAAATTGAAGATATTTTTGAAGTTGACAGAGACAACGAAAAAGAAGTTTTTAAGGATGTGGGTAATCGAATGCTTCTCTGGTAAGTGGTAAATACTGGAATAATTAGACACGAATTCCATCTTGCTTTTTTTAAGGCATGGCTCTCGCTTAACAAATTTTGCCAGTATTATCAGTCAAGGTTTACGAATTGCACCGCCCGAAGCTCCAGTGGTAAGTGAATGTGAATGAATATCGTATATGAAACCTCAGTTCGAACACGTGGCAATATTTGAAATAAATTTAGACTGGTTATATGTTTGGCAAAGGTCTATATTTCGCCGATATGAGTAGTAAAAGCGCAAACTACTGCTATCCTACGCCAAGTAAAAACGTCGGTCTTGTCCTACTCTCAGAAGTAAGTTGATTTTTCGCTTTCTCTACATCAATTGAATACTTAAATTAGGTTGCATTGGGTAAATGCAATGAGTTACTCCAAGCTGACAACAATGCTCATCGATTACCGGAAGGTTTCTCGAGTGTAAAAGGTCTAGGCTCTACAGCGCCTAATATGAAAAACGCGGTGACTTTGTAAGTTACTTGTTATCATCAAACGTCGAGAACTAACTCATTTGATTTTTCCATGTAGAGATGATGGTCTTGTTATTCCAATGGGCCCCGGTGAAACTACAGATGTAGTGAATCCAAAAGGTTATACACTCAATTATAATGAATATATTGTGTATGATACAAAACAGGCACGACTGCGATACTTAATCAAATTGAAATTCTTATTCAAATAGAAGAGTTGACATTCTCTTCTAAAAATTTATTTTGTGTTATTAAAAAAAAAGAGAAATATAATTTGTATAGGCATGTGAATGTTTCTGTTATGCATATTCAATTCGAAATAAAACGACAATTCAAAATGCAGGATTTACTTCTTATCAACACGATAATCCGATAAATGATTTGGAAGTTTTGAATACGCTTGTGTATTTCTACTGGTCTTAACCGAATTCTGTTTGGTTTCAGTACTATGCGATGACAAACTTTTTCGTGTCTGTGTACGATTTATTTGCACAGTATATACCACATTATCTTCACCACGAACCTTCAAAGAATGATGATCATCAGTTGTCTGCTCTCGATTGTTACGTATTTCATGGGACGACTTACTTTGTATGACACATAAGATGATGCGGCATGCTTATCGTTTGTCGAAACAACGATTTCTTGTTGATTAAGTTCACAAGAAATACCCCATTGATTGTTGTTGTCAGGTGCATCTGAATTATACTCTGATTGCATTTTTCTGTTTTCTTTATTATTTGACGATCGTTCGGGCATCGCTTGTTTTTCTTTATTATTAATATAATCGACATAATAAGTTAAATCACTGAGAAATGTATCTATCTACACTTTGAAGCACACATAAATGGTGAGAAACTCGAACGAAATCTACTTGTTGTAATCGAATCAATGGATTTTCATCAAAATCAAGTTCTTTCCGTCTGCTTTGGTGACTGTATCGTTTTACTAAATCGAACATTGATTCAATGGCTCTAAAAAGATGATATAGATAACAATAAAAAATCTATGAATTCGCAAACATTTTTATGGCTCCAACTTCGGCTAAACGTTCTTTCGACAATTGTTGATAATTCTCAATTTCTGTTTGAATCTTCTCAATACGTTGTTGGACATCTGTGTAAGTCTGCTGCAATTCATCTATTTGATTGTTCATCGACGATATTATGTTGTTTTTTCTCTATTTAGCTCCCATAAGAACGTTTTAACATGATCGACTCGAGTCTTACTTCCACAGTTGACAACAATTGTCGTTGTACCTCATTTAATTCTTCATTTGAATTTTTAATTGTCATCAATATGTCCTAAATGTATGACTATAATTTAACCGATGACGAAAAACGATCGTATCCCGAACTTCGTAACTCGCGTGAAGCATCTCGAATTTTTCGATCATTTCATCAATCGAATGAAACCGATCAGTGCGATCCAGAATCTAAAAAACGATGTTCTCTCGAAACAAGTATGCTTTTTCTAAGTATGGATTGACTTGAGTAAGCAGATTAGAATGTGGTTGATATTGACGAATAATCTCTTGTAGTTTTTGCTTCTCTTCATGTATCTGTTCGATTTCTTTTTTGAGTACATCAATTTCGGCGAGTTTATTTCGAATAAACGTTTTCTCATCGTCAATACGCTTCAACGATCGATCGCGTTTCATCGCTAGTTCCTTTCCATATGTTCAAATGACTTTATCTTTCCCTACAGAATAACTTATCGTCCTACTTTGATATACATTTCATAACTAGACGAAAATCGATTGTCGCGATACTAGAAATCAGGCGAAAGTTAATTTTTACTTGAGAATTCTTTCTTTAAACATAATCTCTTTTTCATGTAAGGCATCTTGACGCTTTTGTAAATGCTCTCGTCGTGTTTGATACTCATTTCGATGACGTACAAGTGTTTCATCTAGTGCTTCGACCTCGAAATATTTCTCGACCAGCTTCAAATCTAACTTGACGTCATTGTGAGTATTCACACCTCTAATAAAACACATTTCAACACGAATATTAAATCCTACGGCGTACTTTATCGACGGAAATTTGACAAATTCTTCATAATTTACGAGTTTACGCGCTTGACAACTCATCTTTGTGTAAAGAATGACAATGTCTTGGAAACAAATGCTTTCCTTTGACTTCTCATGCAAAATTCGTATCTTAGACATATGATTCAGTAGTAAATGTGTGTGAGTCTAATTCAATGTTCATTCATACATTTAATTGCCACACATTAGTCGTAAAATTGTTCGAATGAACAGACGAACAAATAACTAAACTATTTCAATTGCTTCGTAACATTCTTTTCGCGTGTCGATTCTTTCTTCACGTCGATGTGAATAGAAACGATAATAATAATAACAACAACAACAATCATGATATTTTGCTTCGTTCGAAAAGCAAAGCAGACGAGATGTGTGAAAATAGACCATTTAGCGAATAATATCATCCAATGAAAACCGTTTCTTCTCTTGTTATCGACTACAATCCGAAAACAATCATCCAACGGTACGCGCCCAATCTTGTTTTTCTCTCCGATTTCGTATGAAGGAAGTCGAATCGATATGATCTATAGTGTTTTTATGTAGAGCAGGTGATTGAGACGATTGAAAAGCATGATTTCCGAAAGTCGTTTTTCTTTTTTTGATCAATTTCTAATGTGAAACGGATGTCTATTGTTGACGATGTGTGAGAACGATTGGAATTTGTAAAAAATAACGTGTCTCTTTTATTTTACAAGACAAATACACGAAAAGAAAACGGAAAGAAAGAAAAAGACGAGCAAAGCGAAAAGAAAAAAAGGCGAAGTGTTTTATTTCGAAATTTTATTAAAGAAAATTCGTCGAAGATTGTCCGAACTGGTTTTCGTATGACACTGAGGACAAAGATTTTTCTCATTTAAATACTTTAACCAACATTCTTCGCAATTTATATGCCAACAAGTCAGTGAAACACACGGTTTCACACACGATTCCTACTAGATTAGAAAGAAGATCTTTTGAGTTCAAAAGTTGAATCAGAAAAGCACAAATCTTACCATACAAACGACGCACTTGGGAGGATCGAGTTCGGTTACATTTGATGAATATAAAATATCACTTTTTTGTGTCGAAGGAGAAAATCTAAAGACATATTTCTTCATTCTTCTCTCATCTGATGATTAGTTTATATCTACCTTTGATCACTGTTAAACGATTCTTGACATCGATCATCACTGGAAAAATGACCAATAGTTACTTTACACGAAAAAAAGAAATTTCTCTTCTTTAACGCACCTATGATCGGCAGTACTTGTTGTTTCATTGGTACTCTGTCGGTTGCTATGTTTATCTTCTCGTTCAACACCGTCATCCATATCCACAACATTTACATCTGGATCTTCTGTGTGTCGATCAAACCGTTATTAGATATTGCAAGAAAAAAAACGAAATCTTTCGATTAAACTTACCTTGTGTTGATTCATTTGTTGATAATAGCAAAGGTGGGGGTAGTGGAGGTGGGAAACGATGTTGATTGGCCAATGCAGCAAGAGCAGCATTTGCAGCTAATTGTTCTCTCTAGAGATGAGAACAAATCAATCAAGAAGATCGTGTCTTTTCTTTCTCTATTCATACTTTTCTTGAACATTGCTGAACATGAGTGTAGAAATATTCTTCATCTGTATTCGTTGGAATTATTTGGTAGCATATTGGACAATTACGCGTATCTGGACGATGAATACGACGATTATGCAACTGTAATTTCGCTGTAATAAAAAATTTTTGTTAAGATACATGAACAAGAACATAGATAATTTACCATTTAGACGTTGTTGTCGACTTGTTCTTACGCGTATGAACGTCTAAAGCACATAAACTGATTAAAAAGATATTTATTCTCTTTTTTTGTATATTTACTTCATAACGTGTCTTAAATGTTTGATCGCTATTATTAATTGTACTTTCCTGTAGAATCTACAACGAGCAATGATGATTGTCTGATAAACATCGTCGAGAAAAATGATTCATTTGTCTATAGACAGCAGATGAGAACTTACTTTACTTGAATTGTTTGTAAGATGTGTTGAACGACGTGTTGAATATTTCGCTTGTTGTCTATTGCGCTCAATATGGTCAAGTTCGTGTTGAATGTGCGTACTTAAATCTTGTCCATTTAAAGATACTTGACAGATCGGACATTGTGGATTTTGCAGATCATATGTTGATGATCGACATCGATTCTCTAGAGAGACAAACAAAAGGTGTTTCTTTCTCTTATTGTCTAGCAAGCTATTCCACACATTCTTGCGACAAACAAAAAGAAAAACAATCGAGATAGATGAAGCGACGAGACAACGCGAGCTGTCTGTTCCATCCGGTATTTTATTCCGTCTCATTAGTCGTCTCTCAGTGAAGAGTTTGATTATTTTATGACTTCTTTTTCACTTATGGATCACTATCAGACCATATGTCAAAATAGCCTCATCGGTAGAAATTGATTAGACAGCTGAATATTTTCCTCGAAGTCAACCTGTCGAGATGTACAACAAATAGATGTTGTATCAACAAAACTGCAAATAGAAAGAATATAAAAGTGAAGAGTGATTTTTCGTGCCCTGAAGTGATTGATTAATCCGCGAAAGAGAAGAGAAGAGAAGAAAAGAAGAAATCATATTGCCTAGTGATTCTATTAAATATCGATCAATCACTTCAGATCTTGTTTGATCTCGAATAAAACCAGTTATTCATGTAATAGCAAATTATTCTCACAGCTAGATATGAAAATGAAGAGACATGTTTTTGGCGGAGAGAATTTTTCGCATGCAACTGTGATTATTTTCCAGGAAACAAGTGTATGAGTATAGGATAAACAAAAGAATGATAATTGATTTCTGTTCCTGTCTTCGCCTATGAATTAATTGACCCCACCCAGCTAGATGTGTGAAATCAACCGGACGAGTCGCCTTGAAGGCAACGAAGAATAAGGGTGAGGATGATGTTCATTACCTGAATACTTGCCAAAACTTTCATCACTACTCTTTTCCGATGGAGATATGTCCGAATGGTTTTCGTCTTGTGTACTTGTTTTGAATCGTTTATTAGTTGGAACGAATGCTGATGATTCGGTTGACGACGACGACGACGATAACGATGAATTGGAGTTCGTTGATGATGTCAATAATCCTGGTGTTGCACCATTAAATAGAGGACGAAATGCAGCCGCATAAGGATAATGATGGAATAAAGTTGAAAATAGATGATGCTGATGCGCCGCAGCTGCAGCCGTTAAAGATGGATGCGTCGAAGGGAAACGTAAATGATCAGGTGACGTTTGATTCAGTAGGGTATTGACGGAGAATGCTCCGTTGGCTGCATTGAAAGCAGCCATTGCAGCTGATAAGGATGTTTTTTCGGGACTAGTTATTGTCGAATTAGGTGACGAGGTGGCTTGTCGTATGGAACGAAATGCTGCAGCCATGTCGAGTGGTTGCATAGGATGCCAGATTGCTGGATGATACATAGTCTTTAGTTGTTTTGATGATAATATAAAATGATCAAATGATAATCTTTTCTTCGCTTTTTCTTTTTTGCACTAAGTTGTGTGTATCAACTTATCTCTCTTGTCGAAGTTTATCTTTTCTCGCTGTCGTTACACAGAGTTGACTTCTCTCTTCTACTCTGATTGAGTTCTCTCTTGTAGTCCACTGGCTTTTTTCTCTTTCTCTCTTTCTCGCTTTTTTCCTCTCTCGGTTGAAAAGAGAATTGGTTAAGAGTATGAAAAAAGAGAGAGAGTACTGTTTATTGATTGGTTGATAATCAAAAGGGGGAAAAAACTTACTCTTGCATACATCTAATACATATTCATTCAAGCGAAGAAAGAGAGAAAGACACATATACACCGAAGGACATAACTCTGCTTCTCTTGATGATAGATGATTGAGTTTTTCTTGCGCCAGTTGCGACTATCAACATTCTTTTTTCCTACCCTCTAGCAGCTCACTGTCGACACGTAACGAGAGCAAACAAAAGGAAAAGAAAAATAAATCATTACTTCCACAACCACCAATCGGCGAGTGTGTCTTCATCGTCTTTCTCTCCAGTAATTGGTTGTTCGAGCAATAAAAAAAAGGAAAAGAAAGCGAGATACAAGATGTGAAAATAATCGAGCAATACAATCTCTCAAGCAAGCAAATAAGAGAATCTCATAATACAGTTAGATGTATGTGCTGTCTGCCTGCTGGCATCTGTCAGAGAATGGTGATAATCATAACAAAATACGTCGATCTGCATACATTGATCTATATATACATCTTGATCAACAAAGGACATTGACAAATGTTAGAACCATATAGAACATGGTATCATTTCAATTGAGTATGAATAAATCCGGTAGTGCTGTACTAGATTTTGTTATTGACATAACAAATATTTTAGTTACGTTTTTTTTCTGCGTATTTTATTCTCGATTGATGACGAGCATATGAATAAAAAGGTGTGATGTCAGTTTAGCAGAAGCGAGAAAAACGGGCTTCTTTAAGTGTATGGTCACGCATTTGCATATCTAATAATTATCACAAGAGCTTGATCATGCATTTTTTTCTCTTTATTACGTTTGTCATCGATTCATTCATTCATTCGCGTAACACAAACAGGATACACTTGTGCGCGAGCGCTCTCTTATTTGGCTACAAAAAAAAAAGAAGAAGAAACAGAAGAACTATACTGACTGTTTGCTCTTACGTTCGACGTCATCGCCAAATATGATTGATGGGTTCTTTTGTATTCCCTATCCATGATTTCTATTGCTCATTCATACATTAAAATTAGGTTCGGATGATGAGGCGGACGAAAGAAGGTATGCACATTAGAACGAATCACTATTTGATGAGCATGTAATCAACAAGTATCATCAATTGAAAAAAGAAGAAAAGAGAAACAAGGAAAAAATCACAGTGATAAAGATGGGTTCACGTCAGTCATATTCATTGCTTTTTCTTCTTTTGTCGCTTGAGGCAAACATCAGTGACAAACATTGAATACATGAGAAAACGAGTCATTGATAGTAGCTGTTGCTGTCTGTCTGTCATCTTGTGATACTTAGTGGCTCCAGATGGTTTGTATGAGTATGTATCGTTTAAACAAGATGACTTTTCTTCTCGTCATTCAACATACTCAATTGAAGTTTATAGGCGAAAGACAAAAGCAAATGTGAACAAGCATAGAAGACCAATTAACACTTTGAACAAATTATAAATCCATTCCGATGGATAGATGGATGTCGCGGTTTCTTCTTTTCTTTTCTGTGCCTCATTGCAAATCGTTTCTATTGATGTGATGCATCAAAATACAAAAGAATGACAACTCTTTTTCTTTACATCTTTGCTTCCAAATCGACTGTTAATAAACGAGATCGATGAGTGTGTGTGTGTGCGTGAGAGCACATATGGAAGATGGCAGGTATATAATTGAAAAAAATGTAATCGATGCACGCGTGATCTTCTGTCAATGATAATTGATCGGTTATTGATGAGTTTGAACAATTTCTCGGAATCTATTTTCTCTCTCTCTCTCTCTCTCTGTCTCTTCATCGTCTTCGTTTCAACTTATTTATCTTACAAAGTTATGTGTCTGAAACAAGATCAAACAAATTTAATAGGACTACTGCTGTTTTTTTTCCTGCATGTTTGCATTAATGTAGCGACATGGTTTTTCTTCTTTGTTTACACCATTTTCTTCGATTAGAAGATTTATTTGTCAGAAATTTACCAGTACACCAACAGAGATCAAAGGTCTGGTAAAAGGAGAAGAAAACAAGTTTGATTTTCTAATATCTACAAATGTAACTAGTGATTCAGACATTGTTTACTTGAATATATCATACGTCTTTCATAGATGAATGAAAAACATTACATTTTGTATAAAAACAAATGACGCTCTTTGCTTCTTTCTCTTTCATATAGTTTTACTATTTGAGATACATCTCTGGAGACGATTGGACGAACGTAAATGTATAAGTTATTGTTTAAATGATGATGATGAATAGTTGTTGTCATTGAATGTTTTTCACTCTAGGGATCCAAGACTTAGCGATGAATCACAAGCGTACACAGAATTTATGCGAACTAGTTTTCCTCCTCCAAGAAGTATTTTAATTGAAGGAATACGCCAACGATCCGAAGATCTGCATGCAAAATTGAACGAAAAATTCATTGGAACTTTCAAAGGTCAAGAAGTTGAAAGGAAAGTGCAAATCACAGGGAATACAGGTGAAGCATAGATGTAACTGGAATTATGAAGGCTCGAATTCCTGTTTTAGATATACCTGTAACAATCTATACGCCAATTGATGCAAAAAAGGATAAAATGGTGATATTTTTCCACGGTGGAGGTAAAAATAGAGTTCTTCGATGCAACAAATAGAAAAATATTAAAAACAAATGACTTAGGACATGTAATTAACAGTCGTAAGACACATCAAACAATTGTGAACATCATTGCTGAGTATTTATTATCTTGCTAAGCGACATCGTTTTTAACATGTTCTTATTTTTTGATAGTGCAACAAAGTCCATCTGGATTTCAGTTGAATATCGCCTTGGACCGGAATACAAGTTTCCAATTTGGTTGGATGACGCATGTGAAGTCACTCAACACATCCTTGCTAACAAGACTTCATATGGTATAATTTGTTAGTTTGTGTTGTCGATGTTCATTGATGTGCTGTGTTTAGGTGGCGAAGAAAACACGAAAGTTGGTGTAGCAGGTGATAGTGGTGGTGGGATGACTGCTGCATCGGTTTGTCGTACAATTAAAAACCTTGATTTTCAGGTAAAGATTAGATTACTACTAAAAGTAGTGTACTTTATGAATCTATAGGTTCTCATATGTGGCCATTTCGAAATGGCGAATTCTAGTGCATCGCGGCAAGAATTCAACAAACCGCAGTTTGTAATAACGATAGATGTGCTCAATTGGTATGAGAAAAGAATAAGCATTGAAAATCTCCTATTTCTTATTCGAATAATTGTAGGTTTTACGCCAATGCTTTCCATAACAAAGATGACGAAAAAAGTCCTCGTCTTGATTTCTTACATAATCAAGTATCTAGTACAATTCCACCCTGTCTATTCATTGTTGCTGAACTTGATCCACTACTGGATGACAGTTATCGTAAGAACAAATGAATGAATAGTTAAGAAGAGAATAATTGTATGCAATTTAGAATATCAAGAGGTACTCAATAAAGCAGGAGTGAAAACCAAACTCGTCTTGATTAAAGGCGCTATTCATCCATTTTTTGCTTTGCCGGGTAAAAAAAGAATCGAAAGTTGACGATCTCGATTATATACGACTTTTTTTTCTAGGTATATTTACGAAGTCATGTCAACAAGTGGTGGACGCTGTTAAAGATTTTATGGCGGATTTATAAGAAAAACTTTCATTATAGTTCTTTTTTATTTATCGAATAACTTAGTTAGATTTTTCTTCGACTTTATATTTATTTTCTAAGGTGATATCTAGCTAGAAGCGCCATACGAGTGAGGCGATATTTTTCATACACCCACTGTGCATGCATTTTCGTTCTTTATCTATTGAAATAAAACAGGAGAGAAATAAAGCTTAGTATTCTATATAACCATCCATCCTTCAGCTCGAATGTCATCGTCATTATTTTGTTTTGCTTTGTCGGTTGGTTTTATCTTCATTCTCAAATATCATTAAAATATCGTTACCTTTCTGCTATAAATGTAAGGTTCTTGTTTTTTTTTACATTGGCGACTGATACACATATGTGATTATTGTAAATCCATACAGGGATTCGCGATTAGGCGAAGAAGCACGTGCTCATGTTTCGTTTATTGTACAAAATTTTCCAGCGCCGAAGGCTTTCAGTGTTGAAGCAATGCGTGAGCGAAGCACCAATGTGCATGCAAAAATCAATGAAAAGTTGATTGGAACATTTAAAGGAACAGAGGAAGAACGACTAGTGAAAATTTCTGATGATACAGGTAGTACTAGAAATTATCCACGAATTGATCGAGATAAAGAATTTCGAACAATTAGAAATTCCTATTACAATTTATACACCAGTTGACGCGAAGAAGGATAAAATGGTCGTATATTTTCATGGTGGAGGTAAAACAATATGAGTGATTCATGTAATGACAATCATCATCTCGAAAAATATCATTTAGGATGGACAATTGGCAGTCGTAAGACACATCAAACAATTGTGAACATCATTGCTGAGTATTTATTATCTTGCTAAGCGACATCGTTTTTAACATGTTCTTATTTTTTGATAGTGCAACAAAGTCCATCTGGATTTCAGTTGAATATCGCCTTGGACCGGAATACAAGTTTCCAATTTGGTTGGATGACGCATGTGAAGTCACTCAACACATCCTTGCTAACAAGACTTCATATGGTATAATTTGTTAGTTTGTGTTGTCGATGTTCATTAATGTGTTGTGTTTAGGTGGTGAAGAAAACACGAAAGTTGGTGTAGCAGGTGATAGTGCTGGCGGATTAATTGCTGCGTCAGTTTGTCATACGATTAAAAACCTTGATTTTCAGGTAGAAATCAATGAATCATGATATGAACATATTTTTTATAACCTAATGTTTAGATTCTTGTCTATGGTGCATTTGATTTCTCTGGAAGTACCGATTCAAGCAAAGAATTCGTTAAACCTGAACATGTTCTAGTGCCTGCAGTAATCGATTGGTCAGTTAGCACAATCTGCTTTTAGTAGATGATTTTGTTCTATCTGCTTTTCTTTGGCAACAGGTTTAGTTCGAATGCTTTACGCGATGCCAGTGACAAGACCAATCCTCGTGCATCTGTTTTGCTTCAGGAATCATTTAATGGTTTACCGCCGTGTTTATTCATTGTCGCAGAACTAGATCCATTACGGGATGATAGCTATGGTACGAAAATATGCAGGAAAAGTTTGAATAATGTCCGTATTTTTGTTAGCATACCAGAAAAAACTTGAACAAGCTGGAGTTAAAACACAATTTGTATTGGTCAAAGGCGTCATTCACTCGTTCTTCAGTTTACCAGGTAAAATATTTATTAACTATTGAAAAACCAACAAATTATTCATATTTAATAGGAATATATGAGCAAGCCACTCAGCAGGCAGTTCAAGGTATAAAAGAATTCATGGATTCTCTTTAAAAATTGACATTCCAATTGCCAAAATCCAGAATGAACAATTGCGCCGAATAAAAAAGACATGTATAACATCTTGTCACGCTCATACTTTAGTTGACCTGTAGACATTCTGAGAGATTTAGTAAGAAAACAACATTCATATAATTAACGCTTGCTTTATTCTTCAACCGTTCATGTTTAATATCTCTATATCCATGGCGGAAAATATCTGAATATGTACACACAATCATATTCAAAAAAACAAACAAACAAACAAATAGACAAGAAATTACACAGAGAAAGGATAAAGTGGTTTTTTTGTTATTGTATTCGATACACACGAACAAATTGAGACGTCCGATATTCTTGATACCTCCCTTCATTCGTTACTCTGCCTCGTTTACCAGTCTAGAGCTAAAAAAACAGTGAACAATATATGTTTTATTTATGGAACAAAAAAATGGTCACAGGGTGAGAAAAGAAAGACAATAACAACAACTCAATGATATTCTAAAGACGAAGAAGAAGAAAACAAATACGAAACGAGCAGAGAATCATCTTTTTCCATATCGAAAGAGATTTTAGTTTTTCGAGTAACAACGAAACAATGAATGAAACTGTACAAAATAAACACGTTAATTTAATGAGCCACGACATACTGGTGTACCACAAAGACATGGAATTTTTTGTTCTTCAAGTGGAAATTTATAATCATAGGTGATCTCTTCTCCGAGACGAATATCACGTCTTGAATAGATAACAATTTTCTTTTGTGATTCAACTGGTATGATTTTTGCATAACAATTAGGCTGAAAAGAAAACGTCAAAGGTATGAATGTTTTCTAACAGAAATCAATCTACTTACATCACAACTATGATTAATAAATCGTGCGAGATTTCCACATTTGGTCGCATCAACAATTGTATCTGAATCGACGCGAAACATATAATTAGAATTGGTTCCTTCTAATTCATATTGTTTTTCACGTAGATCACCAATGCTTTGTCGAATGGTTTCACCAACATATTCGATGACCATGTCCTCCATAGCGATTGGCTCGCAAGCAAATAAACCCCATGCATGAATACCTGATTTCGCATATCGAAGACGTTTCTTTCTCAGCTAAAACAAATAGATTCGATTGGAATCAATCTAAGAAAGGGAACAGTTTCAATAACCTTAAGTTGACTAAATTTAAAATGGTCAGCAAATTCAGCATCGCCTAGCGCTAATAGATTTCGTCGATGTTCACTACGAAGTTCACGTGACATTTGCGCACCAGTCGTAGTCCGATTTGTGTCGAGTATTGCTTGTGGAAGTACAGATGAACTTTGAGAGGAATCAGTCGTCTTCATAGGAGATACTTTCTCATCTTTAACTATTTTATAATAACCTTCGGTTCGAGCACATCCAGTTCGATGTTTTTCTGGTGGTTGTTTAACAAATGGTGAGTCGCGACTAGCAGGATGATCAACCCATCGGGTTTTTGTCGTACATGAATGACCTTCTTCGCATAGTTTTTGAAAACTTTGTTTAAGATATGACATATCTTCTTCATCAACACCTTGATCGATTTCATACATAATACGCATTTCAGCATCGTGCTCACGCGGTGAAAACTTCACAATCATCGGAATGATGACTGGTGCTTGAACGCCCATATCATTCAATCCATCGACAGTCAATCGTTTTGCTACTGGTATTGGTTGTTTCGTCATAAATGCATAATCATGTTCAAATTCAATATAAGCAAATGGATTATAGGATGGTCGCGCTTCTTCTGCCGATAAACTGTCTAATAGATTTGCAGTTTGACTGAGTTGATCGTCTACTTTGTTGTTCGTTGTCGCATGCTGATGACTTTTAATACTATAGGGAGAAACAGAAGAGTAGATTAATGTTAATCGACAGTTATCCATACCTCTTCTTTCGTTTGGCTAGTGTACTATTATCGACGTCGTCTTGATCTTGTGTGGAATCGCTTTTGACTTGATCAATTTTTCGTTTTTTAGGTAGACCAGATTTTTTCGGTTGTTTAACAAGGTTTTTATTTTTCTTAGGAGGTGTTAGTGGTGGCGGTGTTGATGGAGGTTTGATCACTGGTGGTGGCAGTGTCGTTGATACCGTGCTCGTCGAATTCGCAGCACCCTTTTCTTCTGATTCTTCGTCTTCGTCTTCATCATCTTTGATTTCGCCTTCTTCCTCTTCGGGTGTAGATGGTTCTGCAGGAACTTTAGTGATTGATTTTGCTTCTGACAAAGATGTCTCTTCAGTTGGCATGGAAACTGAATCTCGACTCTGACTATCATCGTTTTCAGGTGTTTCATTCGATTCACTGCTGCTAGAGCTTAAGCCTAAACGCAAAACATGTCTCAAATAGCATTGAATTTATAAACTGAAACGTACGTTTTCGTGCGACTTTACGCGGTTGTTGTTGAGGTGGTTCTTTCTTCTCGCTTGATGGAGCTGATTTTTGTGGAATGAGTGGCTTATCATCTGGATTAGTTCGTTTCTTAACAACATAGGAAGTTAGAAACTGTAGAAAGCATTGAACTGTTTTGCTTACTTTGAATGAAGGTATTTTGGGCATTTGAGCCCGCACAGATGATCCTATATTATCTTTTATATGTTCAAAATACGTCGATAGATTCGTGGATGACGTAGACGAACTGAAAGGTGGAGCTGTCATTGGTGTGGTTGGAGTGGATAGTTCGTCAGGTGTACGTTCAAGTGATGGATTTGATGTTGAATGATGCAATTGATTAGATAACTGTTCATTAGAAGTTGTCTGGTTATCGTTTGTTGAACTCTCAGCTGATTTGATTCTTTTAAATTTATCTTTCCGTTCCTCGATGTCGTACCAGGTTTCGATCGATTTATAAACTAATGTTTCAATGAGTTTTTTGGCTAGATCTTTTCTCAAAATTTCTACTAGTTCTCCTGAAACAACGTTCGTCACGGCATTAGTTAAATCATTTGTTTTCCTTTCGCGTTCATCGACTCCATCTGTAGGGTAGAGTTGAAAACCATTCGAAGAGCTATGCGACTGATTAGTTATCGTTACGTTCGCGGACATTGTTGTTGTGGTAGTTGATGATGATGAGGACGACGAGGACGGCGGTGGTTGTTTGAACATGTCTTGCCAATTTGTTCCGCCTGCTGAATTTAAAAATGATGCAGGTGGAAATGAATTACCGAAAAAATTAAAATTATTGACTACGCCATAAGATTGTTGATGATGATGATGGCTACCAACGATATTCGTCATCGGCGAAGATAATGGCGGTGGTGGATAGGAAAATGAATTAGGTGGATGAGTATTGGGTAGCGGTAGTGGCCGATGATGTGTCTTAGTTGGCATAGATGACGAATGAGCACATTGCTGTTGTTGAAATAAAGCTGCTATACGTTCGTCCAAACTTGGACGATGAACTTCATCATCTTTTTGCTGTTTAGAATTGTTCGATCGAGAATTATTGGTTGATCTCCGATTTTGGCTATGTGTCGACGAGTAACTAGTGCGAGATGATGATGATGATGATACTGAATAAGATCTTGATGTCGAACTGGATGTGGACGATGAGGATGAGGACGACGAACGTGAGGACGATGAAGATGTTGCACTACTACTGGTTTTTCGCCTTCGTCGACGTTGTTGAGAATGAGGCCGACGATTATTATGTGATCGACGACGTGATCGACGTGATGAAGATTTACAATTATTACTATTATTACCAAATGATCCATATGAGTCAAAAGAAAATTGATCAGTATTATCATTGCTTGGATGTTGATTTCGTGAATCGAATCTAGTCGATATGGGTTGAACTATAAAAGAAAATATTTCAATTTAACATCTTCGCTCTACACAATTCATTTCTAGACAGCCTAATGAAATTGTTGCTAAGAAATAAAAGTCAGTTAGCAGAATTGAGCAAATAGTACTTCGGTATGAGTGATATCTGAGACGTCTTTTGCGTATGTGCTGCACGTTTCGTTTAACTGAAACGTATGTGAATATATGTGGATAAAAATCCTATATGTATCAAAGTATTTTTTCTAAGTTCTACTAACATCTTGACGGGCGGTGTTGATCTCGAGATGGATATGAACTTGATGATTGAGAAGAATTATTTATCCTTTTATGGTTAACAGGTAATTGCATAGACATATGTGATGGATCAGATTGTTTATTGTAGTTTGAGTCCATTGAAGGTGGTGGAGAAGCAGCGGCTGAAGCAGCTAAAGCTTTTTCTTGTGCAGCTTTTTCTTGTTCCTGGGCTCGAATTATTGTTGCATATTGTTTTGTACGTTCTTGACCAGATGTTTCCAATGACACTGATATAATACTACCCATTGTCGTGGTCATATGCAATGCCTTGACACACTCTCGAGCAGCTTTGGTTGTTTTAAAAATTACCTTGAAGATGTTCGAAATGATCAAGATCAATCAAATGAACAGACGTATTCGATCTTACTGTTCCTAATCCCAGGTGTTTCTTTGTTTGTCGATCATAATAGATTTTACAATCATCTATCTCACCAAAACGTTTACACATATCGGTTAAAAAGGTTTTTGTTATATTGTCGTTTAGATTTCGAAAGGTTACTTCTTTTGCTGGAATGACACCAACCCAACAGCGATCCAACTAGTCAAAGAAACAAGATTATAGTGAATATCTAGTTTTAGTTCAGTTTGCAAAAGAGACAAGCATTACTTTGAATTTTGGTACAGGTAAATCTAGATGTGATCGATCCGATCGATTTGGATTTCGTGGATCTGTACCTCCAGAAACGTGTAGTGGTGTCTGTAAGTAAACAATCGATGTAATAGTTCAATAAGAAGCAGAAGACAATGTTATTCTTACTCCTTCAAAATCTCCATTAGCGTACAACCGTTTCTCAGCTGGATGAATGGCACTAAATGAAAACAAATATAAAATACGTGTTTTCATCTGAAAGTACGTACGGATCTCCTGCATAGAATCGATAATTTCGTCGTTTTTCATTGACAGGAGCTTGAGACATAGGACGAACTTGTGTTTCGATAGTTGATTTGTTTGAAGAAGTAACTGATAGAAAACGAAGAATGTGAATAAATTCTCAAACATCGCAGCAGGAAGAGTGTCTCATACCTTCGAACATATCGCTTAAGTGATATTTGTTTATTCTTCATTCATAACAAAAAACGAAAATGAAAAGAGTAGTAAAATTTTATTCACTCAATCTGTCATGAAGACGAACAAGTAAATAGAAAGAATGCAGATAGTTTAGGGTTTTTTTTTCATCGACAACACAATCAGACAACTAAAAAATTTCATGCATTTTCATTGGCGAACAACATCATGGCATAGTTATGCAGATGCGTGTACACTGACATCTACAGCGGTATCTTTGTATGATTCATTCGATGAGTAAATAATAATAAACATGTCATTTGGATAGAACTGAGAAAGAGAAAGGGAAAAGTAAACAGGATTAAATTGAAACGATGCTCGAGTACGGGAGAGTCGTTTTAACACTGAGTGATGTTTTATTACCAGCTGAAAAATTGTATCCAAATCCAACACCTTCAATGAACGAAGGTTTGCCTTATGACATCGAGTACGATTTGAGATTGATCGGGTGTGAACTTATTCAAACAGCATGTCTACTGCTAAAATTACCACAAGTAAGTTGTTTTACGTGAAAATATCAACGGAAATTCTGGCATGTGGTATATGTTCTTTTGAAGACTGCAGTGGCAACAGGTCAAGTATTATTTCATCGTTATTTTTATTCGTCATCCTTTGTTCGTCGACAAATGGAAATCGTTGCGATGGCTTGTACGAATCTTGCAGCTAAAATAGAAGAAAATGCTCGACGAATAAGAGATGTTATCAATGTATTTAATCATATCAAACAAGTACGATCGGGAAAGTAAGTAATAGCAAAAGATTCGTTGCGAGTATGTATGTATGTATTTCTCTGTAGAACAATTCATCCTTTACTCATTGATCAAGTTTATGTCGATCGAAAGGGTGAAGTGATCAAAGCGGAACGACGTATACTCAAGGAACTTGGATTTTGTGTTTATGTTAAACATCCTCACAAAGTAATTCTTCAATTGCTGATCACCGTTTTCTTGTATTTGATATTTTTCTCGTCCATAGATGATCACAGTGTATTTGAAAGTGTTGGAAAAAGAACGAGAAAAAGATTTAGTACAAACAGCTTGGTAGGTATCATGAATTGCTAGGAAATTTTAAAATATATTTCTTTTTGCTAGTAGCCGACATGCGTTACAAAGATTTTTAGATATTCTATGTATAAACGAACTCTTAGGAAACATCTAGGTTCGAGTTAACATTCTATTATTTAGAAACATACTTAGAATATCTATGATCCATTTTCTTAGTATGAAAATAAGGTTTATTGTGAATCATATTTGAATGAATCTTGTCAGAATGTTTTAACCTTAATATAAATATATTCTCTCTCTCTCTCTTAGTAGCATACTCTCGGATTAAATTAAGTATGAAGATAATCTGTACACTTGACTGAATTGTATTCCTAAATATCTGTATTTTCTGAAATTCTCTATGCAATATAAAAATAAATTTCTTGTCTTTCGTCCAGGACTTATGGTAAAACGATGCGTATATAACCGTTTGGAATATATACAATCGCAACTCGCATTTGTTCTACACTTGACTTGAAATCAAGTATCGGTCGGTAATGTTTTACTACATTTCTTATTCACTCCGATATAAATATTCTCTTTCTCTATTGTTCTAGTCTTATCGTCAATGGTTTGTTTGTTATGTTTGATTTTTAGATTTAATTGAAAGTAGCTTGATTAAAACACTGCTCATTCGGAACGGATTTCTATTCAACATTGTATCTAATCATGTTGTGTATTTTTAGATGTTTGTAGAGCAATGATATTGAATTCCTTCGTACGATTTCTTTCTCCTCTATGTCTAATTTTCTATTAAAAACCAAACATAACAAATAATCCATTCGTTTCCAAACTCGAGAATACGTTCGATAATTGACATACCGATACTTGATTGGAGTGCACATGTATCAGCGAGAGAATAGGATAGACTTCCCTAACTGCTTGAACATGCTGTTTCTTCCAAAATTCAAATCTACATTTGTTTTTTAGGAATTATATGAATGATAGTTTACGTACGGATGTTTTTCTACGTTTTACTCCGGAGACAATTGCGTGCGCGTGCATCGATCTCGCTGCGCGATCACTTCAAGTAAATTTTACTATTGACCTAATCTTGCTCGTTAATTTCTCGTTTTTCTATTCAACAGATTGCTTTGCCTAAAAGTCCGCCTTGGTACGTCATATTTGGTGCACGCGCGAATGAAGTTCATTTCATTATGTTCTCCATTTTGCGTTTGTATCGACATCGGCCGGTACGTTGATTGCTCATTTCTTGCAATAGTTATCTACTTTCTTTTTCACAGAAATCGATAGAAGAACTTGAAAAACTTGTGAATGCTGTTCGCGAAAAGAAAGAAGACGAACGAAAGAAACCGCGAACAGATGTTATTCAATCGACTGAATTAGGTAATACTTCGCCACCACAACCAATGGCTCAAAATTCGATTTCCTCAACAATAACTAATACGACGACGACTGTTATTCAACACGATGGTAGGAAAACAAATCGAATCTCTTAGTAAATATCATGCTAATGTAATTTTTTTACTTGTAAGTTGCGACAGTGATTTCAACAACACAAGAAGTCACCAACATAACAACAACAACGACTACTACTACTACAAATGGAAAAAGTTCGAAACGGCATGAGAGAGGAACTTCAAGAGAATCATCCACAGTGAATACACATCGATACCATCGTTCAAGAAGAAGACGAAGTAGTACGAGAAGCAGGTAAATGAATTAGATTTTGCACAAACTAATTGTTACTGATTTGTTGTTCTTTTTCGATCAAGTAGATCATCATCTCAGTCGTCTTCACGGTCTTCGAATCATCGTTCTCAAAAGAAAAAGAAAACTTCACATCGTAGTCGCTCACGTTCTCGGTAACAATCAATTCGATAGATATGAAGTTTTTACGCTCATTCTTGTATTCTCTTGTTTAGTTCGTCAACGCCACGGAAACGAAAACATCAGAAAGATAAACGACATCGTAGTCGTTCATCGAATCGTCGGAGAAAAGACAAGAAACGACGATCGCGTTCTTCATCACCTGAAGAAAAGTAAACCGAATAGTCAAATCTTTCAATAAATAGACAAATTTCTTCCCTTTAGCCATTATTCACATAACAACAAACATCCACTATCAACAAAAGATACGAATAACAATCTTCATCAACGTTCACATCATCACTCATCGAAACATTCAAATGGTGTTTCATCGTCATCGTCTCATAAAAAATTAAAAAACTAGTCAAATCATATTTTCAATATTAGACGTTTCTGTACAGATAGTTAAGCGTCACTGTTGTTTGTCATTTCACGTCACTTTTTGTTTCTCTTGCACACAAAAAACAAAAGAAAGAAAAATAAACTAGACAGAAATTTATTATGAATCATCTTTGTCTTTTCTTTTTTCTTGCTATTTTCTATGAAATGTGGCATTTAAGAACGAAACAAGCCTTGTAGATAGCTTTGAATCCATACACGAGCATTGTTTTATGTCAAAATTAACCGATACAAAACTGTATGAAGCAACCAAACGTCTGGAAAAACGCTTGAAAGAGCGTGAAGATGAGTACATGATCTACAAACCATATCATGTTGTTGTCGGAACGTTTAATGTTAATAATCGACAACCACCAGCTCATATTTTACTTCAAGAATGGTTGCACAGTGTGACAAAGAGCGGCGGACATTCGGAAGAAATTCTTCCAGATATCATTGCTGTTGGCTTTCAAGAAATTGATACGAGCAGCGGAGCATACATATACGATGATAAGAAAAAAGAAGATGAATGGGAAGGCATTGTTCGAAAAACCATAAAAGCTTGTTATAAGTCAAAGCATAATGATCATAAATTCGATTTATTAAATCGCGTTCGTCTAATGGGTAAGAAATGCGAGTGTAATTCGAGATAAAGTAGGGAAAAGATTTGTTTTAGGTATAATTCTATTCGTATACGTACGTGCACCGCATATGAATCATTGTACACTAACTTCTCGATCGTCCGTTGCAACTGGTTTCATGGGTTTGGCAGGTAATAAAGGTGGTGTTGGAATTCGATTTCGGTTCTATCAAACAGACATATGTTTCATTAATTGCCATTTTGCATCGGGTGATGGACAAACTTCTCGCCGTAATGAGGATTACCAAACCATAGAATCACGTATGACATTTACATATGGAACTAGTTCTTCTTTGAAAGAGTATATATGGTATGCACCAAGCTCAGTTGGCAATTCAGCATCGAATCCTCAAGCAACATCAGCTTCTACGCAGTGGTTAGTGTAAATCCAAAATTTGACATATATTGTCATAGTGAAATATATTCTAGGTGGAAAATTCATGATCATGACATTGTGTTTTGGTTTGGTGACATGAATTATCGTATATCGCAAACAAATGAACAAGTTCGTGAAGCACTTAAAGAATTATCTACTATTCCATTGCATGAAAAAGATCAACTACGTTGTGAAATGAAATTGAATCATGTTTTCCCTAATTATTCTGAACCTCCTATTCATTTTATGCCAACATACAAATTCGATCCAAATACCGAGGTTTATGATACAAGTGAAAAACTTCGTACGCCATCGTGGACGGACCGAATCTTGTACTACGCCAAACGACCGAAAATACAGAATGAAAACAAAGAAGAATTTGATTTAGTTCAACCGATTCACTATTCATGTGCTAGAACGATACAATTTAGTGACCATCGTCCGGTCAGTGGTCTCTACAGTATCAGAACTAAATATCAATGTAACGAAGAGCGTTTAAATCAGATACGTGATGAATTAATTCGGCAAATAGATCGTGAAGAAAATGATTCTATACCAACAATTGAAGTCCGTCCACATCCACCAGCAATTCTATTTGAAAATGTAAAATATCTCGATAAAATGACATATTCAATATTGATAAAAAATACCGGTGAATATTCATGTCATTGTATATTTTGTCCATCTTCCATGTTTGAACCAACGCGTCCGATCAATACGAAACAATTGACTGATGAACCGATTTTTGATTGTTTATCATTCATACCAAGTTCATCGTATACCATTGACGTAGGAAAACAACAACACATGGAAATAAGTTTTCAAATGAAAAGTCGTTACTCGTGGTTCTTTGGGAAGAAAATCAGTGAAATTCTTATTTTACATGTAGAAAATGGTGCAGATACATTTATTACCTTAGATATCACCCTTGATATGGGTCCATTTGGTTTATCACTCGATCAATTTCCTATGACTTTGTATGACAAAGACAAGAAACAGTATATTTACTCTATAGACCAATCTACAGATTCGATAAATGTTCTAGAAATGAAAAATGATCCTCCAGCACTTTATATCTGTCTCATTGACAATTTGAAAGAACGCAATGACATTCAATTATTAAATATCTTTAGTAATGAAATACAAGACTCGATTAATTTAATTCCAATACGTGATCAAATTTATACGCACGATTATGATTTTCAAAAGTGTTCAACTATTTCACTATTTATGATCCTGTTACATCTGTTACAATCCTTGCCTGAACCATTAATATCACGTGACATCCAAGATCGAGTATTTCTAAGTAGTAACTCGAATTTTCGTTCTTATCAACTACCAAGTGGCGCTGGAATTCAATCTCATATACCAAGTGAGATGGCGTCAACGAACTCACACGATATGAGTAAAGCTGTTAGTATGATTATTGAATTATTGAAATCCAAAGAAAGAAACTTATTTTTTCGTTTTCTTTCACTTTTGCAAAAATGTTGGCCGACATCTGAACAGATCAAACGAACAGAAAATGCACGAAATAGTTTAACTATCTGTATTGATATTTTATCTCTTTCAATATTGCATGATCATGCTGATCGGAACCAGCGACATACATTCCTTTTAGCCTGTTTGAACGAAGAGAAAAAGAAAAGTCATAAATAAGATTCTTCTTTTTCTTCGAACGTGAATTGAATTGTTAGTAATATTTTTTATTCCATTTACTTTAATTTGTGAAACCTATCCATAGCAATATTTTGTTTGTTCTTTTATTTACGATATCATTTCTTTATCCAATTAAAATTTATCGTGACAAAACTGAAGATATCTGTGAAAATGATGGTTGTTGATAGATGAGTGCGCCATTTTGGTTTCTATTGATATTTGTATTCAATTAATTGAATTTTTCATCACAAACAAAATCACTGTTTAGAAAGAAAAAGCAAAAATTTCTTGACACATGAAATGAAACGATAGAATGTTTATGACGAGCGACTTTTCCGTTTAATTGCCGTTCGATTTGTGCGTACAGTAGAAGTTGCGATCACATCCGATGAATGTGTTAGAGTAAACCATCGATGTGAACTAACTTGCTGAATGTTGGGCCGTTTTTGCCAATCGTAAGTAAAGATATTTAGAATGAGATTGCGCGCAGACTGTTCACGTTCATTCTCATTTGGCCAATGTAACTGTAATTTTTGATGCTGACAGAAAAAAACAACTGATTCATCGTCCTCTAGAATGAAGTCGGAGAACAAACTTGTTTTAAAATCAATTGATTATTTTTATCTTCTTTGAATGGCATCTAAATGAATCATAAGAAAATACATGGACGAATTCTGACAAAAACCTTCTTGTTACTTACAACGCCAGTAACAAATATATAGAGAATCACTCCGATTGCCCAGACATCGGCTTTTTTTGCATCATATGGAAGTCCAAGTAAAATTTCCGGTGATACATATGCACGTGATCCACAATATGTTTTACTTAGATATTCATTACTTTTGAGAACATCTTTAGAAAAACCAAAATCACATAACTTCATATTATCTAAATACGATGGACAATTTAGACACTCTTCTTTCTATAATCTTACCATTTATATCAAGGAGGAGATTTTCTAATTTCAAATCACGATGTACAACTTCTAATTCATGAAGATATCTGACTGCACTACATAATTGGGATGACCATAACGTTCGTTTATCATCAGGTATAGCACCAACACGTTGAACATACGTTAGCAAATCACCTTGTGAAGCAAATTCTAGAATCTAATTATTTCAAAAACGAATGACATCTTTGAAAATGCATGCAAAGCGAATTTACCATGAAAATCTTTCCACATTCAATAAAATGATGATGCATTTTAATAATATTTTCGTGATTCACACGTGGCCATATATCTAATTCACGTGGAAGAAATTTCTCTTGAAAATCCTTTGAAGCGCGTTGAGTATCAACTACCTACAAAGTCTGAATCGATGAAAAAATTACTGATAATGACAACTTCGCTGTTTACTTTAATGGCAACTTTGTGTTGATGGAATATATCGAAACCTTCTCTCACAGATGAAAATGAACCTTCACCGAGTTTCTTTCGAAGAAAAATCTTTCGTTGAGCAAGTAATGCACGTTCGGTTGATTGTCGATACTGACGAATTGTTCCATTTTGATCAACATAAGATTTCATTTCTGTTTCTTGGGAATATTTGTATAGTTTTGCTAGATTGCTATTGTGATTATTTGTAACTGATAATGTTGAATGTGAATTTGACGAATTCTCGTCAGTTGTTATTGTCGGTAATGGTGTAGATAATCGTATGGAAGTTGCCAGGGCCATAAGAACAAGTCTTTGAAGTATTGTTGGTTGGACGAAAGAGCAAAATTAATGCTTTGTAATGGATAAAAACATGAAAGTGATGTTGAATTTAGTGGCGTTTATCCAAATAGCTCTTCATAGTGTAATCAATGATGAGTTTTCTTTTCTCATAGACAATGTTGAAAAAGTGACATATTTCGATGAATAAAATAGTTCTGTTGATTTGGAAACTTGAAAATTCGTTACTAGCCAGACTTTGCGCGCCTAGCTTTCCCACCTGAAAAAAAACTCTTAACTCGTTGATCTATGTTCTATTCAATTGTTCAGCTAGATTCCTATGTTGATTACTGTACGAACACAAACATAATGAACCGTTAATAAGTGTCTTTAGTAAATCAAACAGATGATTGATCAGATGTTCGCGCATATATTGTGCTTTGCAATATGGAGTAGAATGTAGAGTTTTACACCTTATAAAAGACAGTTTTCTTCGACAAAAAAACATATTTTCTCTATACGTATTGTTATTAATCGAATATTTTTCTTGTCTAATGAATTGTGAAGTATACATTTGATTATTTCAATAGCATGTAGTTATTTGTTTTTCCAACTGCCTTTCATGAATAAATATCCAGGTGATTTTACTATTCACTTCTTAATGCCGAAAAGTAATCAGTCAGCGATGTTTTACGATTCATTCGAACGAGCCACTATGAGTAAGTATTGTCCAATAGGTCAACTGAAAAACTACAGAATATGTTTTCTTTTATCATTACATATTTGTAGGTCGCTATCCTGATACTATTCATACTTACACATCTATGAGCTTATTAATCGTTCTTATGTTTTCATAAAGATATCCACAGAAACGTGTTTTGGGTTATGTGAGCATAAATTGTTTATAGAATTTGCTTTTTATCAATCTAATCTTGAACAATTCTGTTTGCTCAAAGGATTTTCGTTTTTTGCACTTGTTTTCAGTATACAACATAATTTCAATCGATAGAATATTTTATTAATTACGTAGTCCTTTCTATATTTGTATCATGCTCATTGAGAGTGGCGAATGAAGTTACAAGGAAGCGATCAAGATCTGGGACTTGACAGTGGTTTATTGAAAAGGAAAATTTCATTCGATCATTTTGCTTAGATTTAATTGATTTAGGACTTGTTTGAAGACGATGGTTAACCTGTGTCTGAACAGCATGTGGTAGAACGATCATTGTTTGCGATGAATCGTTTCTTTTTTTTGCGAGATTTCTTCTGCTGATGTGTGTCGAAATTGATAGTTTAACAAGTAATTGACAATATTATTTCATTTATTCAACATCTTTCTCATTCAGAACATCTTTTGAACGATCTAGCAAATCTATTCGATACTGTGTTAAAGTTAAAAGAAGAATATTCATTCTTCAGCATACTTGACATACAGATATCAATCTTCTCTGATCAACGTTTGATGGAAGTCGAACAAGTGCATCTAATTGAATTAGGGTTTACCTGCAAGAAACAAAACATACGACTATATGTACCGAATTGAACAGACATCAATATTCATTCTCTGTGTAATCTACGTATGCCGAAACCAAAATCTAACAAGAAGAATAATGAAATCCTATCGAATGTGTCTATTCGATTGAATTGGGAGAGCGCGCTACTTTTTCTTCGGATAGATGTCGCCAAAAAGTAATTCAATTTCATTCGACAATGACCAAGATAAAATACTCTAGACCATAAAAAAAATCTTTCAGTTGCTAGGTTTCCATTTAATTTAACGCTTCTAAAAATGTCGCAAGAAATAATTATACCATTTGATGAGAACATAGTTCGACTACCATCATGTTTAACCGTTCACAAACAACTTCGCTTCGGTTTAAATCAATTTACAACGGAAGAATATGCAAGTCTTATGCAAAAACTATGTGAAACAAAACAGTCTCGTATCTGTGGCATCGTACGAAAGGATGGATTGGAAACGATTGTTTTAGCTTTGGCATTTTATCGTGCACATCCAACAACCTATGAAGGAATTCGTTTTGAAGTTTATGACTTAACTGTCGACGAAAAGGAGCGTAATCATGGTCTAGGCACACGTCTTTTGCAAGATTTAATTCGTCAAGCGAAAGAATGCGGAGCGCCATCGTTAGTTTTACAATGTGACTTGACGAATACTGATGCGCATCGGTTCTTTTTTCGACATGGCCTTGGAATTAGTTCGTTTACATTTTATCTCGATAAAATTGTGCAAGGAAAAACTCAAGATCAAATCAAAATTGTTGATATCAGTGATTTGGCTAAGAACGAAGATATCCTAAGTCGAACCGAAGATGTTTTACAACAATTTGGGCCGGGTTTATCTTCCGATGAAACAGCTTATGCGGATCAAATTCGTAATATTTGTCAAACAGGTCCGGCTCATATGTTAGTGGCGATCAGCAATGATGAGAAAAAAGATGTTCTTGGTGTAGCTATTTATCGACTATCTCATCATTTGAAATATTCACAATTTATCTATTGTGATGATTTAATTACCGATGAGAACAAACGAAGTTTAGGTGTTGGTCGAGCGTTGATGAATGCAATGAAACACGAAGCAGAAAGGCTTGGTTTAAATCGAATAGCATTAGATAGTGATTGCCAACAAGGTCGAGCCCATAAATTCTACCACCGAGAAGGTTTCCGTATTGATCAATTTGAAATGACTATTATTTTCAAATGAACAAGTGAATATCACTTCTGTTTCTCTTTCAGATGAAAAGTGCACGAGGTCGTGAGTCTACATCTTTAAGTTTAATAACGAATGAAGAAACAGCTCCAGTTTCATTTAAACCACATATCACCGAACGTTTAACATCATTAGATCATCCAAAGACATCACTTGACCACGAAGTATTCCATACATTACGAGAATCATACGACGATCGTTCATCTCCAACAGGTAGACCAATCAGTTCTTCTAGTCTTGATTATGCACTTTGGCTCGAAGCTGGTAAATACTCGCATAAATCCACATATGCCAAGAATCTCGATGGTAAACCACCAATCAATTATAATATATGGCGCAATTATCATCATTATAATTCTGATGTCAAAAGTAGAGCTGAACGCCGAGCGAGTGCACAAACACGATACACCGAACAAGCAGCATTTAGATATCCAATTACAATCCCTGCTCCATCGCAGTTAGGAGAGAATCATCTAAGGAAATTTTTCGAAGCTAATCGTCGTGAACTTTTTCAAAATCAATCTCGTTATCGCATGGCACTCGTTACAGCTGATAATGACGATAGATTACTACGCATGCTAAGTCTCAAAAGTCAGCAAAGAAATCCACCAAGACCGTCAGGTAAATTCGCTATTTTTCCATGGAAAAATAATTTTCAACAGATAAGACTGACTTGAAATCATTTCATTCTTTAGATACTGCTGAACGAAGTGAATCTACCAATGCTCCACCGGTTCGTAAATCTGTAACATTTTCAGTCAATCGAACTCGTCAATCATCAAATCAAAAATCTTTACAAATTACACCACAGCAACCACCACGATATCGCTATGGTAGTGGTAAAAAGTTTCTTTTAAAAGACAATCACCCATCAATGGAAAAATTCAAATTCGAACAAGAATTGAAAACAGCAATTAGTTTTCATCGTGAACTTAAACGCGCCAGAGCAGGCAGTGAGAAAAGCTTATACGCTAATCAACGACACGACGAATGAACGGACAACGATGCTTTTATTTATTTATTTATTTATTTATTTCTATTTAATCTCAGTAGTGACGATCATGTTTGGAGATTTATTTTTTTATAACTTTTTTTTTATATATGAATCTGGTGAATTCTATTTTCTTTCAGATCGATACATATAAGCTCATTCATGGCCACTACTGCACTTGCCAATAAATCAAACGAACCTACAGGCTACATCACCCGTCCGAACTTCGAAGAAAAATTTCGTTCGACAAAAGTACAAGAAATTCTTTACTCATGTATCAGTGAGGTTCTTAGCGATAAAAAATTTGAACAGGAAGCATGCGCAGAATGGACGAAAACTAGTATGTATTCTAATGACTACAAGCAATCCTTGATTTCACTCATTAAAGTATTACCACTTCAATTACACACTGTGTCATTCAAATCAGTTCATTGAGTATTGCTTCAAAAAATAGAATCTTTCGAGTTAAATGTGTACTAATTTCTAGAATAGGTCAAAGAAATTGTAACATCAACAGACATGAGCGTGACTTGAGAACATGAGGAGGATGATGACGACGAAATTCATTCTTGCCATTTTCTAGAATTGAGGTTAAAATCGAAATGATTACATGCATCAAATTCGACTGAATATTGGCAATAATCAGAGAGTAACTCGAGATAAAAAAGTGAAGAACAACTTGAGTTATTGTTCATTATGTACTTTTGAAAATAATACTATTTGCATTTATTGAACGATTATTCTTAAGATCGAATTTAATCTTTTCTTTTACAATAGTTACAATCAACATTCGCGATCGTCTTAAAGCAGCTAATATGAAATTTGATCGATACAAATTTATTGTCCAGTGTATAATTGGTGAAAATAAAGGTCAAGGTGTGAAATATGGTTGTCGATGTCTATGGGATTCGGATACCGATGGTATGGCTGAATATGTTTATTTAAATGAAAGTCTTTTCTGTGCTGTAGCTGCTTTTGGAATCTTTTATTATTAACCATCTTTTTTTTTATACATACATAGGCATTCTCATGGATTGCGTCCAAATAATTGTACTGCTTTTTGTTTCTTTCTTATCGAATGAAATAAATCTAATACATGCATTAAACTGTATTGCAAATCGTACATAAACGTAATGGAATCGAATATGTTCACGTTATATCTCGTTAAAGGTTAACCGTATAAAAATCGCGAAGTACGTGCTGATTTTTTTGTTGTTAGAAAGTCTGCTTAGCAATCTCTCACACTAATAAAGTTTAGAGAAGAAAGAGAATGAAGTAATTTGTCATGAGTTTTTCTCTCTTTCTCTCATTTGCACAAAACTAATGAAAACGATATCAATATCAAATAAAAACCGACAAAGTTGAGAGAAACGAAAGAGAAGGGGAGAGAGAGAGAGGAATTGCAATGCATATAAATAATGCCAATTTCTCTGTTTCTCTTGCATATTTATATAATCTGATAAGAACATAAGTGGCAGGCAAGAGAAGGTCTTGAGATTCGTATAGAATAAAATGACGGATAGAGAGACGGAGAAATTCAATAGGTGAAACGGAGAGAGAAAGAATTGTTGATTGCAGCTGTTCGTCAATTTCAAATTACTTTCTCTTTCCCTATCGTTGATCTTCTCTTTCTCGGATTACTTTTTCTGCTATTACTACTTGCACAATTTAAGCACGTACACAAGTGTGCACATCAAAGTAATGTGACTGGTAAAAAGGAAATTCTAAAACATATAACAACTCCATATATATATAACGAATAAAAGAATGAGTTGATCCACAATGTAAGAGAATGATTTTCAAGGTATATAGTTTTATTAACAACGACGAGCCAGGTAGAGAAGAAAAACACCTCGTATGGCATTTTTATACGTTATCGTTGTAAGAAAAAGAAGAAAATGACGATGATGATGTAGATGTCAACGGGAAAAATCAACTTCAATAAGGCGCGCAAATAGAAGTTTAGTGTGTACACACAGCTGACTTCATTTCGATAGACTCAATTCAAATCACAGGATAGTGATGATAATAAAACTGCATCGGCACATATACGCATACTAAGCTCTCTCTCACAAAGATAATAAAATACTGACTGATGTAATATTAGCAATACACGCTCTTTGTTGTGAGAAGTACATAGGGCGGAGGGCGAGAGAAAAAGAGGTATTACGCGAGCTGCCATAAAAAGGATTGAAAGACTATTTTATTTTTCACTGTCTTTTTCTCTCTGTCTCCTTTTTTCTCTCTCTCTCTCTCTCTCTCCTATTCTCGTCCTCTCTCTTTTACCTACCTCTATAATTTTCGTTCTATAACTTGATCAAAATGAAGAAGACGGAGAAGAACGAGTATAGAAGTCTGAATTTAATTGCATTTTTTTTGTATAGTATAAATGACAAAATTTTCATTCAGAATCACGTGAAAATAGTTTGTTCAACTAATCCAGTCAATTGATGGTCAACGCTTACTCGTATGCACATGATTTAGAAACTGGTGAGTCGAAATCAAATCACATAACTCATTTCGAGAACGAATCTTGACGTTCGATTGTTCGTGCCAGGTAGTGTTTTTGCACGTGATTATTAAGAAACTGTAAATGCATTGGTCTGGTACGAATCATCTAAACGACTTCATCAGTGTCTATGCTTCGTTCTCTTGCAGCATAGCTCATTTTTTTTTATAAATGATCGATTTACATTTTTTTTTCTCGTTCTATTTAGATTGATCTGTATATCATTTGACAGTCTTCTGTAACGCGCTTATCAAGTATTGCAAATCATTTACATATTGTCTATTTGCTCATGCAACAAAAAAGTAAAGCTTTGGCGTTAAATACAATAAAAATTGGCAGTATATGTATTTGTAACTTGAATATACTTCAGACTTCATGAAATAATTACAAACAATCACATATTAGTGATGAAATTCACGATCGAATGAGTTCGACAGATGATTATTTTGAAGATAAAAAATGGCATGATGACGTCATCTATTCATAAGATTAGATTTGAACGATTTCTCTCTCTCTCTTTGTGATTGTCAATGATTGAAGAACATAATAAATATGTCGAAGTCTTTTATGAGAAGATCAGACGAGTCTTATTCGTTTTTTTTCTTATCACAAAACAAATACTGATAACATTTCATGGCAAAATTTATCAATAGTTTGAATAGAAATGATGTATGTATATATATATACATACTAATTTTTCTCCGTTTAACATTATGACTTGATCAAGCAACTGTTAAATCATCAGAAAAGCAAAGAATGATTGTAGGACAGTTTTCGTTGTCTGATCGCCAGCCATATCTATCATGAAATGATTCTTCATTTGGTATACCGTTTTCAGTTAAAGTTTTATTATAATCAAGTATTTGACCATTGTATCGCCAAATGTAAGAGAAGACATGTGAATTATATTTCAAAAATTTCCTCGCAATTTGTCCAATGGTGTCTTCTTCAGCAACTTCGAGTATATACGAATGATCAGACATGAAGTTATGTATCAAACGAATGTATCGAGGATATGTTGAGAGTTGACCAATAAAGTATTCTTTTGTCTGCCAAAAAGGAGTAGCAAATGTTTGCAATAATGCTACATTGTTAATGACTGAAACAGGTTCGTATGTATAAGGATCTATTCGTTTACGTGGTTCGCGTGTAATTTCATCAAACCATACACTTATGTCTTGACCAGAATAACTAATCAATTGTTGATACAGTTTTGTTCCTTGAACCTTCTCTACCAGTGATGTAACATCGTATATATGATCGAGTATGCAAATCCATGCATCTGTTTGATGATTATGTTGAGCTAGATCATTGAGTGTATAAAAAGGTACTAATGTTTCAGCTTGTTGTTGTAACATATTGCTCTCGTCAGGACGACAATGCTGTGGGATAGGAAATGTTGGTTCGTATGTTGATAACTGAGACGATGTTTGTTCGTTCTCAGATGTAGGTGTTATCTCGTAGAATCTAGTCTATGTGTGTATATTAACTTGCATATAAAACAATTGAAAAACTAATCACCCATACTTTTTGGATGTTTTTAAATGTGGTATGCGCTGGTGTTCAAAGAATAGAAATGATATCTTTCAAAAATTAGCTTACTTTTTTTCATAGGATATTTCTTTCCTGGTCGTTTGGTATTGTCAATTTCCGGCAATGAAAACTGAGCCTTTTCTCTATTACTGTCAGATATGTCACGGTGCGTCACTTGATTCACTGCTAGTAAAAGCTGTGCTTCATACAAATAATTATCAGAAACTAATGTACTTTCATTATCTGGAGAGTTATTTAACGACTGTGAATCCGTAATGTTAATGGAATGTAATTCTTGTAGAGGAGATTCCGAAGAATTCGCAGGTAATACTTCTTTTGACAAACGAGCAATAGACTGTGTACGTTGTTCATCGATGACATGATAGTTTACTTCTTGTTGACCGATTGGGCCAGTAGGAATAGTAAAAATAGCATCGACCCGATCCAATCCACCCTCGACATCGATCGGTAACATTTGTGTTTGCATTTTGAAAGGTTAAAGCGCCTAATATCTAATGAATTGGTGATTTCGACATGTCTTGTAATTTTGAAAAGAAAAAGAAATCGATTAAGACTTCAAATCTGTTCGTTTCATGATCGTTGCCGAATAATATATAATCGATGATATTTGTAAGCATTTTTATTTCGTTTAAAAACGTCTGATGTCTTTTTTCATTATTTTATGTTTGTTTGAAGGTAACTTAGTTTTTAAAAGGAGCAATAGAGGAACAACAAAAGTGAACTAAAGAAGATAGGATAACAATAAGAGAAAAGAAAATTTGAACACAATGCCATTAATAGCGAGAATATGACAGACTAAATGTGAAATGATCTCGAGAATTCCTTTTGTTTTATTTCGCGCACTTAATGACCGAGACTGCTGAGCAGTGAATGGGCAAACACAACATAAATTGATGAAAAATGAACATATAAATACAATGAAGTTTGTTTTTTAACGCGTTCTAAAAGGTTTATGATCATTTTTTAAACTATGTATTTAAAGATGCAAGAAAGTTTATTTAAAATCAAAGATTGTAGTTTAATTGTATAAATCATCATCATCGTTATTTCCACCGCGATTGCCACCTTGACCAGCATTGCCTCCAGCACCTTGCGATGGTTGTTGCTGTTGATCAGGAAAACGAAATTGTGAACCAAAACCACGTGATTGTTGTAATGTTTGAGCAAACATTTCATATTTACGTATATCATTGTCACTAACTGATCGTCGAGCAAATTTCATTGCTTCTTCGAAGTGATCACGACGAATTTCTGGCACTGGATCGGGTTCATCGGAATCCATTGCGGTTTGTCCATTTCGCTGACGTTCTTTATCACGGCTGATTTCTTTTTCGATTGATTCTCGAATGGCTAATTTACAAGCTCGTTGGCAAATTTCAGTTAAATCGGCACCGCTGAAACCTTTTGTCACATTAGCCAATAAATTCATATCGACATCTTTAGCAATAGGTGATTTGCGTAGAGCAGCTTTCAAAATAGCCATACGTGATTTGTCATCGGGTAATGGAATATAAATCAATTGATCGAGACGACCTAAACAAATCGAGTTACGTTTAAATTCGTTTCACATAAATGGATAAGGGTGTTTCGTTGTCGTACCTGGTCGGAGAATAGCTGAATCGATAATGTCGGGTCGATTGGTTGCGCCAATGATAAAGACATTCTTTTTTGCACCCATACCATCCATTTCAGTTAGAATTTGATTGATAACACGATCAGCTGCACCACCACCGTCACCAGCACTGCCACCACGAGCTTTGGCTAAAAACATGCGCAAAGACAAGTTTTACTTGTTATGAGTATTCATAATATTTGTTTTGTTTTTCTTACCGATTGAATCCAATTCATCGAAGAAGAGCACACATGGTGCGGCTTGGCGAGCTTTGTCAAATACATCACGAACATTAGCTTCGGATTCACCAAACCACATAGTTAACAATTCGGGACCTTTGACGGAAATGAAGTTTGCTTGACATTCATTAGCAATAGCTTTGGCTAATAGTGTTTTACCTAGAATGAAAATGAAAACGTAGAAAACTTCTGTGATGAACATATCGATCTCAACATACCACAACCCGGTGGTCCGTAGAAGAGAACACCACGTGAAGGTGTCATGCCAAATTTAAGAAATTTCTCTGGATGTTCAACTGGATATTGAACAAGTTCCTGTAATTCTCGTTTGACGTTTTCTAAACCACCAATGTCTTCCCAAGTTGTTGTTGGTACTTCGACAACAGTTTCACGTAGAGCTGATGGATTTGATTGATTGAGTGCAAATCGAAAGTTATCTTGAGTTACAGCCAACGAATCAAGAACTTCGGCATCGATCGTGTCTTCTTCTAAATCGATGACATCCATTTTTTCACGGATTTGCTGTAAAGCAGCTTCAGAGCATAATGATGCCAAATCAGCACCAACATAACCATGTGTTTCGTTGCCAATCTGAACGAGATCGACATCATCACCTAATTTCATGTTTTTCGTGTGAATACGAAGAATTTCAAGACGACCAACAGCATCTGGAATACCAATGTCGACTTCACGATCGAAACGACCGAAACGACGAAGTGCTGGATCGATCGAATTTGGTCGATTTGTCGCAGCCATGACAATAACATGCGAACGTTGTTTAAGACCATCCATTAAAGTTAACAATTGCGAAACAATACGACGTTCAACTTCACCATGGGTTTTTTCACGTTTTGGTGCAATAGCATCGAGTTCATCAATGAAGATGATGGCTGGCGAGTTCTAAAAGACGAATAAGCAATGTCTTTTTTATGGTTTGTTTGGGTGAAGTTTTACCTTTTCTGCTTCTTCGAATGCTTTACGTAAGTTGGATTCCGATTCACCAGCTAATTTCGACATAATTTCCGGTCCATTGATGAGAAAGAAGAATGCACCTGTTTCATTGGCCACGGCACGTGCAATCAAGGTTTTACCTAAAGTATAAGAAAAGCTATGTTTGTTTACAATTCATTTTTGTTTCATACCTGTGCCAGGAGGTCCATACAAGAGAATACCTCGTGGTGGTTTGACACCAATCGTTTTGAATAACTGTGGATGACGTAATGGTAATTCAACCATCTCCTTAATTTGTGCTAATTGTTTTCTAACACCGCCAATATCATCATAACCAATTTCATTCAATGATGCTTCTTCTTCTTCGCGTTTGATTGGATCACCTTCACAATGGATGACTGTATCTGGTGCAACAATACAATATGGACTTGGTTCAGTTTCAATAACTTTAAATTCAACAGCACGCATAGCTGCACGAACAATGAACACATCACCTTTGCGTACTGGACGATAAGCTTCAACAAAATATGGTTTCAAGTAGACCTCAAATAAGTTGCCTGTAATGCCTTGAACAGTATCATCGATAGGTAAGACATGAATACGTTTGCCGTATTTAACATCTTGGCAACCTTGAATAGAGACGACATCACCAGATCGTACACGTAAATTATTGCGGACCACTCTATTCATTCGAATACGATCATTTGGACAACCATCATCAGCGAGAACGATGCAGATTGTCTCGCGACGTTTTTTACCTTTGAGCATAACAGTATCACCACGAAATAATTGCAGTTCGTCCATCTTTTGTTGCGATAAAGCGACAACGCTATTATCATCATTGACGGCATCGTCGATGATCAAACGATTTGGACGTTCTTTTCGGTTTAAGATAGCTGTTGCAAATTTATCTTCTTTGTTGGGATCAACAGGTTTAGCCATTTATGAATATTGAATGTAACTTTAAAACGTAAAATGAAATCTAGAATAAATCTACAAATATACTTTCATATAGTGACAAGAACAAAGAAAACGGCAGAAGAAATCGTATAAACAAAGAAACAAATATTCTTTTTACAGAGTAACATTTTCATGACTATTTGCTGGCGTTAATGAAACTGTTGACGATTGAGGATGTTGTTTAGACAATGAAGGATTCATGGAACGTGCCGGCGATTGAGATGGATTCAATGAGCCGGTATTTGAATGATGAGAAGGCGATGCTTGACCGGGACCGAATTTTGATGAACGTTGCCCCGAGCCAGACGATGGTGAAAACTGACGATTCTAACAAATGAACAAATACATTTATTGAATTCAAAGAAACAACAACGATGATCTTGGGATCTATAAGTATCAGTGATAGAGAGCGACTAGTGCGCGAACGAGACTATTAGATACTAATCGTAACAGTATAAAGAGATTTATTTTGTACTTTATCGCTTGTATAAAATGACTATTTAATAGGAAAAAATCTGGTTTTAGTATGCTGCGCAGATAAGTAGTAGAAGCTGAATAGATAGTTTATTTTGCTTGTTGTTCAATTAAACGGTAGATGCTTGTCGTCGAACTTCTTGTTCATCAGAGCCGCTGACACTCGAGCGACGCTTTCGACTACCATCAGGTAATATGATTTCTTCGACACGTTTTGTAAGATAATGGTAATTATCTACAGGTGGTGGTATGTATGTATTTACAGAACTGCATTGGTCGTAAATTGTTGATCGATGATTATTGAAATGTTGATTCATTGCTTGCATTTGAATCATTTTCATATAATTGTTCCCAATACCGAATTTTGCCATAGTGTTAAGAACGTATTCATTGGCTGCCAGTTGTGAGCCATAGTGAGCAGCGTAAACATGCGGATCTACGCGTACTATACCAAGATCATGAACTTTCTTTACAACGTCAACGTGAGGAGCATCGTAGGTAACGATAGTATTCTTCTGTGGCGGCCTAGGAATAAGAGGTGGAGCTGGCTGTACAATCACACGTTGCTTAGGAGGCGTTCGATAGGGGAGCCACTTTTCAATGATAATAGGTTGAGGTTTTTGTGGAAGTGGCGCTTGTCGTTCAATAATTACTTTGCGCGGATGTGGTGGAGGAGCTGCTATGTACTTATTGACGACACGACTTTGTATAACAGGAGGTGGTAGAGGTGGTCGCTCACGTATTATAAGAGGTGGTGGAGTCATAGGAACTGGAGGTCTTTGCTGGATGACTAGTGGTGGAGCTTCCGGGAGTTGCGCAGCTCGAATTTCGCGAACAATGAGTGGGCCCGGTGGCGGTGGAGTGAGTGGTTGTAAGTAGCGAACAGATATGTCTTGTTTATAGGTGATTCGATTGTTATTGTGACGACGGATATGTTCGGGGCAGTGATCTATGTTCAGAGGATATTGACTCGCATCAAGCGATACATTCTGTTGAACTAATTGATCAAGCGCGTTCGTCGATAGAGAACGTTGCGTAGTTTGTAAATTGCTAAATGTATTACAGTTACCATCGATTGCCGCCGGTGAATAGAACTCTTCGACACATTGCTGTTGTTTATGTTGGCTGGAGAGATCCGTATCCGAATAACTTAAAGCACCCAATGAGTGAAAAACATCATCGTTGCTTAATTGATCACAGATTACCGGTGATGAATGCCGTTCAACAGTAGTTGTTGAATAAGTTGCACTTTCGATTTTACTCTCGGACATCTCTAATTAGTTTGGGAGCCTATCTCTTACTCTGATTCTTTTTATACTATTGCAGATATTTATGATGAATAATAATCGAACAAAAGATGTTTTATTCATTCATAGATTTGTATCACTCAGGTAGGGTCTAATAATATCATGTTGATTCACTTACTTGCGTGGGTTGAGCCGTGGATTTTGTTTGTTGACGTAGTTGGGTGACTTGGGCATACAAACGTTGTCCGTAATAACTACCGAATTCTTGTTTGAAATTTTCAGGATCATCAGGAGGTTGACGAGATGCCCGGTAAGCAGTTGGTACATATCTCTATAGAAGCACACAACGAAATAAATACCCTCCGTGCGACAAAGTTGGTTTAGCTTACACTTATAACACCATTGATTTTGTCAACAGTAATTTTGTCAATTGGCGACAACGAAGGGTTTTCTAATGTTCTTACTATTCTATCGCCCAGTGTACGTATTATAGGAAACAATAATTCTTCAATCGTCTAGGAAAAAAAGCCAAATCAAACATAATCTCCGAGATTCTCTACAGTAATTACTTCTTGGCCCATTTCACATAGACCGACGAGTGCTCCATAGTGAGTAACAAGTGGTAAACGTTCACTATTAAAAGTTCGTAGAAAAATTCGCACAATACGTTTTCGTAAGCCGTGAATATTCGCCGAAAACATCCTACATCAGCAAAATCACAATGAAAATCTGTCTATGCAATCGTATTGATATGAATACTGACTTGACCATTTGTGCACAACGTGATGCGGCATAGTCACGCAAGGCCCAATGATTATCTGCATCTGGTCGAGCACACAATTGTTTTGCCAAAATACATGACATAATTGCTGGGAATAGTTGATGAAGCTAAATAGCATAGAATAAATATTACTATTGAGAAACACAAGCAAACTTTTCTATTTACATATTTTTCACAGTATAAAGATTTGTTGTCTAGCAATGCACTGGTCATTCTCATTAAATAGATTAAGATTGCTAGATTGTATTGCATTAAATTCACTTTAACGCCTTCAGAGATAAATAAGACAATGCGAGGTAGGATCTGATGAAGACCAGTCTCAGAAGATAAACTAGCAATGGCTTCCTAAAATATTAGATATCATTATCAATAAATCTTCTTTTTAATTGCAGTCAACATACTTGACGTTTTTGTTCCTCGGAACCAACACATGCCTCAGTAATTTCTTTATAATAAATTTGTTGCTCCTAGAGATAAATGCAAAAAATACAAGGAAACTATGCCATTCGATACTTACCAATGAAAGTTCATGTGGATTTGAAGTTTTAATTTTCGATGCATCAAGATTATATCGTTTTTTAGTTAGAGATTTCATCTAAAATATAAATCCTCGGAAATAGAATACAAGCTACGACCACTTCTCGACGTCTTACAGGGTCTAGAGAATCTGTTGTTTGATCAACTTTGGAAATAATCTCTGGATTCTCGTTGATAGTCGGTTGTTTGCCTTCGATCGCAAGCCAATGCGCTAAAAGAAACAAAGTACATCAAATACAAAGTCAATTCTGTGCTCGACTTCGTGGGAAAACACGAATTTACTTCGTATGGAAACATCCAAAGGTAACTTTGGCATCGGCGCTGCTATGACTTGGTCGAGGTGTATTTCGTGATCATCGATACATTGAACTTCTCGATGGCTCATCCCAGCAGTAGTTGTTGTTTTAAATGGTAAATTCCCATTGGATAAACGATATCCTACACTTGGCTATATTAATGGATAAAAGAGGAAATATTAAATTTGGATTTTTCCTTGTTCAATAATTTACTTCTAAATATCGCATTTTCATCGCTGATTCGAAGTCTTCAGTGATCATTTTAGTCCGTCGACACTTTCTAGTGAATTTCAGTGCATCCTAATAAGAAAAACTGACATTTCGAAAATCTTCTCCCATTCGAATTCTACTTGTAATAAAAATCGCACAACACCAGTTGCTTCTAAGGTTAGATATTTCACTGATTCATCTGCTAGATGTTGACATTGATTTGAATCAGCGATGAACTGTATAGATTGGTTGGGAAAGTGAAGTATGGAAGTTTTGGCTTGGTCGGTTGTCGTCATCTAAAATATCGTACAGTTTATCCTTCTGAAATTTCCATTAGCATCTTGTTTTCTCACGAAGGATCAGCAGATCTTATTCTAATAACTATTACCTAGTGTAATCATGGTGGAAAATATTGTATGACGACGTGAAGCATACATTGCACAACAATGATATTAGATAAAAAAGAAATCTATAGACGAAAACGAACTTGGTATGAATCATTCAGAGCCTTAGATTCAACCTATCAGATGCTTACAGAGCCTTAAATAGAAAAAAAAACAAAACGAAAACAAGTATCTTCTACTCTCGTCACGATGCGTCGAGAACATTCCTCTTCATATTTGCTGACCTCTGTGTTCTTTATAGTCGAACTGACTTAGCCTAGACAGGTTGGATTCAATCATTGAATAATGATCGGTTTAGAAAAATATATGAAATGAGGACTTTTATAGAAATGTAAGTATACGTGTGCATGTAGAGAACAATGATTATTTGTATACTTCGTTGTCGACGGTATCAAAACGTAACTTATATTCTGGTTGATTTCATGACATTGAAGGAGAAATTGTCAATGAAGGATCGTTTTATTTTTCATTCTGGGAAATAAAAATATTTTTGTTGGGCAATATAGATGACACTAGTTTACGTTCAAAATGTTTACATCGAAGACAACTAGTCTCAGTGCAAATATAGAAAGATATGGCTTGAAAAATGGATTTTCCTCAATTGAACGAAACATGTATTGTTATTTGATTCTAAGGATTTATGGAATGTTTTCACATTGTCGACTAAAATGAAAAAACTTATTTCTTTACATACTTTTCTATACTACTTGATAAAACTATCATCTCTGATAGAAATACCAAAGCACTCCTCGAATGTAATAGATAGTTAGAACTTTATTTGAATAATCTTGACAATGACGGTGATCTTTTGTCTACCACTCATCCCGATTCAATGGCCTTAATGCATATTTTATGCAGCGATTTTGCGAGATGTCGCTCGTTTTCGAATACTTATTCTATAGACGGAAAATATTCGAATGATTTACCTGATACTTTACTCGACTACAATATTTTTCTAGAAGAAACTTTTTCTCACTATGTCACCATTTGGCTGATTAATTTGATTCGTTCGTCAACGAGATAAAGGCACGATGAGTCATCAAGTATGGCATGGCACTTCTGTTTGTTGAACGGAAAATATAGAGGATATTGACTTAGAAATTTCATTTGAAATTACTGATTTCGCTGCTTTTAGAAAATATTATCGGAAAACTAGCAATGGCTGAATCAACTGATGATTTCTATCTACGATATTATGTTGGCCACAAAGGAAAATTCGGCCATGAATTTCTTGAATTTGAATTTCGACCTGATGGAAAATTACGTTATGCAAATAATTCAAATTATAAAAAAGATACATTGATTCGTAAAGAAGTTTATGTCAATCGAGCTGTTATTGAAGAGTTGAAAAGAGTCGTGAACGAATCTGATATTATGAAAGAAGATGATGCTGTTTGGTAAGTATCAATAGAATAGTTAATTATGAAATTATATTTTTACCCGCTAATACACGATTTCGTATTCTAAACTGATAGTAGAATGTATAGGAATCTAATAGATTAATCGTCGAACAATCTCACAATATTGATTCTCATTGTTTTGAATTCATTGAAATTTTTTAACGTATCAACCGGTTTTACGTTCGGGTGACTACCGATTTGAATGAATACTAACATCAGTCGACTGTATAGCGAATGAACGGCGACTAATCTATTTCTTCCGATTGACGTATTGAAAATATCAAAATAAGCAGAAGTTTGACTTCCGACCTGCAGCAAAGCTAAGTGTGCATTTTCTTTTCTAGGCCACCGCAAGATCGTACCGGTCGGCAAGAACTTGAAATCGTTCTCGGTGATGAGCATATTTCATTTACAACATCAAAAATTGGTTCGTTAATCGATATTAACAACAGCCGTGATCCTGATGGTCTACGCTGTTTTTACTATTTGGTACAAGATCTCAAATGTTTTGTGTTTTCGCTCATTAGTTTACATTTCAAAATTCAACCAATTTAACAACCATATCCATCGGATAAAAAACATGACTGAACAAGAATTCTTCTTTTTTTTTGTTTTGTTTTGTTGTTGTCTATCTCGTCTACTGTCACACATTTTGGGATTTGTGCTTCATTTTTCGTTCTCTACGTGTTCAACTTTCATTGTTGCGTATGTGTGTACATCAATGAACAAGATTTTTGTTGTAGGAGAATTCTCCCTCTACTCATTCAAATAAATTTGATTGGTTCACCAACAAAGAATTGATTTATACTCTGACACACTGAAAAATCACAGTATGCTTTCCAAAGATCAGGAAATTTTTCATCGCTGTTATGATACATCGAATACAACTGAGATCTCTTATTAAATCTGCGTGATATATTGATATTTTCATCTGATAAGAAAAGCTTCAGTAGCTTTGTCACAATCATTCATCAACTATTCGCCATGTATGGTGATGTTAGAAATCGGTCATCAATCAAACCGACTTGTACTTGACAAAAACATGTACTTTCTTCTTTTCCAGATGTCAATCCGCTCGACGTCCTAATAAAAAAACACCGCGATTTGTTTGCTTCGTGACATTCTAAAACTGTTACTCATGAACTTTCTATTCTGCTTTAAACTACGAGAGCCGTCGAGAAAAGGGAAAAATATGAAAATACATCGTTTTTTAATCTAACGCTCTTTATATAGTTCTACCAACAGCGATGAATAAAAAGCAATCAATAAGGAAAAGAAAAGTGAATGCTTTTATGATTGTTTACTAGCTTTTAAATAATAGTTAAAAACAGTGTCGTTACCAGCATGCACTACGATCAGTTGATTAGAGAAGCATCCACCTACGAGTTTTGCTATGAGTTATTTGTAATTCATCATGATAGATGAAAATCAGAGAAAAGATATGACTCTGAAGAATCGATTTTTGTGACAAACGTAGGTGTTTTCTTCTAATGGAATATTCTGAGAAACAAATCAATACATGTGAAAACAAACACCATCGGACGTTGAACTCATTAACTAATCTGATGTGTATGCTTTCAACCGATTCGTTTCATTGTTTTCATCCGTAGAAAACAATTGCCATCAAATTACGAACGTATTCTCACTTACAGAAGTGAATGATTGATATATAATTAGTAGGAGCTTTCGGAGGTACAGAAAAAAGTTTCATAGAACAGAACGATTGAAAGAAGACAGAGAGAATTCAGACTTTTGAAGTATTTATTTTTCTTTTATGGTCTCTATTTTATCATATCTATTGATTTTCCTGTGTAAAATTGAATTCGTACTTTTTTATATTAAGTATATGTCCTGTCAAACTAATTGAAAAGAAAACGTATCTGACATTGGACTCAGAGAATTATTTATGCTTTCTGGGTACATTTGACAAAATCTCATCTTTCGACGAACGAATTTCCATTAGTTTTCTAAAAGATTGATTGACGAGAAAGATATGTTAGATCGAAGAAGAAATGTAAAACCGGTCGTAGAAATTGTCTATATATTGATCTCAGAAGTTTGTGTATGTTTCCGAGTCGATCTATGACAAAAGTCTTTGTAGACATAACAAATACAATGATGCGAGTTAGTTTTCTTTGTTTGCTCATACGATGAGAGAAAAAAAATGAGAAAAGGAAAAAGACCGACAAGAGAAAATTATATTTTCTTTACCCTATCGATGCCCATTGGAATTAGTAATCTTTCCTCTCTCTCTCTCTCTTTCTCTTCTTTTTTCATCCATGTTTGTGATTTCTTGATAGAAGCTTTACTAGAGATCTTCTTTAGTTTCGTTCGACAAGAAACTAACCGTGCAACATTCTTGCCTTCTAATCTCACTCAGAGTAAGTTTCAAGTGTTTAAACAACAAGTTCTTGCCTTCGAGTGGATATTCAATCAACGAAGAATACAAAAAGAAAGAGGTACAGTAGTCAATTTGATGCATTTATCAAGGATTACGCTTGTCGGGTAAACTATTCCAGATTTGCTCGATGATACCAAAAAGTGTACACGAATCACTTGTCTGATCGAAGTTATTCACATTGAAGAAACTCGGAGTGATCGCAGAAACCGTTTTTTCTTTCGTCGGGTAAAGGTAAAAATAACAAATAGTTTAGTGACAACACACGAAAAAGCGAAAAGAAATTTAAAAAAAAGAAAGGAATCCACTAAATGACAAGGTTATTTCATCTAGTCGTGTATTGACATTTTCGTTCAGATGTTCGAACAATCAGCGCGAATTTATCAACAAGAGAAAACTTTCAAATTCATATAACCAATTTTCATCTCAAACAAGTATCATTCCTTCATCAAAGACCGTAATCGATGTTTTGCCTAGAAATATTTCAAGGTTATATATTCAGTCAATCTAATCGATTTCGCTCTTTCATTTTCATTCAAACCGACGTAGAGAAGAAATTTCCATACTACTTGAATACACTTCGTCATCAAGCATCATATTGAGTCTATGTAGATTAGTGCGTCTATTAATGATAAGATGGCTCTTGTGAATAGAAGGGACTCGAACTATTTGCAAATATTCTTTCTTGTTGACATTGAATAGAAAAGTTAAAGTAAGTGTAGAGAAATAAGAGGTACTGATTGATTAATACTAGTCTAGGTTTTCAAGAATCTCTTCTGTAACAAAGACATGACAGAGGCACTGTAGTCAAGAGACTCGTAAAAGCTATTATAAAATATTTTATTAGCTTTTAAATGTAATTCCAAATATCTATTATTAGTATATGTGATTTTGACTATTTTTATTTCTTTTCATCGTTTTGAGCTGACATGCAGCAATTTGACTTTCCAATAACACAATATTAAAAAGAAATAGATGTGTAATCACACGCGTGTTTTACTAACATAGGTAGTAATTTCTAAAATAGACAAAGGAATCACGCGATACTTCATGAGGGAATACGTAAAAATAACTGATATTTTACAGTTTCTTTCTTAAAGTCAAATACAATTAAATACATATTTTTACATTTGATGTTCTTCGAGTTACTCAAGCCTGTCGTGATGTCAACCGGCACAGAAAGTACTTAGCTGTCAGTACATAAAACACGTATATGAGGTTATCTTAAATATTTCACTGCAAGAACAAACAATAGTGATATCGGAGAGAAAAATTTTTTCTTCAAATATCTTTGACATGAGTCAAAGAGTGTCGCGCGTCACATATGTTGTTGTTCTATTAGAAAGATAATCGCTTAGTTTCGAAGTTGTTTGAGAAATGCTATATTCTGTGGATATATGCGACGTTTGTTACTACTTAATCAAACGTATTATTGAGGTAAGCTTTTCAAGAGGAAAAGAGAAAAGCTGATAGTTGACAGATTAATTAAATGTATTATTTGTACATTAAAGAGAAAGAAAAACGACGAGCACTTGATAATCGTTTTTCTTTTGAAGGCTATAGAAACAAAAGTAAAATCATTCATTTAACTGTAGACAGTTCATACTGCGTTTAACTAAATGATCATGAAAATCTATCATTCACCTTTGTGTTCAGATATTTTATGAACGTATCTGCTGAAGCTTTGGCACTTCCACTAAACCATCAAGATCACCATCGTATACCGATCAATTCTGACTCATCCATGTTTATGAGCGCGTCTCCAGTAGCTGTGAGTAACAAGATAAAAGCCATTCAAACACGCCGTCCTCGTGTTACTCTGCCATCCTACTATGACTTCACTGATATTCGACCAATACATATCGGTAATACGAATGGAATGACGAATTCTTTAACAACATTTACAAATGTTTCGCCAGATAAACTTCATGAACATAGTAAAGACTTACGTCTAGGTCGGATTTTTTCTCGACGTAATCAACGTCCATGTTGTCTGTCGAATACGCCAGCACCCAACCAACAATCGCTAATTTGGTCGACTTACAATTCTCCAAGTAGTTTTCCTAAACAATCTCAAACTCATTCTCCAAGTCCTTTAAACAGAGTCACTAATAGATCGACAATTACTAATATCCCGGATATTAATCGACGTTCGAGTCGAGCGCAAACAACTTCTCGTCACCCATCAGCTGATCAAGAAAATTCTGCTATACCAGTTGAATCTAGACATAAATCGTTGTCGAAAACCAAATCTGCGACACCTAAAATATATCAGCGTACGACGCCAAAAAGTAAATCTCCGTTTACAACGTCAAATACGCAACAAACGCAACGATTAAATAGTAATGGTTCGAAACCGTTGAACAATGACAATCTGAATCAGAATAACAATAATACGAATATTATTCCTCTTTGCGAAAGTGAAGAAGACGATGAAGATATTCCAGATATCGACGCAGAATTCGAAGAATATCTTCGCAAAGCTATCGTTAAATGCGCCGATTGGCTAATGAAATATGTCATTGATAAAAAGTATGATGAAAACGTTGAATAAGTCTTTATGTATCATATGACTTTTTGTGTCTACTTGCACTAGAATTTGTGCATGAGCAATATGTGAAAATAAAATATTTATATGTATGTATCTATCACTTTATTAGCAAGTAGAAAATCTTGGTTTTTGAAAACTTATCGTTGACGAACTCTACGTCTTTTTAAAAAAAGCCGAAAATTAAGTAGGACAAAATGAGAGTAAACTTGGTCACTTTTTGAGTGCTGGCCCACAATTCGTTATCATGCTTTCTTTGAATTTTTATCTGATAGAGAAACATCATTGACGTAAATACAATGTAACCAAATACAATAAATGTCTGTGATCGACTTTTTTGTATTTCTTTATGTTGAATTTAATAATAATTGAAGTGATATTGATAGTATGTCGTTCTTGCGTAATAGTGATGATAGATGTTTGATTTGCTCTGTTCTCAAAGATTGTCTTTGAAGTGATTTATCATTTTGACAGCTTTATTATGACTAGAAATTCACTTCTTAGAATGACTGACGTACAACAAGTAAGAAGATTTCTTCGAAGATGCAAACAATTAAAGCAGAAGATTTAGTTCTGTTTCATGACAATGGAAAAGTATTAATGGCATAACTTTTATGAAATGCCATCGTATATTTGTATTTATTCATTTACAAAATCATAACAAAAACGAAACTCGTTTTTAATAACCATATTTATCATTTAATGCTGTCCTTCCATCTCCTGTTTGTTCATTTTCAGGTGGCATCCATTCGGCAAACTTCTCCTCAGAGTAATGTTCGCTATCATCGTGTTGATCTTTGGAGTTCGTAGACGAACGTCCAGATTTTCGACGAACTGTTGTTACTGGTTTGACTGTAGCTGGATTAACATTTGGAGTTTTCGGCGATACAGATGTAGCAGGTATAGATACTGATGATGTTGAGAGTGGTGGAGGTGGTGGTAGTGGAGGTGGCATTTGCTCTGTCTGACTCGATGGTTTTATTTCATCGACTGGTTTCGGAGGAAGAGGTAGCGGTGGTGGTGTCGATCGAACGGCAGTTCGCTTAGTGGTTAACATCTGTTTAGCTTCTTCTCGTATTTTAGCTCTCCATGTTTGAATATTAAAATCTTTGGGTTTGCATACTTTCAATAATTTTGCGTATTGTCTTTCTTCATTTTCAATTTCTAGTAAACGTTTTCTCCACTGAAATCTTACTTTCATATTTAACTTTTCTCCTTGTTTCAATTGACGAATGTATAAGTCAAGTTCATCTACTTCTTTTTCCATTTTCGCAGCAGATTTCGCGGCATCTTCTTCCATTTGTTTTGCTGTCTCTAATTTCTGTTCAAGATCGACTTGCTCCTTGTACAGATTGGTTAATTTTAGACACAGTGAATCGAATGTTTCAACTTGTTTTTCATTGCTCAAGTGTCCAGACCATTCCATACGTTTAAGACGTTTCTTTTCTAAATCACCGGTTCGATCATAAAATGTGTCTTCGTCTTCTTCATAAAAATCGTTTTCTTCCAATAGTTGTCGTTTGACTTGTTGTGCACGCGGTGTATACATTGACGATGCTGATGTACCTTCACGTAAAACACCTTGCTCATCGAGAATACGGCAAGCTTCCAGTATACATTCTTGAATGATTTCTTTCCGTTTACAATGTTTTTTCTCACATTCGGCTTGTACGGCGCGTCCGCATTCATCCACGATCGGTAATTTAATTGTACATTTATATGAACCGAATTGATGATCTTCAACATCATAGATCAGTTCAGCTCCTTCACGTTCAAAAAATGTTGTTAATGCACGTTTGGGATCTTTCAGATAGAATGGTTCTTTCTTCGTTTCTTCACCATCATCATCCTCAGCTGGTAAATCAACCTAGACAGTGAAATAAAAAAGCGATAAATTACTATTTGAAATTCAATGAAATTAATTACTCGAGACATGATTTCTTTAAGAACTTCCTTGTCATTCTTAGCTTGTTGATATGCAATTCGATTTTTCAGATCATCATTTGCCGCTTTTTTCTGGTTTTCTTCGTCATTTCTCTTAGTTTGAGATTCTTCAATAGTTTTACTAGATACTACAGCATTATCAGAAGCTGATTCATCCATTTCGGGTCCCATACCCCAATCCATTTCAACGTTAATATCACTAGCTTCATTGATAGCATTTTCACGTTTGGCTCGAACAGATGCCAACATTTTTGCTCGTTTAGCATGAAATTGTTTCATTTGCTCATGTGTCACATCATCGCCGGTCGATGCATTGATCACATCAGCTTCTTCTGAAGAATCACCTTGAACAATATAAAGTCTTGTTGATTGTCCGAATTTAATGAGATAACCGATCTTAATTCGTACATAGACTTTTGATTCCAAACGCTTTTTATTAACAAATGTCCCATGAGTACTGCCACAATCATACAAATAAAGACCAGGCGATTGACCGTGTTCGAATTCAGATTTGTATTGAATAATAGCATGATAACGTGATACAGTCGGATGTTCAAGTACAACATCACTATCTGGTGCACGACCAAAAACTGTATATGGACGATTAGAAAGAGGAACATAATCAATGATGGCCCCGTTACGTAATACTTCCAGAGTGAGTTCTACAGGTGGCAGAGCAGATGATTCAGGCACAGTATATTGTAGATTTTTATGACGAATTGGTGCTGTAAAATTAGCGGATGGTAGTTCTGGTTTGAGAAACGGTGCATGAGACTGTTCCTTATTTTCGACACTTGGTTCAGGTATAGTAAGATTATCATCTGATTTGACCTCTTCTTTTGGAACCGAAGGAATTTTGAAAACGTCAGTCATTTCAAATTCAATGCAAGTACTTCATAAATGACTACTCTATTATGGAAAAAAAATGAAATATTCTTGTTGTTCACTTCATTGTGTCGATCTTTCGCAAAATTCTCTTCTTCTTACATTGGTTGCCAATAATCCAACCACCAAATACGTTGATATAATTGGATCAGTTCCCAATACAAATTCATAGTAAGTATATAATTTTATTATAAACATTACTCCATTTACAGTAGTAGGACAGTGCAACATATTTTTCAGATAGTTGGCGCTAGTTACCATGCATACGCAACATATCTGTAATCACAGGCGATTCATAACGAAAATATGTTTAGATAGTCGTACATTATGGAATGACTCTCCAACATTCATCAATGTCGATAACAAGAACGACATGCTCTAAGATATTGCACATTAAATTTCACATGTTTAGCATTTTTCAATGTTACTCGAATTCGTGATAATATTTAATTTGGTACACAGCTATAGAATAAGAAAAAAATCTTCATTTTTCATACTACAAAACATTGATGTGGTTGTGCTGGTTCTTTTTCTCGATATATAGTATCTCAAGTATACCATATTGGCGGCAGTTAACTAGTTAATATACAACTTTATTCAGAAAATAACAAAATACTTCGTTTAGTAGTCGTTGTCCAGGATAATGATTAATTTTACATGCATAATAAATTGTCGGCAAATGTACTACATACATATTTATATGAGCGAATCGTTAGAAATTTTATGAATGGAGGCCAGACTTCACATATCCATTGGTCATAATAAATTGACCAACTGTGCGGCATGAGCGTGTATAGCAGAGTAGAGCAGAGCAGCTCGCTTTTATTCATTTCTTGTTCTTCTTCCTTTTTCTTTCTCTTCCTCTTCTTTCAATATGGAACTTCTACTTCTCAGCCCAAAGCCATCCTGCAAATAGTCTGCCATGTCTCTCTTTTTCTTTCCTTTCTGCGCTCTTCGACAAAAAAAAACGCAAATACATCCATTATAGTTGGAGTTGGACTCCTTTTCACTTTTTTCACTGCACAGCGTGGCACATTATTTCCTTGTCATACGTCGTCGTGTATACAAGTTTTAAGTTGTTCTGAACAGCTCGATTTTCAATCAGATTTTACACATTGCCATTTACAGACAGGTAAATTGCGCATGGTTTGTTTTGATCGACATATTTTTGTGTGCATGTCACATTTAAGTCTAGTAAAAGGAAGTATATGAATTGTGTAAAGAAATACATCAATCGATGTTAGATTTATATATATTGAGGGTGTATCAATAATAGTGATGATTGTCAATAATATGTCAATAATAAGAGCCTGACGGTGATGAGATTGAATAGATAATATTTATTACTGATTTCATTCGTGCATCGACATATAGTACGATGACGTACAACAATAGTGATGAGTCATATGTCAATTTACGAGTTCGTTGATCGATAATGATATGCATTACTTTTGAAAGCACGCCTATTAGTTGAAAAAAGTTGAATATGTTTCGTGTGGGCTACGCAATCGTATTTCGGTTACTGTACGTTTTGCATTATTTTATGTTGCTCAAGTAACACATCTCACAAAAATAACAATGACATGCGTGCATTTTTTTGCTTGTTCTACTCTACTTTCCTATCCTATTGTTTTAGTTTATATTAAAAACTAAAAAGAAATACAGTAATAACGAAAATTCATAACAGAATGGATCAATTTGGAACTGACAACAATCCTTCACCTTCTCTACAGACAACATTAGCCGTTGGTGGTGCGCTTGCGCTTGTTGCTGGTGCCCTGATACATCATAATAGAGATAAAATATCTTCATTACTCGTGGAAAACATCGCTGGCGAAGAGCTCAACGTTGGCACTGATTGGAATAAACTTACAATACCGGCGAAGGTTTGTGCTTCGCCCACTTTTCAAATATTTTCAATAGATAAAGAAAAAAAACAAATTGTTGACATACTATTAAAGATAATGACTTATCCATCACTGTAGATTAAATCTTCTTAGGATAGCAATCTATCAGAGTTAATACATATTGCCTAGTTTGATATTCAAGAATAAGATTTCATCTTTTCGGCTAACAAATTTTTAATTTCATGATTTTGTTCGTGATGAAAGTAGGCCTCATTTGTTAAAACTAATAAAGTACTCAAGGATCTGCTTCACACTAAGAAAAAAAAAAGCGAATGGACTAGTTTTCCCCTCGATGTTGAATATACACATGCGTGCATACTTACGTATAATACCAATAATAATTATCTAATATGTTTTCTTAAGACACAAGGGCACTCTGATGCTCGTGTGGCTGCTACACTTAGCACACGTCCTTTATTAATAAACGGCATATCGACGATTAATGATCGTACATTTATGACATTTTATGAAGGTTTCCATATTGGGAAGGAAACTGCAAAATATCGTGGTTAGTTTTAGTACTTTGTATCTATACAAATCATTCCTTTTTGTTTTCTTTTACCCTCAGGTGATGAAAGATGTTTGGGTTACCGAGTTGATCAGAACTCTGATTTCCAATGGATAACATACGATCAGGTAATACACTCAGAGTTTTTTACACGTCAATTCGTACTTTTGTTCACAGGCCGATCAAGTTGCAACAGAAATCGGCAGTGGACTCATTAAATTAGGTGAAGCTCATGGACAAAATACTTTCATTGGCATTTATGCTATAAATAGTGTTGAAGTAAGTGAATGAAACCCATGAATGTTTTCCTATCAGGTGATGTATTTGAATAATTAGTGGATGACAACAGCATTAGCATGTCATTCTCATAGCATGATCTATGTACCACTCTATGATACACTTGGAGAACCTGCAATTGTCCATATAATTAATCAAAGTATAATTGAAATGATCGTTTCTTCGAATTAAATCGACTTTCTATTTTAGCTTCATTGAAAACGATCTTTGTTGACAAAGTCGAAAATATTCTTCTTCTACTTAAAATTGTTAAACAAGTGTCAACGCTAAAACGAATAGTATTGACTAAAAAAATTCCCGATGACAAAAATTCAGAAATCCGGGCTAAAGCCAAAGAAGTTGGCATCGATATCATGACATACGATCAATTACGAGTTAGTTTTCAAATATATCATATTTGCATATATAATCAACTATGTGTTTGCTTTTCTCAAGGAAATTGGTCGATCAAATCCTATTCCACATCATGTAAGTCATTTTCAAATAAAGAACGATCACAACTCTAATTAACATCTGTTCCAGCCACCTAAGCCTGAAGATCTGTTCGAAATTTGTTATACAAGTGGTACAACAGGTTTACCAAAAGGTGCTATGCTCACACATAAAAATGTTGTTTGTTTAATTCAATCAGCGTCAGAATTTTTTGTAAGCTATAGATTTTCTCATGAACCAATCGACTAAAGGAATATGCCTTGTTTTTGTATGTAGCGTCCGATCTTTACAGAACTGGAAACATTGATTTCGTATTTACCATTAGCTCATACATATGAACAAACAATTGAAGTAAACAGTTTCCAATTATATTTTATGCAGTCCAGTATGATTTATGTCTATTTAGCTGTATTGTTTATGTCAAGGTTTTAAAATTGGCTATTATCTTGGTGATGTACGTCAATTATCCGACGATCTTGCTCGTTTAAAACCAACGTTAATGCCATGTGTACCTCGACTCCTTAATCGAATGGTAAGAATAATACTTTTTCGAATTGATTATATGATTTGAATATGTTAAGTATGATAATATACAAACAACAATTCGGCAATTGAGTCCATTGAAACGGCATTTATTTAACATGGCTTTGTCTGCGAAGGCACGTGAGGTTGAACAACATCAGGTGACACGCCATATGATTTGGGATAAATTCGTTTTGAAACGTATTCAACAACGACTTGGCGGCCGAATGAAACTAATTGTCAGTGGTGCTGCACCTCTATCGCCAACCATTCTTGAATTTCTCAAACGTGTTTGTGGTGCCTGTGTAGTTGAAGGTTATGGACAAACAGAATGTTGTGGAATATCAACATGTCAAATGCTTGGCGATCCAAGTGTCGGAAATATCGGTGTTCCATTAAATTGCAATATGATTAAATTAGTCGATGTACCTGATATGCAATATTTCTCAAAAGATAACGTTGGTGAATTATGCATCAAAGGTGCCAATGTCTTTAAAGGATATTATAAAGATGATGAAAAAACAAAAGAAGCATTGGATAAGGACGGTTGGTTGCATACGGGTGATGTTGCCAGATGGGCACCAGTATGAAAAGAATCTTATTTGATGGCTAAGGTGCTGAATTCTTTTCTTTCTAGGCGGGTCAAATTCAAATCATTGATCGAAAAAAACATATGTTCAAATTGGCTCAAGTTTGTTTTACTGCGACCGGATGATATATGACTTCATGTATTTTCTTTCTAGGGTGAATATGTTGCACCGGAACGTATTGAAAATATCTATGTTCAAAGTCAATACGTGGCTCAAGTATTTGTCTATGGAAATGGTTATAAGGTGCAGTGAAGATGAATTTCTCTCGACAATATTTAATTATCTTCTTGTATAGAGTTTTACTGTGGCGATTCTTGTTCCTGATGCAGATGTTCTTGAGAAGTATGCTCGGGAAAATAATATCTCGGGCGATACAGCTGAACTATGTAAGAAAAAAGTAAGTTGTTTGACAATTGTTTGATTCCGTGAACAAATCTTCTTTGTCTGTGCAGGAAATAAAAGAACTGATATTTAAGGATATAAAACGATTAGAAAAAGCCAATTCATTAAAAGGTTTCGAAATGGTAAGTTCAATTGATAAATCTCGAAATTCAATCTAACGAATATTCAATTTCTTGTTTAGGCGAAAGATATCTATTTACATAGTGAACCGTTTTCAGTTGAAAATAATCTTTTAACACCAACCATGAAAACGAAACGACCTGAACTAGGTAAATACTTCGAAAAGGAAATCGAAGAAATGTATAAAAATATCGATTAACACAAACGATGCCAAACTCTCATACTTCGCTTTTTCACATTCTCTGAGTCAGATTTCCCGTTTAATTCGGAGAATATTAATCTCTATTGTTCGCTCTCAATAAGAATTCGTATGTTTTGTGTTTTATTTCGTGTTTTGTGTGATGTCACTATTTGTTTTATCTATTTCCATGTCTTGTTCCTTTCGTTCCGGTTGATTCCCATATAGACACTGAATCTCGGTATTCATTTTCACTCGCATATCTCTTCGAGATTAATCATAAATAAGGAAGTATGAAGGTATATAGCTTGTGTTCTTATTGTCTCTTTGTTTTTATCGTTTCTCTACGTGTGCAAAGATTTCATTCTAACATTTCTGGGATACACGTTCTATCACAGAACAGATTCAATAAGACAAATAAAAGAAATAATTGCATTTTGAATTCAAATAAAACCTCTAACCTCATCCTATTGTCTTTTTCTTCGTACGCATGGAACAATCAACACATATTTTTCGATAGACGATCTGTTAAGTATGAAAAATGATCATTGTCGAAAATTTTTTCTGAAATATATCCTCAGTTAGTATCAAGGTGATAGATAAGGTCACGTGAAATTTTCAATTATTTGAGATTCGAAGGCGTGTGAAAAGTTTACATACATTTGATAACATGATATTACTGTTTTTGACTTGGTTAATTTCTTCAGTCAATATTGCCGGATCACATATCAAATTTTAGTGCATATAGTTAATCCTTATCTATTAATTTTGCAGAAGGTTTGACAAAAGAGAAACGAAACTAAACCCTTCGTTACTTTCTATATTGAATATCAATTAACTACGGACTTATATGCAGGTGTGAATATAAACTATACTACAGTGTATATATAATACAGATTATCACAGAACCGGAGCTGTTCCTCGGAATTTATAAAAAAAAATGCTACGTATCCTCGCTTTCATTGCTGTTGTAGTCATCGCTACAAATAGTGTTCATTCGGAACAATGTCGAACGGTTAAACAAGGCGCTCACTATACCTCATTGATTCCATTCCATGGTCTCAAGTCCGATGCAGTCATTTCCACTCGAATTCGATTTGATCGTAATGCTGCTCGTTATTTGTTTCCATCCACTGACGAGAAAGGTCAGCTATGTACAACATCATGGAACAAGTTATGGGGAGCATGTCGATGCGGATATTTGACAAGTAATCATAAAGATTCAGATCGATTCGTTTTTCGTCGTGCTCAAAGTTGTGTTCGTTTTGCCGGTGGACGTGTCACTGGCGAAGATACAGACTGTCCAGAAATCGACGATATTGAAATTGCTGCTTATGCCTATGATAATGGTCTTAAACCATTCGAACATCAAGGTACACTATTAAAAGAGTTTCAAACAAAATTACGAGTTGATGTTTGGTATAAAATAACACTTATCTTCGATGAAACCAAAACCACGTATCAATTATTTGATGACAGTGATCAACTTCTTGAAACTCAAGAAATTGTTCATCGTCAATGCAAAGATTTCAAACTTGGTATGATGCAAGATCTTTATTTTGGTGGACAATGTCCTGCTCCACAAGCTGTTTCTGCTTGTTATGAAAAAGCGTAGTTGAAAAGATTACTAATAAATATCTCTTTCTGAAAAAAAAATGTTCTCAGAACAGAGCTGTTACTGTATATCCAATTGAGTTGATAGAATGTAATGTACATTTGAATAAATTCAAAGCGACATCAATGTCGTAGTGGTCGGATTCAAATAAAACCGCTGTATTATTTAATATCTCTGAGCGATTCGTTGTTTGATGCAATGATACGAACCAATATCGAACGGAGTCTTTTGGATTGATTAGAAAAACGATGCTCTTCCATTTTTTCATTCACATTTTATCAGATCTCGGTCGTTTGAATAAGCAGTTGATGTTCGCTGCTGCTTCCCACACATCTTAATATATGCATTATCACTTTCAACTCTCACCTTGACTGACATCTATCCAATTTCGTGATTAGTGTATCCTCTTAACAGCTGTACTTTGTTCTTAGTCTAAGAACAAAAAAAAACGTGTATAGCCATTCAGAATATTTTGAAAATTAAAGAAGAATGTTGATTAAAAAATAGTTGAATTGCTTTGTTCTTTGTTTAGATATCTATTTTCTTTCATTTGATTTGGCGTGCAAATAGAAAATCTCGTTTCGTTTTTATTTTCTGGTTTTTAAACAATGTCTGATAATAATCTGTCCGGTAGAGACGAAGCATTATTAATCTTGGAATATCTGGAAAATGAACGTATGTCGAAAACATTTCTTAGTTTTCTCGATGAAAGTAAGCATTTACATGAACTTCGCTCTCGTCTTTACACAAATTATCAAAATGCTCAACAACAAACACAGCAGAATTCCGAGCACGAATCAAATGATGCTGAAGTTAATGATTTTCAAACATTTTTTAATCTCTCCAAACAACTCATCTCTCAATTATCAAATGAAGAGAATGAAAAGCAAATGACATGTTTATCGGTAAAAAGTTCCAATGATTTGTTTTTGGATGATTTCTTAAACGATTTAATCAGTCAAACGCCACCCATGGACTATCAGCATGATTTACCCGATACACCGTTGATTGCACACGACAATAACGATATGAATTCCATAGACCAGTTATTCGCTGTTCAGCATAATACATTACCATCTCATGAAATGATTTCACCAATGTGTAATACACCAACTCGAGTGCAATCGTACACAAAATGTATTGTTGTTACACAAGATTTTCTTCAATCGATGTATAATCAACAATCAACAATAACGACTAATAATAATACCAATAATAATAATCTTTCTTTGATTCAAAAACCGAAACGTCGTCGACGAAGATTAAAAGCTGGCAAAGAAAATAACCATCAACAGAGGAAAATCATGCCAAGAGCGTCACCAGATCATCGATAAAAATCAAACTCATCTGAATTTCTTTTTCTTTCAATTTGTAACTATCCTTCTTTATTTTTCGTATGGACAAAAAAACCGCAGATATGACTTTATCTTTTCTTCTACCTCCTGTATTTTTGATACTGACCTTGTTATACACGTTCAGATAGAAGAGATAATGAAAAAGATAAAAGAATCTAATATGTTTTGTTACCTTTCTTTTAAATCTTGTTTGGTAGATAATATTTTCGGTACATATAAATGTCATCAGCACTTCGGCTTTGTCTTCCTTTGTCAATTGTTAAACGAAGTACGTACTACTGCTAGCAAAAATTTTTCTTACCATTATTTACTGATTATAGCTACTTCATCGTTTGTCTCATTGCGTTGGAATTCAACAAAAGCTGCTACGGCATCAGCGCCACGAAAGATAACTACACATTATACAATCTATCCAAGAGATAAAGATGAACGATGGAAAGGTACTATAAATCATCAACAATTCCATTTTGTATTGATATAATTGAGTAGATGTCAACATGGAACGTTACGCTGAAGAATATGATGTGGCTATCGTCGGTGGTGGACCAGATATCCTTTTCTTTTGCAAAATTACTGCACACTAGATTTTGTTTTCAGTTTTCCTTTTGTATGTCTTTCTTATGTTCCTTAACTCCAGTGTACCTGGTCTTTCAGCTGCCATTCGATTGCGACAATTAGCTCAAAAGCACAACAAAGAGATACGTGTATGTGTTATTGAAAAAGGTTCAACTATTGGTAAGAGAATAGATAAGAAAATTTTTTCTCCGGATCATCAATATCTTCGTCATTCAAGGTGCTCATATATTATCGGGTGCTTGTATTGAAACGCGAGCACTCGACGAATTGATACCTGATTGGAAAGAAAAAGGTGCTCCATTGACTAATCCGGTCACTAAAGATCGATTCTATTATTTGACAAAGACTTCGGCAATCGCTATTCCAGTGATTAAAGGTAATACATTCAGAAGATGAACCATAACTACTACGAAAGAAATCTTGCTTTTGTTAGGACTTCCAATGTATAATCACGGTAATCATCTTGTTCGTTTGGGTAAATTGACTGCTTGGCTCGGTGAACAAGCCGAAGCAGCCGGTGTAGAAATGTATCCAGCAACTGCTGCTAGTGAAGTTTGTTGTTAATTATCATCCTCTAATGTCGTCTACGGTCTGTATCACTTAGATCTTATATCATGATGATGGTAGTGTGAAAGGTGTTGCAACAAATGATGTTGGTATTGCTAAAGATGGTTCGCCAAAAGTAAACTTATTTGAAAATTGTCGATTGTACTTATATATTGTTACTTTGTTTTTGTATATCTATTAAGGATTCATTTGCACGTGGTATGGAATTACATGCAAAATGCACTATCTTTGCTGAAGGTTGTCATGGACATTTGGCAAAGCAACTCATGAAGAAGTTCGATTTGAGAAAGAATTCTGCACCACAAACATATGGAATTGGTCTTAAGGAAATTTGGGAAGTTGATAAAAGTAAACATGAACCAGGTTTAATCATACACACAGCCGGTTGGCCAATGGTGAGTGAACTCAATACAGTCTTTGGATTTTAGAATTACGAGCATCTCAAACTATTGATCATTCTTTTAGGACACACACACATATGGTGGTTCATTTATGTATCATATCTTAGACGATGGTCAGCCATTGGTTCAAGTGGGCTTTGTTGTAAGCATTTTAGTTAAAAATTTTTTGTATTAACAAGGATTGCAATTTATGTAGGTTGCACTTGATTATGAAAACACATACATAAATCCTTACCAAGAATTTCAACGCTTTAAAACACATCCTAAGATTCGATCAATATTTCAGAATGGTAAACGTATTGCGTATGGTGCTCGTGCATTAAACGAAGGTGGTTATCAGGTATGAGAAAAGTATTTCTTGAGAAAATGTTACGATTGGCTTTCGTATAAAGGCTGTTCCAAAACTTTCATTTCCCGGTGGCTGTCTAGTTGGATGTAGTCCGGGATTTTTAAACGTTCCAAAGATCAAAGGCACTCATACCGCTATGAAATCTGCTATGATCGCAGCTGAGACAGTGTTTGATCTATTGGACAAATCAATTGATGGTCAAAAATCGAAAGGTATGCAAAGTTTGAATTATTTTAGCAAGTAATGAAAAAAAAATTGTTTTTCAAGCTTTAGAACCGAGTGATTACGATAATCGTGTTAAGAATAGTTGGATATGGAAAGAGTTGTATGCTGTACGAAATTTTCGTCCAGCATTTCATACTCCATTAGGTGTCTTCGGTGGAATTCTTTACTCTGCCTTTCATTTTGTATTTCGTGGTATAGAACCATTTACACTTTCCCATGGAAGTAAGTCCTTATGTACTTTTCTTTGTGACGCTAATAGTAAATTGATATATGCTTATTTTAGAACCTGATCATGCTTGCTTAAAAGAAGCAAAACAGTGTAAACCAATTGAATATCCTAAACCGGATAATGTGTTGACATTCGATCTATTATCCAGCGTTTCATTGACAAACACAAATCATGATCATGATGAACCGCCCCATTTAACTCTTAAAGACGATAGCATTCCAACGAAAGTTAATTTACCAATTTACGATGGACCAGAACAACGTTTCTGTCCTGCAGGTAAAGGAAACTCATTGTTTGTTTTAATTGCGATTCTATCCTTCTGGCGTTGAAGGGGTTTATGAATATGTTGAAAACGAAGCCGGTGAACGCAATCTACAAATCAACGCACAGAACTGTATTCATTGCAAGACATGTGATATCAAAGATCCCAAACAGAATATCAACTGGGTAACACCACAAGGTGGAGAGGGTCCGGCTTACAATGGAATGTGAACATCTTCACTTTCCGCTTTTTTTTTTTAAATTTATGATCATGTATATTGTTGGTAGTGATTCATTAGATTTTTCTTCTTTTTATTGATTAACAAAATTCAGCAAGCTCTAACTAATAAGCTATTTGTTCATGTTTTTCTTCGTATTAGATGAATAAACTTCTTTTAGTGATAGGTAGATTTGAAAGATGCGTGTTTCATTTGAGAAATTCTCTGATTGAAACTGCTTTATATCGGATAGCTGTATGTGAAGAGATGTGAGATTGATTGTGATGTAATTTGTACGTTTTTTTAGAACAGAAACATTTTGCTTCTCAAACGTTTTCATTATTTCTTAAATGTCAGTGGAGTCAAACATCTGTTTGTCGCTATTTCGGTAGATTTTATTCTCTCCTACTGAAAGTTATAAGCGCATCATTTCGTGTTCTATAAAATCTCTGCTCATTGGGAAGCAATTTGAAATGCTGTTTTCATTTCTCCCGTTTCCTTTTGTTCAGAAGTTTTCTTTTTATTCTTTCTTGGAAATTTTCTTTCTCCCTTCTTTTGCTGCGTTCCAGTCCCTTGATATTCGACCATGGTATGGTAGTTTATTCGATATTCTATTCTATCTTCCATTAAATGAGTATTGCTTTTTAACATTTATATCTGCAAGGTTGGAGATTTCCCAAGATTGTCCTGTTAACTGAGTAAATACTGGCATTTGAATGCTTTTTTTTCAGTTTTGAAGACGTGTCTCAGTTCAATATTCGATAACATCTCGAAATTGACCTTCACAGAAAGTGACTAGTAGGTCTTATGTTTTGTTTTAGCGTTAAGCCTCTCATTTCATTTAGATACGCTCTTTAGAAGAGATGTATTGAGTTTCCGATACAATGGAACTTTTTTTCATTTAGTGTAAGTGAGTTAAAATAACCTCTCATAGAATTTCTATTCATTCTACCTTTTTATTGTCGAAACTTTCTATGAAAAGAACGATTCAACGTGCTTTTTTACCTAGTTCTTTAACAATTCTTCTCAAAATATTTACATTCATAAGCACAATGATAACATGTATAATACAAACTCGTTGTGAAATCATCAGTCGAGTGTGAGTCGAGAATGCGTCGTTGTGCACGGAAGTGTATTGATAATATTTTTCTGCGAATTTCGAGCGGGGTAAAAAAAACTCTTCCAAATTTCTCTACTGTTCTATCAATAGAAAAAGAAAACAAATTTGATTTTGTCATCGAAAAAAAAAGGTAGAGAGCGACACAATCGAATCGTCGTTTTGGTGACAAGTATTATTAAGGCTTTTTAACTACCTTTTCTCTTTCTTTTTTTTTCTCCTTCTTTCCATAAAGGCGACATTTATCAAAATATAACGGAAGAAGAAGAAGAAAAAAAACACATTGCAATTGTGTCGTTTGCAAACACGATGTTACTCCAGAGACTGTATCGTAATATAAAGTGCGTGTCGTTTAAGTTCTTATCAAGACTCTTTTTTCAAACTTAGACAGTCGTCCTTTGGGGTTAAATTTGACTTCTTTTCGTTTTAGAGATACAGTATCATCAGCTATGTCTGGACAACCGTCAACTACGAGCACAAGTCCACATGAGACTAGCACGGACAACAATAGTGAAATTTCACTAGTGAGTACTACACCTTCTTCTTCATCGACAACTTCCACGAGTGTCCCATCCTCGTCACAACCGACTCCGTTTGTGCGACCACCAGCTTCTCAAACATTCGATCCTGCTGCAGTGTTTATGGAGGCATACGACTGTGCGAAATTAAATAACAATTGGAATAAAGTATCGAGCTCTTTAATGATTCATCCAGAATGGTTAACAAAGATTCCTGAAGGTTCATTTGTTGATGTTACAAAATCAAGCAATAAAAATAAAACGGAATGTTTTTTTTTCAGGTCGTCGTTGGACAATGTTACATCAAATAGTATTTTCAGGCAATGTCATGCACTTAAATGAAGTTCTTGCCTTGCAAGCATCGAATCCTGATTTTCGTTTGCTCTGTAAAGCGGCAGATGATAAAACAGTGCGTGAAGTCGCTGCTGATCGTGCACATATACACCCTCAAATGATACGTCGTATCGAACGATTAGTCGCTGTTGATCAGTTATTAAATAATGCTAAGGAACGTAAATGGGAACTGGTTAAACAATTTATAACCATGCAGCCAGACATTGTCAATGAAAAACCACCGTATCGTCGCTTTTATCTAGCACATCATTTAGCATGCGTTGGAGAACTCGATGTATTCAAAGACTTAAGCACAGTATGTCATTTTAGACTTGACTTGCTTGCTGACAATAAAACAATTAGTCAAGTGGCTCGCGAAAACAATCAATTACCTTTCGCTGAATACATCGAAAATCTTGAAGCTAATCCACCAGAAACTGCTCCTGATAGTACAACCGATACGGTACCCCATCATGCAACAGGAACAACACACCAATACAGTCCAAATTTCTATGATGATGCAGTAATCTCTTTCATACCTGCAAATATTAATGTAACTACCATGTTTCCACCAACAAGTGATGAGTTATCGTATCCTGGAGCTCATCATCATACGTTTCACAATGAACATCATCATACGTCTCACAATGAACATCATCATGCGTTTCACAATGAACACCATCATACGTCTCACAATGAACATCATCATACAAGCACATCGGTTGAAGAAACCGATGGGAACGCATCTCACATACATCCACAAACAAGTACAGCAACATCCGTCAAGCCAAAGCCAACTGCACCACAAATGACTGATGACGAGCAAGCAGCTTATGAAAAAACAGTTATTAATAACATTCAAAAAATGTCTCAAGAAAATCTACTAAATTCAATCACTTGTTGCATCACAAAAGCTATTCTACACGATCCAGGTAATATTCTAACGCATATCAAATCTTTTACAACAAACAGATATGTATTTCGGATACCAAAGAAAAATTACATCATTTTGATTGAAATCAATTGTTTGCTTTAGTTGTGGCATCGGACGGTTTCACTTACGAACGTGAAGCTATAGAGAATTGGTTCAAAACTTCCAATCGTAGTCCAATGACAAATCAAGAACTAGAAAATCTTGAATTAAAACCTAACTATGCAATCAAATCTATCCTACAAATGCTTCAAGGAGCTAGTCCGCCGAAAGACAGTAAAGACAAGCAGTGAAATTCGATCATATTGGTTTAATTAATCCGACCAAATATTCTATTTTGAACTGTGTCCATATATATATACATACATGTGTATCAGTACATTCGTGATCAATTGTTGATGATAATCTGTTTCATTGATGTGTTTTTCCAAAAAAAGACGAAATTTTGCTAAATAATTTACTTTTTTCTCTTCAATGCACCAAAATCAAGTTTTGTACATTAGTTTGCTTTCATTCTGATTTCAGATTAGCAAACGAAAGTCATTATGAATGACGAAGAACTCTTGCAAAGTGCGATCAATTGTACCAAGGATTTCAAAGACTTCTCCCAAGTACTCGTGGCGATCAGTCTTTATCCGAAATGGCTAACCAGAATACCCAATCATCGCCAATAGTCAATTTTAAATCAAACTACTTTTTCTGCCGCTGTTATTCATCTCGAACAACTTCTTACTTTACAAAAGTCCAATAAACAGTTCCGTTTGTTAGCGAATATGCGTGATGGGAAGACAATCATTGATATTACTTCATCATGCAAGAAGTTTTCGATGGAATCAATGCTATAATCTTGTCAAAGAGAATCCTAGTTTCGCCAATGAAAAACCAGCATATCGTCATTATTATTTATTTCATCATATGGTTTGTGCCAAAGCTGTTGAAGAATATAAACGATTTAAGCAAATTACCGACTGTCAATTTGATTTACACTTACGTGCTGATCGGAAAAAGTGTAATGTCATTGCTTGTGGTCGAGAACAATTACAGTTTGAAACATTTGTTGAGAATGAATACCCAGGCTTATTGGAAGCAGATGATGATGATGATGATGATGATAACGAATATTATACATCTTCGGCAGAAACCTTGCAACAAACGAGCGTCATTAGTAGTGCAATGATGGAACAAAAAATATCATTATAAAGACTTAGATCGAAATCTCATGGGTGGTTCAATACAAAGAAAAAACGCGAGCAGAAGTTATAAAAGATCTCAAAGCTGCTTCGTGCGTACAAAAGACAGAAAGCGAGTACAGCTCCATTTGATGAAGAAGTAATACAGAAAAAAATGGTACTGAACAACTTCATGTGTCCTCTAACATTCGCCACTTGTGTCGATTCAGATGAATACAAAAGTATTATTACTGTCTCGAATCATCTGACGTAATTTTGGTTGCAAATGGATTTAGCTACGAACGATCAGCTATTTTGAAATAGCTGGAGAGGAATGATCGTTCACCAATGGCAAATCAAAAGTTACTGGACAAGAATCTCAATACTAATTGTATTGTCGAGCAAAATTTTCATGCCCTTCGAGTGAAGTAAACAAAACAGGAAGTATTAAGAATAATTTATTTGAATATTTTATTTTCGACTGAGTCTGTGATATTTTACTTTTTACACGTGATCAGTAATGACTGAAATTTGTTTGTAGATTATGACTGCGTCTGCTAGTGCAAACGAAGGACCCTTATCATTCGAAGAAGTCTTCGATTTGGTGAAGCGTAACGAGCAAGCACATTACGATTTGGTTTATCGAACATTGTTAGCAAAATCTGAGTATCTGACTAGTATTCCAAATTACGACGGTTATTCAATTCTTCACTATCTCGTTATACATGGTGCTTTGAACCTGTTTAATCAAGTGATAGCTATTCCAAACATACGTTTTATTCTTCTAACAAAATCAGCATCAAAACCTAATAAAGATGTCCTACAACTCGCGAACGAAAATCGATTGAAATCCAGTAACCATAGAAAACTTTTCCAAATTATTGATCGCCTCGTTCAAATGGACAAGTTTGCCGAATATGGTAAAAATAATCAAATAAACGAATGTAAAAAAATGCTAGAACTAGATCGGCAACTAGTGAACGAAAAACCACCTTATCGAAGGTACTATCTAATTCATCATCTAGCCTATGCGAACAATAGACAAGCATTCGATGAACTCTGTCAAATTTGTCAATTTGATATGACACTACTGACCAGCGATATGAATACCGCATCCGAAGTGGCATTCGAACGAAATCATCGAGATTTTGCTCGCTATCTCGAAACATTATCGCCACAAATGCGTGCCATACGTGAACAGCATCAAAAAGACAAACAAAAAGGAAAAGTATCTAGTAAAACCACCGCGGAACCTGCTGAAAACGATCCTGGATTGGAAAAACAGATTGTCAGTACTGGTGGGAATAACATGTTAGATTGTTTTACATGCCCATTGACGAAAGAAATCTTTCGTGATCCAGTTGTATTAAGTGATGGATTCACTTACGAAAGAACCGCCATACAACAATGGCTGGATTTAGGGAATCGTCGATCACCTATGACAAACATCGAGTTAACTAATGTAGAATTGGTACCTAACACAGTATTGAAACACTTATTGAATGACATTGCAGAGAAGCAGAAAAAATAACAGTGAAAAAATGTTGTTTTATTTTCATACAATATATCTCAATAGATCTTTTATCTATTCTATCTACGACGACATATATTTTTTTATTTCAGATAAAATGCGTATCTCTCCTAGATAGAAATCATTCTTAATGAATACAAACTAGACATGAAAATGAACCCACACTAATTACTACGTACTTTATCAACAGGCGCAGCACTAAATGTGACATTTCTACAGAAAAAGTGTTCGCTGGATGATTTTTCGAAGTTACTTTCTCGTAGTTGTTTCGTTGTAGATCGATGCGAGCGTAGATCCAGTTTTGGATGTCAACAAATAACGTTCCGTTAACGCTTGAATTGGTTCTTGGTTGGGCACATGCTGGTCACCAATGGAAAAACGTACAGCGCTTTCTTTTCTTCCACCCAGAAGATCTATTTGTGATTCCATACGGTCGCGCGTGGCCTTTGGCACATCAGATCGTCTATCATGGTAATATCGATCTTATCAAACAAATCTTGCCGTTATACTCGGATGATTTAATTAACATACGTACACTATCAAAAGATCGAAAATCTTTGTTGGATGTTGCTAGAGAGCAGCAAAAGATCTATCCAGCAATGTATACTTTCATGGAACGTTTGTTTCTTCAGGATGATTTAATAAAAGCTGCAAAATACCATAATTGGGATTTAGTCAATCGGATTCTGGAACAAGATCGTTCACTCGTTAATGAAAAACCACCTTATGCAACAAACTTTCTGTTACATTATTTGATTGAATATGGTGATAAGAAAGTGCTGGAGGATTTCATGAAACGCTTTGAATTTCAAACGAACGTTCTGAGCGCTGATAATGAAACGCCACTTGACTTAGCGAAAAGATTAGAGAGAAAGGAATTGCTTGATGTTTTCGAACCAAAACAACAAGAACAATTACAACCTTCATCAACGGCCAGTTTAACTAATTCTTCATTTGGAAACCGGTCGTTTTCCCTTCCCACAAATTCAGTTTATCCATCATCATTACCCTCAGCGTTTACTTCATATAGTTGTCCCTATCCAACTACAGATCCGTTTCCGTGTCCCTCTTTCGACAGCTTCAAAGTTTCTCTCAACAACAATGGAAACTTCGTTCTTTCGCCTCAAAACCCCTTTTCTTCAATTCACATTGAACTAACTTCTCCGGATCAACAAACAACTCAAATGCCAGTCATCGATACATCTACGAATCCAGATACTCAAAATATCAACACAACAGCAACTGACCAACTCGATGCCCATGCGGAATCTGCTCCTGAAACGCCCGTTACACCAGCAACAAAAACGCAATTAATAAAGAGTCTGACATGTCCGTTAACACGTCAAATCTTTGTTGATCCTGTCATTGCAGACGATGGTCAAACATATGAACGCAACGCTATTACAAATTGGTTGAAATCAAATCAAACTTCACCAACAACAGGGACTTTGATGACAACATCGTTTATAGAAAATGGGTGCATCAAACAAATCATACAGTCGTTGAAAAAACTTAAAAATTGAAACTCCGTGTGCTCAGTTTTCCTCATACGATTCTTCGTCTACACTGTCTTTCATGCCGGAGCAAAGGATAATCTCTATATTTCTCATTTACATCTCTTTCTTTCCGAATTCGCTCTAAACTGTGATATTTTTCTATCGCAATATAATAAATCATATTAATTTTTAGATTCATCAGTCAGATTATTACTGAGAATGGATACATTTAATCATTACAATCATTCATGGCATAAAATAAAAGAACATTACAGCGGTATGTTTATTTATGCATATTCAACCAACAGGAAATGATCGTCTATTTTCTTCCACGATTTCATAGACCCGCGTACATCTGATTTATTCATGATGAGCTCTCCACTACCAGCTGCAATCATTTGTCTAGCCTACTTCATATTCGTTTCCATGGGACCAACACTTATGGCCAATCGGCAACCATTCAAGATTCGTGAGCTCTTAGTGGTTTACAACTTTGCCATGGTTGCTCTATCAGGCTATCTCTTCTACGAAGTAAGAAATATCCAACAGAAAGCGTTGTCTTCCATTTCACAATATATTACTTGGTTTGAAGTTTCTTGCTGCTGGTTGGCTGAATGGATATTCACTTGGTTGTCAACCTGTTGATTATTCTCGGTCACCACAAGCTATGAGAGTAAGATACAATCTTTCGAGGAATCTAAACAAAGTTGTCCTTTAGATGGTTCGAGTTTGTCACTTATTTTTCCTCTCTAAATTCATCGAGTTATTAGACACAGTCTTCTTTATAATGAAGAAAAACTTCCGACAGGTAACCGTTTTACATGTCATTCATCACGGTATTATGCCGATAAGTTGGTGGTTCGGCGTGCGATTTGTTGCTGGTGGTTTCGGAACATTCCATTCGTGTATTAATTCATTTATACATTTTCTTATGTATTTGTACTATGCGCTCGCGGCACTCGGTCCAGAATATCAAAAATATCTGTTTTGGAAAAAGTCCATGACTTGGATGCAAATGGTTTGTGTCATTTTCTCAGAGAGTTCCACGTGAATATTTGCGTTTTGATTTTTCTAGATTCAATTCATGCTTGTTATGATTCATACTTCACAATTGTTTTTCATGAAATGCAACTATCCAATTCTCTTTGCTTATTGGATATTTGCGTACGCCGTCATGTTCTTACTCTTCTTCGCCAACTTCTATATTCAATCATATAAGAAGAAATCTCCGTCGACAACATCGAAATCTGAACAAAACACGGCCAATAAAAATGGCTACAAAAAACATCAATAAGCACTTCGCTGTGATGATTTCCCTTTCTCGAATCAACTTCGCTTTTGAATAGGAACAAATTAGTATGAGAATCAAAATGATAACTAGGAAATGACAACAACAATATAATCTTCCGATTTTATTTCACCTGACTTCTCTTTGCTTTTCACGAACAAAATAAAAAATAGAAATATATTGACTTTAGTCTTTGATTATCTACATGTGTCTCACGAGTGATTGTAATAGTGTTGATGAGAATAATAATCATATGTCTGTGATGGTAACCAAGACCAAACCGGGGGCGTAGTCGTAGAGTTCGACGGTTGATTGTTGCAATGGTGTAAAACTTGTGCACGTTGTTCGAGTTCATCAGCGATACGAAGTTTTTCTGGTTCATTGAATAGGATCGGGTTTTGATGTGCTTGGTTTCGAATAAGATAACGTTTAGCACGTTTGGGATGTGTATTTTGTGTTCGATTACGTTTATTCGAAAACCATGCTTTCACTTGAGATTCTTTGATACCACCATTTGTTGCTAAATAGTCTAAATCATTTCGATTTGGATATGGATTATCTTCATGAGCCAGATACCAGGCGTTCATCAAGCAAATTGCCTTTTCTGGTAATTGTTTGTTAGGTTTCGTTGTAGTCGTCTGGCTAGTTCTTTTCGGAATAATGTTTTCATGATTTAAATGATATTCACTCTAAATGAATACATAAAAAATAAACGAAATATTTCCGCTTCTTCCTACTTCATGTGAGATCTTTTGTTCATATGAAGATGTACAATACATGATTGGCAAATGAGTTCGATGTATATTCAACTAATGAATGAACATTTATTTGCTGGATAATATCTATATATTTCGTTCTTTCCCTTTCCCTCTCTCTCTCAAATGAAATCTGACCAATCGAAACAATTAAGAATGTTGACGAAGAGAGAAAATTATTAGCTGCGCACCAGGTAAATTGATATCCATAATGAACACATCCTCCCACCTAGCTTGATACATTATGCATAGAACTGATCAAATTTTGTGTTGTGCATTCGACAAACTTTAACACGGTAATTAAAAAGTCTGATAATCATTGGAGGCGTGGTTCGAATATTGGAAGAATGCGTCTGTCTGCGTGTGAAATACATATTTAGTTTGATTCATCGAAACTAATAACGAAGGCCTTGATTGAAATCATACGTGAGTAAGATCAAATAGAGAAATTCTCATAGTCTGCAGAGTAGATCGTCGATGTCAATATTGTTCAAAGAAAAACTCGATGTGTCTGTCTAATTGAATTGATTTCAAAGTCACAAGTAACAACTACGTTTCTTGTTTTTTTATTTCTAATCAAAATTTACATTTTCTAGAAACAACGGAATAGTACGTCAATATTTAACAAATCCAAGTTAAAATAAGAAAAAAAAGACGATTGTTTGTCTATACTACAGGTTGACCTGGAAGAAAATCAATATGGTCTCGATAATGTAATCTTTTTTTGACTTCGTTTCACTTTTGCTTTCTTCTAATCAAGATAAAATAGGATATAACAAAAACTTGACGACAAATTGTTTTCGACATTAGCTGAGAAGTAAACAATCAATAATGATTGTCATCATCAAATGATGTCGATCATATGGAATGATTCATCTCATCGATCAGAAAATCTTTCTTCTTAGCAAATGACTTGTTTTTGACAAAGACAAAACTTTTATTTACATCATAGATATTCATCAATTGTCATTATTCATCATTTTCTCTGCTGAAATAATAGACTAGATACAATCCATGCAGCGTACTAGATTACCTTGATGTCTATCCTGAAGAATTGTCTTAATCTGGGAGCGGATCAATGAAATTATCTCAAATACAATTAAATCGATTTGGTTGTTATTCACGCGAATGTAATGATAATTAGTATTTAAACTTTTCAATGAAATATCATTTTCCTGTATTTTTTTTTGTTTTGAATACTGTCCCAAAAAGTTGGATATTGACAATAAGAGTCAACACAGTGATGTAGAAAAGAAGAGAGAATGAGAGAGAGAGAGAAAGAAAGATAGAGTATGAACGAATTGAAGTGAGTAAGAGAGAACGAGAGAGAGAGAGAGGAACTGAAAAAGAACAACAATCAACTATACAAAAACAAAAAGAAAAAAAAGAAAAGATCATGAATGCCATCATTCCGTTTTCATTATTCTAAATTATGACAATCTAACATAGATAACACGCACATACATAGGAAAGATCTTATTCTTGTTTTTAACCGACAAAACATACATGCAGACAAGTTGATGGCATTCCATGTCACTGTTCGTTTAAATGCAGACGAAGACGTCTAAAAAACGAAGAGAGAACAAAAATCCGCATAGACACATACAACAAATGACGAAAGAAGATCAAGAAGAAGAAGAAGAAGAAAATGAAGAGATTTTCATCACAGTCGAGAGACGGGGAATCAAGTGTCGCGCGCGCGCATCAGAAAAATTATATGTCTAGATTGTAGAAAAATATACATATATAGAAACACTTTGATTTAAATAACGGCGATGATGTAAATGGGCATCTGACGCCTTCCGAAAAGAAGAAAAACGAAAAAGAGAAAAGAAAGAGAATTTGATATTTGATTTTTTCTACGCGACAACGGGTGCGTCCACACTGTGGAATGTGTCGTGAAGACAAAAAAAGAAGAACAAAAAAATTCTTAGGAACGCAATAACCAAAGGATGTTGAAACCGGGGTTAAACGCGCACGGCACGCATTCATCAAGTAGCTGGATCTTCGTTACGTAGTAATCGCCGGTATATTTGTGAATTTATAAAACGTGGATAAGAGTCACGATGCATTAGAGTATAGATTTGTAATTGGGCTTCGTCGAATGTATGCGGAGATGGTTCAACCATATTTCTATTAATTACTTCTCGTACTCGACTGTCTAGGCTGACCTAGAATGGAAGAAGAAGCACAAATCAGATAGTTATATAGAATTGACAAAAGTGTGAACAATTTGTATGTCTTACTTCTTTTGGAGAAAGAATAGATATATAATCTTCATAGATTGATCTTGCTTTTTCTTCGATTCTTTCAGGATTTTGTTCATTTTTGAGTGATTCACAGGACATCCAAAATAGGAAGTTTTCTTCACTATATTCGGATCTTAAAAAGTCACGAAAATAACGGCGACCAGCTACGATTAGAAAAAAAGGGTCCGATAATCTTTAGTCATTTTCTTATTTCCAAAGACTTACCGGGATTTAGCATTAATTTGTCAAAGGATTCCGCCCAGCTTTTTATCTCCTCTATAGATGGCCTATATATACGGAGAAAGAAAGAGACAAGAATATTTTATTTTATATATGAGAATTCCAAGAAGAGATATACGTACGGTTCGCCTATATCTACAGGCTCCGTCGGTTGTCGGCTTTCGTCGTTGCGCACGGTTACGCTATAATAAAGAAGAAAAGAAAATGAATAAGTAGGTTGATAGATATTAAATAATAAATATTTAGAATAGAAATCAAGATATAGAATAATAAATGAAGATATAAGGTTAAGAGAAAAAAAATCAATTGGAAATTAACAAGTTTCTGTTTTGTTAGATTACTTTTTCGGTCCTCCTAATATTCTTCGGACATTTTCTGGGAAGACAAAAACAAGATGTTCGAGAACGCTCTTGCCAATTCCACGATTCTGAGTTGAACGTTGATGTTGATGTTCGTCGAACGATGTTGCTCGTTGTTTGTTAGAAAAGTTTCTTGTAGAAAACGCTGTTCCACCAATAGCGCCAGCACCTTTTCCACTTGTATTTTTTGTCAAATTCCTATTCGGCATCGATAACGTTGATGACGATGAACTCATAGCTGATTTTTCGAGAATCATATTCATTCCCGATGTTGTCGTTGCACTTGTTGACATTGACGAGGAATTATTTCCACTCAATTTGTATTGATGATTTCGATATGCTGTTGGAGGCGGATTAACAGACACATTCATTAATGTTGATGATGAATGTGATCCACTTATTGTACTGTTTGATATGGTAGATGTTTTCGTTGGAGATTGTTGATGACGACCCTGTCGAGATCGTATAGATGTATCGGTATCACATGTCACAGATATGGTACTTAATGTTGCTGAGTTCGAGCGTTGAGATCGTTTTTTACTTGCGCTACTATTGTCTTTTCGATTGTTTGCGTTATTCGTGCCGTCACCGAGTTTTGCACGCGCCACATGTTCAGGCACAACTTGAGTCATTTGATTGTAGAGGATATTTGTACCAGGAATTAAATGAATATGCTATCTTTTATTGTTTCAAACGATTCCGGCTGCCAATGATATGGCCACGAGACCAAACTTGAAAAGTCATATCGATGTAACAACAATGATGATGACGGGGAGGATGATGGATGCTGTTTGCCTTCGATGATCCATCGTTGCCGTCGACAAAAAAAAATTATTATTAATTCTTCTTTTTTGCTTTTTCTTCTTCGTCGTCTTCTTCTCTTCTCTTACTTCTTTTTTTCTCTTGTTTTTCTCTATATCTGTAACGACGCTGAGTTAGTGACGACAATAACAGTCAAAGCTTCATCACTATCATCATTTTCACTACTACCCGTAGAATCAACACAAACGAGAATGACATGTTCTTTTTCTTTTGGCTTTTTTTGGTTTCGCGCTACGAGCAAGAACATCACATCGAAGACAAGCTCGGCGAATAAGAGAAATGTAGATTCAGTTCTTTTTTTCTTTAGCTAACATCATTTAGCTAATAAGAACTCAGGAAAAAAAAAGATGACGACAAGGCCGAGAACGCGAGTCGTTGTTGTCGGCGTCGACATTGAACACTTTTTTTCTTCTTTTCTTTTTTACAGATTCATGTATGGAAAACACCGACAGTACGAGTCGCAAAAGAAGAAGAAGAAGAAGAAGAAGAAAGAAACGATAGATATGTTCCTAATCAGATTAAGAGCGCGTAACAAAAAGTAGTAGAACCGAAAGAGAAAAAGACAGAGGAAGAACTGTTTCGTTTTCACCCGTCAAAGTGATAGTTATATGAGAGAAAGAGAAGAAGAAGAAATCTCAGTGCTAGAGAGGGCGCGATATGTAGCACACGCGAATGCAAGTAGCAACTTTGTTATCGGATTATTGAGCACAGAAACGAGCTACTTTTGTGTCGTGTGTTCCCCATAGAAATGCAATTAGAGTATAGACTCTATCCTTCAGAGTGCATCTGCTATCGAGATATGTATCGTTTCGTTGTATGACTTTCGCAGAAAAGAAGGAAAGGGAGCGAGATGAAAGGGAGAGAAAGAGAGAAGCAAGAAGTAGTCGATCGACGATGACAATGAAAGTAAACTGACTGAATTATAATAGAACCTATTATTCTTGTCTTTCCGAAACGGAAATCATATTTGGCAAAACGTGAGTCTCCTTCTCGTTTAGTTTT